AATCATACCAATGCATTTAATTTTTTTGAGAAAATTAACCATTTCTGCCGTAATGTCGAAAAAAGCGCTCTACTAGCGTCACGTAAATCTAACAAAACTTTAAATAATATAACTTTTGTAGCCCAAGAATAGCTCTTTTTAACTAGCCTAAGTTTGTTCAAATCGGCTCAGCCGTTTCGAAGGTACATGGTGTTTTTTAGGGAAACATTTGAATAACACTCACTACTTTATTTTTAGAGATACAGCAAAAATTGTTAAACAAAAAAGGTTCATATTATACTCGACTATAAAGATCTGGTTTTTTTTTGTTAGGTTAATTTAGCGGAATTCATAGAAATATTACTTTTTTAGTTTCAATATTGCAGTTACACCCCTAGCAGCCATTTGAGAAACTTGAAAATATTTTCCAGGTTTTTTTCATAGCCTTTTTAGTAATTTTTTTTACCGCAATCCTCTACAATGCATTGTTTCCCAGATACAGTACCTAGCAATCTTAATTGGCCACCCTGTACATGTTATTGTACAAAACAAGATGTCCTATATCATAAAATTTAGTTAATGTAAATTTAAAAGAGGGGGATTTTTAAAACACCCTGTACAGACAATACAAAATTTTTGTCTCACTGTAACAAAAAGTTATAGCAAAATAAGATATATCTGCGAAAACCACATGTTTTTATGATTAAGCGTTTTAAATTATTAGCTCATTAAAGGGGCTACTTTTCATTGTATTATAATTTCTCGTGCATTGAATCACCCAAATTTTCACTTCTGTACATCCAAAATCTTTCAAATTGCTGCGAAAAATCATTTTTTTTTTTTATTTCAACTTTGACACTCTGTATCTTTTTTATTTACAATAGTTGACTAAAGCAAATTGGGTCAGATCGTAAGATTTTGAGACCCAGAATCTTCCCTTCTTCACTTTTGGACCGTTACTTACGAACCACCCTGTATATACACTCTCAAAATGTTTTTGCATAAACGAATAGACATTTAATACAACGAATTATTTGTAAAATTACTCATCAAAATTAGTTTCCAAAAGGCATAAACATCATTTACAATTAACAATAAAAACAATTTAACAAAAGATATTTTAATTAATAAATTGGCAGTGGCATTTCAACTATACAATATGCAAAATAATTTTGAGTATGCGTATTTTGATTGATTTATTTATTTTATGCCAGGTCTTCAGAGGTGTATAACCTATCGTATTAGCTGTGGTGAAAAATAGGAAATATATCGGAATAAAGAAATTGTACTAATACTCCATGATATTTGTCACGATGCATATACAGCGAGGGGTTGTCGCGTGTGTGCACCAACGGGGCTCCTTTTATGGAATTTTCAGATGTCACGATTTATATTTTCCAATATTATACGTTACACCTATATGGGTCTGAGTGCTGGAAGATGTTTTGCACGCCAGCTTATTATATACAAAAGGCATGGCGGAGGGCAAAAAGTACACGACAGCTGTTTAGGAATTGACGTGTGACGCTGACAAATTATTCGCATTCGCCTCTGCTTCTCCTGCGCTCTTCGAAGTGTGCGACATTTAAAGCTTTTAAAAATTTCAGACGTGCCTGATTTATTGTTCGAATCCAGCGAACCGGAATCGCATCGTATTGACATTAAGTATCTATCAACTCGGTGCTTGTTTTAGATTGCTTTGTTAGAAACAAACACATTACCGCATCCGAATGAGTTATCAGAAAAGTTAGCCGTAGGAAATTTTAGTAATTCAACTATTGCGGCGGGTTCGGGTGGAATAACGAGATCTCCTATCTACGCCCGGCAATTGGATGATTTAATGGACCGATATAGACGCCGAGCTGCGGTCGCCGGATCTCCCCCGTCCGCAGATTTATGCCGGTGATCCGGCGACCGCCGAAATAAACCCCTTTTTAATTATCAGAGGCATTAAAATTAAATAAAAAACACCGCGCAAACAAATGTACGCGATAAAGGGCTGTAGGTGTTTATCTTTTTGTTTCGTCGGGTGCTTTACTGGGATGTTTGTTGCGAAAATTAATTAGAATTTTTTCAGGAAACCGTTTTGAGCGGAATTGTTTTCAGAAGGATGTTTGCGTAGCGCTGATAAATAATGGCCGCTTGAAAGTTATTGTGCACGTTTGATATTATCCCGTTTATTTACATCGGTTATGAGTTTTCGCGAAATTAACTTGCCATATTTTGTTCTAAAGGTATCTACAATTCATGGCAAAAATTTTAGACAATTGGACACCTCATTAAACAATAATTATTTACCACCCTTTCGCAATCTCAATTATCGTGTCATACCTACTGCATTAATACAAACAATTAAATGCAAATTTGTGCATATTGCATATTGCAAATTAGTTTAAAGTAGACTTTAAAGTAGATTACTTAAAAAGTAGAAAAGTATATCTTTCAAAATATCTCTACATATACGGGGTGTTCCATATGAAAAAAATTGGTTACTGTGTATTTAAAACAGGAGATTTTTATAAAACACCATGTGTTTGTAATGCATAATTTCTGTATCACTGTAACAAAACTTAATAAAATAATAAAATAAAGTATATCTGAGAAAACCGCATGTTTTTACAATTATTCGTTTACAAATTACAAGCTATTAAAGGAGCTACTTTTCATTGGGACACCCTGTATAATAAAAACAATTTAACAAAAGACATTTCAAATAATAAATACGTTTAACACGTTTAATATTATCCCGTTTATTTACATCGGTTATGAGTTTTCGCGAAATTAACTTGCCATATTTTCTTCTAAAGGTACCTACAATTCATGGCAAAAAATTTAGACAATTTAGACACCTCATTAAACAATAATTATTTACCAGCCTATCGCAATCTCAATTATCGTGTCACACCTACTGCATTAATACATACAATTAAATGCAAATTTGTGCATATTGCATATTGCAAATTAGTTTAAAGTAGACTTTAAAGTAGATTACTTAAAAAGTAGAAAAGTATATCTTTCAAAATATCTCTACATATACGGGGTGTTCCATATGAAAAAAAAATGGTTACTGTGTATTTAAAACAGGAGATTTTTATAAAACACCATGTGTTTGTAATGCATAATTTCTGTATCACTGTAACAAAACTTAATAAAATAATAAAATAAAGTATATCTGAGAAAACCGCATGTTTTTACAATTATTCGTTTACAAATTACAAGCTCATTAAAGGGGCTACTTTTCATTGGGACACCCTGTATAATAAAAACAATTTAACAAAAGACATTTCAAATAATAAATACGTTTAACACGTTTAATATTATCCCGATTATTTACATCGGTTATGAGTTTTGGCGAAATTAACTTGCCATATTTTGTTCTAAAGGTACCTACAATTCATGGCAAAAATTTTAGACAATTAGACACCTCATTAAACAATAATTATTTACCAACCTATCGCAATCTCAATTATAGTGTCACACCTACTGCAATAATACATACAATTAAATGCAAATTTGTGTATATTGCATATTGCAAACTAATTTGCACTTACGTCGGTGGTTTATTATATTATTTGGTATGTTATCCGAATAGAAATACCATCTCTTTATTTCCGAGTGTAATCGATGGGAAGATGTGATACGACATTAACAAAGCAAAAGGATTTAGTTATCAAAGTGGGGATTATGGCGTTTCGATTAGCAGCCCTGTTACACAGTATTAATTGATTTGGTTATTCGCGTTTGCTATTAACTCATACATGTTCGAATATTTTTTGGATTTGCACGTTTTTCGGAGCGCCATATAATATTCAATTCTCAACGGACTCGCAATTACATTTACCTAAAAGCAATCTATTATTCGTTTTTCATACGAAATATAATTTTTTAAAGCAATTATTCAAATCTAAGCTCGTATATATTTTTTGATGTATTTATTCGACGAGACAACCTAATTTTTTTCAATTCTGTTTGTCGTATTTTGCAAATTTTTCACAACACCGGCTCAAGTGGGGTCAAATCCAATAAAAATTGTCGAAAGTTACTTTTCTCTCCTGCGAGCGTCGCTCGACTTGAAAAATTCTTTATCAGAATGAGATTTTCTCAGGACCGAATTTAACGGCAATCTCTGCGAGTTTTCGCCGGTTTTATTTCTAAACGGATCTCTTTCGAGAACAAAATAAATTTAATACGTAATCTAAAAAGTTATGCGAAGCACAAATTCATAACTAGCAATGAATTAAAAGTAATATCACCGCAGGAACACGAATCTGTTGTACTTACCTGAATTCAACTCTGGTTAGTTTTCATTGAACGAAGCTTTAAAGGTTTACTTTTCCGTAAACAAGCAAACGTCTGCGGGTGTATTTGTTGTTATAACATAACTTGAAATTCCGTGTCTTATTATTTATTTATCAACCAATTTATCAATTGCATGGTTACTAAAATATTCAATAATGAGTTCGGGGACTAATAATAAAGTAAATATACGTATACAATTTTTTTATTTGAACAGAAATGAAACAGTTTTCTCAACTAACGGCTGTTTTAAAAGACTTATTTCAAAATTAATGTTTATTACGATAGGTTAAGAAACTTGGGTTCGTTTAATGATCATCAATTTACTCGTGGTTTATTTCTTTTTTGGTTTTCCTTAAAATGTTATTCGCATTCCCACTTGCCCACAAAACTAACATTTAAATAGGCGGTGAAATATTTACTTTCAAAAATTACATTTCATCTCACAGACGCAGGGATTTAAATTGAGCCTTTTTAATTTACCCGGCAAACGAAAATTTTAAAGGCATTGTTTATTTAGGAGAAAAAAAAATGAGAAAAATGCGAAATTTAATCCTACCGACTGGTCTACTGGTCATGCTATTGCTTCAACCGAGGACTCTAATCCTCACAAATAAGGGTTGTAGCAGAAACGTTTGAATTAAGTAATTTTATTCGGTACCTCATATCTATCAAAAATTAATGTAAATGTAATTTGTATTATAATTGGTAAAATTTTGTTTCAGGTGCATATACACCCATAAAGCATTTGTCTCTGAGAAGTCTTCTTCCCGAGACGGACCTATTTATGACTTATGAGGGTTCCACCACCCATCCAGGCTGTTGGGAAACTACTGTGTGGGTTATATTTAACAAGCCAATTTATATAACAAAACACGAGGTAAGTTTTTTTTTACATTTAATTCAGCGAAGCCATTTGAAATGACCTATATTTCGAAATTAAACCGCGCACTGAAGGGAGAAAATTGTTTATGTATTTTTCCTCCGGTTTCAATAAATATCTTATGATTAGAAGCGGAATTAGATCTCGGCCGGCTCCGGATTAGACGCTTCCCGGGGGCTTGGTTTTTATGTGGGGAATTTTCATTTTTCCGAACAAGATGTTTGTTTGTTTCAGTTGTACCAACTACGCAAATTAATGCAGGGTTCGGAGGAGGCGCCGAAGGCACCCCTGGGAAATAACGCCCGTCCTGTTCAGCCCCTACACCAGCGAACTATTCGGACAAATATTAACTTTAGAAACTCTGATGTAAGTACTTTTCTTTTTCTCCCTTTTTATTACTCCAAGTAAATTGTCATGTGGAAAATTTCCGGTGTGTCGGTAAACTTTTGCAATTTATATTTACCCTAATTAGCATTAATTTGTTTTAATAATAAGAAGAAATGTTGAATAATATAACTATACTTTTAAACTAGCCAATCATCTAGTTTGGAGCTTTCAAATAAATGTTATTTGGTGTATTTTCTATACAAGTATCCGATCTGCTAAAAATCGATTTGATTTTTCGTCTTATTTTCGTTTAACGCAACATGACATCGAGCCCAGATGTTATCCAAATCAAATTTACCTTTGTTTTGCTTCAAATACTGTCCCTTCTCATTGAGTTTAAAGTTTTCAATGTAACATAGCAGATTCGAGGCTTTTTTCTATATAAAAGCATCTCTAGAAGTAAATGTTAGTAAAAAAAATGGAATAACTTTCAAATTGTCTGAAGAATTCCGACTTGATAAAAAGCAAGTCGTACATCAAATTTTATGTTTTTTTTGTGTGCACTTCGGTTATACAAAAGGAATATCCATCTGTTTTCTTACTTATTATTACAAGAGGTAAATCGCCATGTGGAAAATGGGTGCACTCTCCTCGCGAAACTTCGCCCGTATTTCCTCCATTTCTCGTTCTCCATATTCAAATGAGGTCGACCCTCGTTGATTTTATTTTCTTTTTTCGAATATATATATTCTATTATATTCTTGTAGGTCCGGCAATATCTATTGTCAGCACACAAAAGGGACGGGAAAAATCTTAACGAATTATTGATTGATACGAGAATTCGGAGCTCAATTGATAAAAAAAAAGATGCCTTCTGTCAAACTAACTTAATGCGATGGAAAACTCGCCGGTATTATTATCATTCGGATAGCCAATTAGCTAGTAGTGATTTGAAAAAGTTATTAATTCGAGGGAAAAACTTTTCGCGTCGAGCAGAACTTGGTGCATGAATAAAACGTTTTAAGTGTGGATGTACAATTAATCGTCCTATTAAAAATATAATAGGTAGTAAATTCGTAAAAGAGCGGCTGGAACGAAGGCAAGTTGAATATCGCCGGGGTTTGGTCGTGTCGTGGATATTTCCAGCAGTGAACAATGGGAAAAGCGTATAGAGCAGGACGGAAATGAGAAGTATAGAGCGGTCGGCTTCGGTTCATCCATATTACCCATACAGCCGCGCGTTCGTGAACCCCTAAACATGTGAATATATTCATCTGACTTGAACACAGGAAATTGGAAACCAGACAATACAAATTTTGCGTTCGCACTAGCCGGGATTTGTGGATTTTCTATGTAAATTTTAATTAATGTCTTCAAATATTTACGCAACGGTACACTTTATTTTCTGACGCTGCTGTTACCGCTCTGTCGGCGTGTGGAGTATATCACTCATGTGGAATTTATATACATATTATAAATCTATTCAATATGTTTTATACATTTCATTTTTATTGCTAACGTATTGTTAGGTAAAGCCTATTGTTTTAAAAAAATCCTTGCATTGTTGATACTAGATAATTCTGAATACATACGCAAAAGTAAGGAATAAAAAGTAAGGGCCAATATCTCACAAGTACCAAAATTAATAATCAATTAATTACAAACAATTTACATGGCCAACTTGTAAAAACGGATTAATTAAGTATAAGGCAGAAAAGTAAGTTTTAAGTAAAATTTTTAATATCTTCAAAATTATTAGGTTTAGGTATAGGGAAGTAAACATGAACTTTCCTTATTTTTTATCGCAGATTTCAATAAAATAGAAAAAAAATGGGTGGTTCCATTTAAAAAAATGAAATAATTTGGTATTTTTGAAGTTCAACTTTTAACATGTTTTGTATACACCCTGTATAAAATAAGAAGTTTTTAACACAGATTCAAATACCTTTGACCTTGCTAATGGCCACCCTACAGAAACCGTATCCATATCTTTAAAGGGATCCCCGTAAAAAAATAATTTAAAAGGGTCTGCATCGGTCAAATTTTTCAAAAAAAATTAGTAACTCAAAAAGTATGCATTTTTGAAAAAACTTTTTTAGACAAAAGCACTCTAAAATTTTGCGTACATTTCGAAAATATATTAATATATGGGGTGTCCCATTTAAAATAACAAAGTTGCTGTCCATTTCCGGTATAACCGGAAGTCAAGAAAAGTTGAAAATATTTTCATTGAATAGAGCGCATCGACTAATACTTGTACACAAATTTTCAAATTTTAATTACAACTACTTTTCCAGATATTTCTAATGGGCCCTCGTCGTGACACACACTGTATATTATTTCTTGTGTATTTAGCTAAATTTATATCTTTCCTTCTATTTGTTAGGTATTTCCCATGAGCGTCGGTATATACCGAGTTCAATTCGCAAAGAAATACAGAAAATGCCGCTGATATTATATTTCTACTGTACCTATGCTAAGCGCAGTACGAATAATTTCTCCGGTTTTGGCAAGCGGAAACTGTTTTAAATTACAACCACATTTATTGCCCTTTTCTAATATTCTGCACACGTATTGCATTTCACCGTTTGCACTTAGATCGTGAAAAAGTCGCAATTATATCGAGCATAATAGTCGAATAATCTGCTCCTAAATAGCTGGGAATTTTGTATCTCGTTATAAAGGGAAATTTAATAAGAGTCGACGAGGGGCGCGCTATAGTTATATGCGGAATTAAAACCTACTAAAATCCTAATAGATTTCAATGAAATAATTAAATGAATTGTATGATTTGGAATAGCTTATTATAAGACACTGTAATTATCCGAATAAAGTATAATATCAGTAACATTTTCCAGTAGGTATTATAAGATGAAAAGCTCCAGTGGAGCGGTTATAATTTCGAAAAAGTTTCGGAAATATCTCGAAATTCGCCGGAGCCCTCTACGACCGTCGTAGAGGTACTTTACAAGCGCGGTATCAAAAACTCCCTCCATTCAACAAAATGAACATTTCCGATTCGATTCGAAACTTTCCCAGTTCTCGAATATTTACATTAAGTTAAGTATGTAGTTACGGTCCCCGTGAACGTTTTCGACAATTTCATTTAACGACGTCAAGCAGATAAGTTTGATTCGCTCCAAAGAATTTCTTCTGCTTCTTCTTTTTCACCTTCATCTTCGTTATTTCTGTAACGCATGCATGCATGAAAATGCCGCTGGAAAAATTGGAAATGTTTTGTACCTACATAATTAGAGAAGTGCAGTAATTTCACTCCAAAATTCAAACTAAAAACAAAAACTTTATTAACCGGGGTGAAGAAACTAATGCCCGATTTCACCAACATGTTGTTAGGTATTTCCTAACTAGGTAATTCCTAAGGTAGGAATTACTTAAATCGAATACTTACCTAAATCGAATTTCACCAACATTAGAAATCCCTTACTAAGAAATACATAGGTAAAAATTTGATTTCGACAATTTTTTGAATTTTATTGGTAGCATTGGCTAATTTTGATGTGTAAACCGAATAAGCGGAGATCGAAATTGAATATGTTGAGAGAAAAGAAGAGATGTTGACGATCCGGGCCATCTTTAAATTATGTTAGTTATTTTTAAATCTGCTGAAGATGTAGTCTGTACATTATTAGAAAAATAACCCTTCCGATTTGTAAAATATTTCTACATCTTCTTCTCCAGGACTATGGATATTTACATGCATGTGTACGGTCAATAGTTCCAAAAACTTCCTGTGTATCAAATTAATCTCCAATTCATTCTAATATTTGTAATGCCGTATTTTTATATATCGAAAAAGGCGAAAAAAAAAATCAGTTTCGTCCAGTTTCTAAAAACTCTCCTCCCATTTTAAATGTTCATCTAAAGAATCTAAAGACAGTCAAATCTAAAGTCACATGAAATCACATGGAAAGTATGGTTAAGTATTTCCTAAATGTTTTAGGCAAGCCCAGCGAGCTGTCCTAACTTTAGGCATTTCCTATTACCTTTAGGTATTACTTAGTGCATGGTGAAACGCAAATTGTACTTAGGAATACCTAAATCCGGTTTAGGTATTACCTAACTTTAGGAACTGGTTGGTGAAATCGGGCATAACAGAGAAATAAACTTTTATAAAAAACGAAATTTAATTCGTGGAAACAATTCACTATTTTTACGTTTTTTTCACTTACACTTTATTAGCCTTCTATTACGTTCTCTCGGGCGTACTTTTTTATCCGGGCCCGTAAAAATTGATTCGAGCGCGATAGCAGAAAACGATAGAAAGTAAAGGCGTTAAGTATATTTTGAACTTTTCTCCGTCCCCTTTTTCCTTTGCCGGAGCGAAGCCATTAACGGTTCCGGAGTCGATCTTGAAGCCCGGAGCCCGTAGCCCGAAGCCGACGAGTCCGGGATCCGGGTAATTGAAATTGAGGTGCCGCCACAGCTATTATACGCCGCCGCCGAGGTGATTATGTTTTACCGCAAATAGTCAATATTATGATTTAAAATGGCTTTATTGTGATAACTTCTCGCTGATATGGAAGAGGAATTCTACCGATTCGATATTGCGAAACGCTCCTTCGGTCGACGCTCTCGATACATCGAGAAAAATAACTTTTTTTTTATTTAGAAATGTGTATTTCTTCATACGTGTATGTAAGTTGGAGAGATCGCTAATTAAAATCCCTTGTAAGTAATTTGTAAATTCGTTTGCGTGTCGAGATTAATTCATCGCATAAAAACTCGAAGAAAAATATGCATGCAATACTAGTATAGGGATAATTTATTAACTATTAGCAGAATCAAGGTAATAGGGTAGTTGTGTGAAACAAAAGACTTTGATAAATTTATTTTTAGACTTGCTTGACTTGTAAATGTATTTTTAGTGCCGCTGAATTGAACGAAATTTATTAAGAATATATTTTAACAAATAGAATTTTATAACTATGAGTGGTGAAAAAATGCTTTGAAGTAAATCTACGGCAAGATCATTTCAATTTTTACCGAGGAATTATTAATTAAACGAGAATCAGTAGTTTTAATGAAATTTTCCGGTTGCAATCACTGATTAAAATTTAAACAACAAATCCGATAATGGATTACAAGTGAAACAAAATTATATGTATTTTAAACGTATATTTGTACGTTGAATCGTTTAAGCTTATTTTGTTAATTAAATCAGCAGGTAATAAAAATGTTTAAATTTTGATCCAAAAGTAAATGTGTATTTTTAAAACACCGTGTATATGCGTGTATATAAATAAAAATTTAGATTCGAAGTAATTGCAAATGAACTTTTTTCGGCGAGAATAAGTAATTGCTACTTTTCGTAGAGAAATTTGAAAGTTTGAGCAATTCGGCGAACGTCGTGAGCAAAAAGAGGTTATATTCCAGAAGTTGTATTATTAAAAGTTGTGGTATTCAGGAGAATAGCCAACTTTTCCCCATAATTGTCAAAGTTAATTTCGAATAATTACAACAGCAAAGATTGATTAAGAATTTTGAATGGGGCCCAGTACGACAAACTTCCGCCGAACCATTAATTATTTCTAGAAAGTTACAAACAAGTTAAAAAGTTGCAGTGGAAAAATACCGTTCGGAGATTGATTTCCTTTGAATATTTACGTCAATAAAATCACTCCAGGAAACTGGAACCGAATATTAATTCGGATGGCTCCTTTAGAAATAGACTGGAAACTAATTTCGAAGTTGGGCCTCAGATGGGAGTTTATAGCTTGAATGATAACTTCGAGTATCTTATAGATAGAAAATATCGAAAGTAGACGAGCTATAATTTTGTTTAAAAGATACGACTCGAATCGATACAGAGAAGCCGATAAGAAAAAAACTACTTAATTTAATTATTTCTACAGGGTGTTTCACAACTTATCCGACAAATTTTAACCACATATGCACTGTTACGAGAGAAGTTAATTTCCCAAAAAAAATGTAATAAAAGTCTTACAGAAATCGAGATAATAAAATAATAGTTTAACAGTTCAATTATTTATACAAGATGTTCAAAATTGTTCCCATTTACTGCAATGCAAGCTTGGGTGCTTGTTTTTTTTTGTTTTAACCATTGTTTTGGTGCAACATTTGCTACAGTAAAGTATTAAGGCAAAATTATGAACGCAAAATGCAGTATTTATTTTTCAATTTTTTATTAAAACTCGGGTTTATAATTTTATTTCTATAGGACTTTTATTACTTTTTTTTGAGAAATCAACTTCTCTCTCTTTGAGAAATCTCAAAAAAAATACTTTACTGTAGCAAATGTTGCACCAAAACAATGGTTAAAACAAAAAAAACAAGCACCCAAGCTTGCATTGCAGTAAATGGGAACAATTTTGAACATCTTGTATAAGTAATTGAACTGTTAAACTATTATTTTATTATCTCCATTTCTGTAAGACTTTTATTACATTTTTTTTGGAAAATTAACTTCCCTCGTAACAGTGCAGCATATGTGGATAAAATTTGTCGGATAAGTTGTGAAACACCCTGTATAAAAAAAAACCAAATCGAATTTAGTTTAGTATAATAGCTAAAATTTTTAGTAATATACTCTAAAGATTTATGAAGTATGTAAATTAGAAAATCCTCAAAAGTTGGAGTGAATCTTTTTAAGGGAGTTCGTCGACCTATAAAATAAGAGTGCAGTAACTTCTTCTTCCCGTCTGAAATCTATTAACGCTACTTGTCTTCCGCTCGCATCTAAAACTTTAGATTAGGAAATTGAAGTGTCGCCTCGACTTCGACGGATAAAAATCAGAGCGATCATAGGCCGTTTGTATTCCTCGCAGACAATCGCCGGAGAAAAAATCATTTATATTCAAAACGCCCGTCCGGAGCGTGCGTTAACAACTCGGTTAACATTTAAAGGTTTTTCGCCCGACTCCGTCGGAATGAAATTTAGCAGTTTCCAGCTAAATAACTGCCGATTTGAAAAGTCAATTGCTTATTTCCTTTCTTCGAGGAATGCTTCAACGATCCCGCGTTTAAATGACATTAACAGAACGCTTGTACCTCGCTTTCGGCGACGTATCAACTTTTAACCCCAACCTCGGTCTGATCTCGCCAAATCCCAGCGGCGCCCTTCTTTATTTTTACTCCATTTTACTCAAAAAAAATTCATTAGATATACGCGTAGTTTATGATAACATACGCAACACATCATTCCGGTCATAAACCATGGTAGAGGAGTTGAAAATGCGCCACCGGGACCACCGCAAAGCCCCCATTAAGTAAGCCTTTCTCCGAGGGGAGCTGGGAGTCATCTATCACAAGGAGACTCCGGAGTCCGGAGCATGCAAAGTGCACATTAGCACCGACTAGACGAACGTACAAGGGTCGATTTGCGACCGAGATACCGGGACTATTCAAAGAAAACAACAGGGCGAACCGCAGACGTGGGGATTTACAAGCGTCATTTAGTTATAGTGTCTTTTCGTTCGCCTTGTGTTTCTTGCTAGTTGGTGAGTTATGAAATTTCGTGCCGAGTTTACATATATTCCGGGAGGAACTTTGATAAAGATTACGATGACGTAGCGCTTAGGGTAATAGGAGAAAGGATGTATAGGTACACGGTCATAATGTCGTAAAATAAAAGCTTTTGTGTGTACTACAAAACGAATGCAATTCGATTATTTCTTGCTGAAATAATTTGCTGTTTTATTCAAACAATCTTACCTTTATTATACGCTTAATACATACAAAAATAGAACTTTGGTTTTAATATACACCGTTGGAAAAATTTTCGCGCATAATAGGGAAATCAATGTTAAATTCTTAGCCTGCTGAAATTCAGTCTACCAGTGTACATTTCAATAGAACGTCACGATAAATTCTAATAAATTTAATTGTTCTACTGGACTTCACACCGCGATTTGGTTCGGTTAGATTAAAAATCAAATAATTTCGACGGTTTCGACACTTCGACAGTATCAAAACATGTTGGGATGGGTGAACGTCGAGTCGATTAAAAAGAAATAATAATTTTTAAACGATAATTTATTAAAAAAATATCACTAATATTAAAATAGAATTATGTAGATATGTCTTTTTGCCACAATGGCTTGAAAAAGAAATTAAATTCTAAGAAAATAATAAAAAGGAAACTCCAAAAATAAACTTAAAGATTATTTTAAAACAGAAAATAAAAGAACTCTAAAAAATAGTCCACCGCTTTCTGCTAAACTATAGCCAAACCTGTCATACAGATGTCATCCCATATTACTGAGCTGAGGTATAATTCTAGCTGAAAATTGAATTATTTTTTCCCTTATTTCAACAAAATTTGTTGCTGTTTCAAAACTGTACCTACCGATACACTTATTTTTTTGAAATATCCCAAAAAAAATGAGTTTCTAAATAATTTTGTACCTCATACCTAACACAAATAACTTTGTACCTCTACAAATCGCGGCGTGCGGTCCAGTAGAACAATAAAATTTATTAGAATTGATCGCGAAGTTTTATTAAAATGTACACTGGTAGACTGGATTTCAGCCAGCTAAGAATTTAACATTGATTTCCCTATTATGCGAAATTAAATTTCCATCGGTGTATAAACGAAAACTATCTTTACAATCCAAACACGTTATAGAGTGGTAGAGCTTTCGTCTTGCGGCAACTTTCTGGAAACCTCTAAAAGTTGGCCGTAGGAAGGAAGTTGTTCGACAGCGAAATTCCGAGCATTTTCCACGTGACGACTCTATTAAATACGGCAGGTCGGGATGCCTGCACGATAGGCGCGGCCTCTTTAACTAAAAACATTCCTTTGTTGCAGAACCTCAACTGTCCCTCCATGAACAAGGAGATGTATTACAAAGGTAAAAAGTGAGCGTCACGTACGCCAGACAAGCGTGTAATATGCAGAATACTAATGGAGGTGTGTTGTTTCAGCTAACAAATGGACTCCCGATGTCAAAGAGCAGAGCCCTTTCCATACGCTTCATTCGCTGCATTGAAAGTCGAGGAGTCGACTGGCTCCCTGAGGGCTTGCTAACTTGACTTGCTAACTTTTCCCGACTTTGGGTTTCGTGTAAATACCTTCGATGGAAACGGACATATTTTTGTGATATGTATGCAATAAATGACCAAAGTGTTTTAGTGTGACTGCTAGTGAATTCCTGGTAGATTTGCAAGCGCAAAATTTACATACAGATACGCCGTGTCGGTGTCGCTGATGATGATATTATAAAAATGTTTAGAAAAATTTCTCGTTATAGTCGTTTTTTTTTTAATACCGCGAATCAAATTTGTTGAGATTAATGATTTAGTGAAGAAAAAAAGAGTAATAAAAATAGCCAATTATTAAAACAGATCAGCTAGTAGTTAGTAAATAAAAAAATATCTGAATCTATTTAATGTATCATATTTAATCTGAGCGCGGCTGTTGCGAAAATTGTAAAGTACTATTAAAGATTTAACGAAATTTAACATTTATCATTGCTTTTAATGAGATTAATTGTTATGCATATGGTAAATATTACCGTTTTATTTTTTATTTAACAATTTCATTAGATTAATCAGTCAAAATATATTTAATTTATACTATGCAAACAACTTCAAACAACCCAATTCCTGGATATATTCTACTACATATAACAATTTAGTCCTAAATTTACATAATCGCAATATTTTCTTATTGTTTAAATGATGAAATCGGTCATTAATTTACCCGGCTCTTGTTGAAATGATGAATTACTTTCGTCTAAAATCCCAAAGATAATATCTATTGAAACGCCTACAGAATTAATAACTATGTGTACACAAACCGGAATATTTCGATCAACCCTCGTAAGAACGTCGGGTTCGTTAGTTAAACTTCCAGTAAATATATTCTTGATTCGATCTGCAGCGAATAATTTTCATGAATTTCAGAGTTAAGTGTATCCCGTATATACAAGAGTTGTTCAATTTAATAGAAAATAGAGTGAAGCCGTCTCCAATGAAGTGTTAAGATAGCGGGAAATTGCTTCTTCGAGAAAAATTACTAACTACCTCCTTCTATCACGCCATTTTTTACACTTCAGTTCAGGATTGTTCAACGCGTTTGGAAAGCATTTTTCTGAAAAAAGAGCAGATAAGATGATTTGGTTAATTTTATTGTTTGGAGTCTACATTCAACTGAATTTAAAAATATATCTAGCTATTGTGGTCAATTCAAACATGGTTAATTATTACAATAATATACTATTCTGTTGTTTGAAGGATTTGAATTTATCTATAGTTAATACAACAATAAGCAAATAGTAACTAAAAGTAGGTACTACTAAAACGTTTAATGTAACTGCTATTTCAAAATGAATATTACTTCGTTAATATAAAAAGTAACTTTGAAAAACTCATTATAAAGATACAAAAATAATTGAATGAAACAAAGAGTTTCGTCATTAATCTTATGTTAAATGGATTATTGATAATTTCGTTTAAGTTTGAATATATTGTAGAATATTTATTTTTTAAACAAAATGTTATTAATGTCATTCTAGTATTCTATTGTATTTTGTCATTTTTTCAGTATCTACGTCTTTTGGGTAAGTTATCACCAAACTTCTTTTAATAAACTACCTAGGCTAATTAAAAATAATTAATATTTAATTTAATTTTCACTCACCTTTTGATATTTTGCTTTTATAAGAGAACTGTGATTGAATCTCCATTAAAAATGCTTTAAAATTATTATAAAGTTGACAGAGATCAATATTGTTAGGGGTTAATTGTTGTGGACATCAATTATATTGTGAACTCAATTGCCGGTTATGAATTATTAAATCTAAACTCCAATTAACGCCCTATCCATTCATACCAAAATAGTCAATTTAACCAATTATCATTTATCGATTAACCTGAAATCAACTAAATAATTGTTTTCAATCAACACCTACGAATCTTTAAATGTATCCATCTTTAATTTAACGAATTTGACAAAATGCAATTGAAATTGTACATACAGATTTACACATTCGAAACGAGTGTGACAACTATACAATAACTAAAAGAAGAATTATGTGTCCAGTGTAAATGAAAACTATAATAAAATGTAAGTCAATATATCGTTAAGAACGACCTATTTTTTGCTAGAAAATTGTGTATACCTATAATATACAAACAATATTACCAACAAAAAATAACGTTAATAAGACCGTTCGATTTGTTTTTATACCGCCTGTGTTAGATGCAACGAAAATGTTCTCGAAAAAAAAACATCATCCCGCTTCCCCGCGCTTAATTAACATCCGAACTTTAATTATCACATTCGAGATTTATAGATAAAAGTTCGAGTGACTTACGCGAAGTTCATTTCGAATCCCATCAACGGGCGACAATGGAAAATAATTGTCCTAATAAGAAAGCGGTATATTCTGCGTTCGTTTCGCCGACGCGAATGCGAAGCGTCGTCGACGTCGCGACGGCCCGGCCGGCTCGACGCGACGCGTCCCGACGCCGCCGAACTTCAACTCTCGGCGTACCTGATGGCTTCGGGAACGGCGTCGCGTCGGGCGCGACTTTTTATTAATTTAATATCCACCTTCCGGCGCTGGATTATAAAATGTTTTCCGTAAAAATGGTTATTTGTACCCGGCGAGTCTTGGAAAATTGCGCAACTACTGTTTCTATAAAAACTAATTAAATAGGGGCATAAGTTTAATTCTTTGTTACAATGTATAATTCAATTATACAGAGTTGGGCAAAAGTCAGGAATAAAATTATTATCTTTTGAACCAGTAATTTAAACAAAAAACGCTGAAACACGTGAATTGATTTTATATTGGACGGATTTGTTGCCAATAAATTTTTTTTTCTTCAACCCCTTAGTTGCAACCCTACCCAACTTTTTTTTAATACAAAGGTATGTCGTGTATAGGGTCATTGAAAAGCCCGTGAAAAATGGAATCTAAAACATACCTTTTTTGTTATTTTTTCTCATGTTGTTATTTAGAAATGAGCAAAAATTTCTTTTAAAAACAAAAAAGTTAGTGTTATCGACGTAGCAATGTTGAAAATGACCTCCACCATCTACTTAACATACTCCAAGGCGATGGTAAAACCTAATATTGGTAGCCTATCTTTAACTCTGAATGAATTTTTATTAAAAACAGGCGAGCCTGGGCAGGCAGCACAGCAAATTTTATTGATTTTCCGTTTAAAACTGATAAGACAACTTAGCATCAACATTCGTTGAAATTTATGTTTTAAGAAAACACTAAAACATAAAATTGGTTTAATTTTAAGCCATTGTTAATCAGTGAACTTTAAAAAGGAAAAAAGGTGTTGCATTTTTGTACAAGTTTTTTTTTACCAAAGGTTCGCCTGTTTTTATTAAAAAGTCATTCAGAATTAAAGATATGCTATCGATATTACGTTTTACCAATGCCTGGGAGCCTGTCAAGTAGATGGTGGAGGACATTTTCAACATTGCTACGTCGATAGCACTAAAAAAGTATTTGTAACTTTTTTGTTTTTAAAAGAAATTTTTGCCCATTTCCAAATAACAACATGAGAAAAAATAAAAAAAAGGTATGTTTCAGATTCCATTTTTCACGGGCTTTTCAATGACCCTACAAACGACATACCTTTGCATTTGAAAAAATAAAGTTGGGTAGGGTTGCAACTAAGGGGTTGAAGAAAAAAAAATCATTTTATTGGCAACAAATCCGTCCAATATAAAATCAATTCACGTGTTTCAGCGTTTTTTGTTTTAATTACTGGTTCAACAGATAATAATTTTATTCCGGACTTTTGCCCAACCCTGTATTTAAGTCGCTGGAGCAGCACTTGGGGGATTTTGTTGTGAGATATTACTATGGAATTTATATAAAAATATTTGAACAGTCTAAAATGATTATCTAGTAACTTTTGGCATTAAATCAGTCTAAATTTGAGCCAAAACAATTTTATTGGCAACATTCGTGTTTTGTAGTCTGTGTCCCAGTCTTATTTTGTCTCTTGATAATAATACGCGTCAAGTTGAAAGAATTGTTTTGCTAATAATAATAATAGTAGTACAAAAACATGGGATAGGTATGTAAATGAATACCTATTAATATGTATTAGAAAATAGTGTTTAATACGTGAACCCTTGCAAATACTCCGAGATCACAATGAGTGGGTTTGACTGGTTACTGTTGGATTAATTGAAGTGTTTTAGAAGACAAAATTCCTTTGGTACTTACAAGAATTAATATAAAAATGAACTGATTCGATAAATAAAAAGTTTTTTTTATAATAATTTAATCGAAGACTGAACTAAAAGGCTGACTTCAGACCCATGTAGGTATAAACACTATTTTTTCATCATTTACTTAAGCATTTTTAATTTCATATCTAACGAAATATATCGCATTTTTTACGAGTACTAACATCCTGAAGTATTCTTTAATCATCATCAAATCTCTCCATTTTGCCACTATTTCTAATCGCCCATTTTAACTTTATATTTCTCGTTAGACTTTAATATCATTCGCTCGGCCCGTTTCCGGGGTTAAAAATAACCGTCTCAGTTTTAAATTCATAAATTAATTATACGATTCGAAATTTAACTCGATTTGAATTTGAAATTGTCCGGTTTTAGTCGAAAACGTAAATATCTCCCGCAAGGTTAAGAAAATTATGCAAAACGTAAAATCCGGACGAATAAAACCGGAGTAGTTGCGAAATTCCGCCTCGACTTCAACCGCCCTGTTTTGGATCGATTAATTAAAATAACTCCATTCAAAGGAGAGCTAAGTGGGAAATTTGAACATAAACGGTTTTTAGGTAAATGATACTATTTAGCTTAAATATCGTACAAAATAAGGAATGGTTGAACGTGGTATGAGAAGATCTTTTGAAACGTGCCTCTTCGGGGTAAATGTGTTCAACAATTACGATCTAAATTGCAACTGATGCATCGAGAATAGATATTAACGGAATTAACGCGGCGACTAGTAGTGGATCAGAGTTCGTACTCTAATTGAAAGAGTTAGTTCGCAGTGTCGGCGGAACCTTGTTCCTTTAAATAGGGCATGTTTGGCGCAAAAGGGTCGTGCACTGTTTGTAATGGGTTTAGTGCTAGTTGCCACACACTACGGCGTGTAATGCTAGTTGTATACTTGTTTCTGATTTACGCTGCGAAATGTTTCGCGTGTGTGTATTTAAACAGCAATTCGCTTTTAATCCTTAAGCCAATATCGCCCATCTTTCTACAATCAATTCTTAGATATGAGGGATGTTTTTCGAGAACGTTTTTTTTAATGTAAATCGAGAAATGTATTTTGCTTCGTAGGTAGAAATTTATATAATATGTATATTGCCAAAATGTAATATATAGGTTATAAAAAAAAAATAAACATTTATAAATTATCAACGACTGGTTCTTTACCTATAGCAATTTTATCTTCCACTTTCCACTACTGTATTATGATAACTACCTTCATTTTCGTTTTCTCCTTATTCTTTCAAAGAAACTCCTGACCTGCGAAAAACATCAAGCGATTCAGTTTTAAAAATACAAATTAATAGTCAATGTCCTTCATAATACTTTTAATATCATATTCAATTGATAATACAGTTTAATTAAATAAAGCGATGGAATTGCGAAAATAAATCTTTTATTTTTAAACTCAGTTGGTGGTTAGTTTTCTTATCAGTGTATTTAAACAGCAATTCGCTTTTAATCCTTAAGCCAATATCGCCCATCTTTCTACAATCAATTCTTAGATATGAGGGATGTTTTTCGAGAACGTTTTTTTTTAATGTAAATCGAGAAATGTATTTTGCTTCGTAGGTAGAAATTTATACAGTGTGTCCACGGATGGGGTTGCCTATAGGAGAAAAATTGTTATTATTCATTTTACGACAAAAAGTCATTGTTTATAAAAATTTTTGCTTGTTTTAAAAATGAGAATAATACTGAAAAATCTTAGATTGGGTCTACAGGGTGTTGCCAAATTAAGAAAACATGAAAATACCTCAAGAGAGAAGTACCATTATTTTTTATTTTACACAAAATTTTTATAAAAGAAAGTTGTTTATAATCTAAAATAAAGCCTGAATACAAATTTTCAAATTAAAATTCCAATTTTGTGTGTCCACGGATGGAGTTGACCAGAGGAGAAAATGATTATTAATTTTACGAGAAAAAAGTAATTCTTTATAAAAAAGAGCATTAAAAGAGAGATTAAAAGCATTTTTTTGAAAATAATAATGTAAGATAATAAATAAATTCTTTCTTTATGTAAGATAATAAAAATTCTTTCGTTCTTTCTTGACATATGTTCCTGTTTCTTAATTTACTAACACCCTATACGTCTTATCTAATGTTTTGATATGTGAATTTCATTTTCTCGACAAGTTAATTTTTTTATAAAGAATGGCTTTTCGTCGTAAAATTAATAATAACCATTTTTCTTATCTGGTCAACTTTATCTAGGGACACACCAAATTTGAATTTAAGTTTGCAAATTTGTATTCAGACTTTATTTTAGATTATAAATAGCTTTCTTTCATAAAAATTTTGTGTAAAATAAAAAATAATGGTACTTCCCTCTTGAGGTATTTTCATGTTTTCTTAATTTGACAACACCCTGTAGATCCAATCTAAGATTTTTCAGTGTTATTCTCATTTTTAAAAGAAGCAAAAATTTTTATAAACAATGACTTTTTGTCGTAAAATGAATAATAAAAATTTTTCTCCTATAGGCAACCCCATCCGTGGACACACTGTATAATATGTATATTGCCAAAATGTAATATATAGGTTATAAAAAAATAAACATTTATAAATTATCAACGACTGGTTCTTTACCTATAGCAATTTTATCTTCCACTTTCCACTACTGTATTATGATAACTACCTTCATTTTCGTTTTCTCCTTGTGATTCTTCAATATTTTTTTTACCTTTCATTCGTATTCCTAAATTATCTATGGCTGGCGATTCTGAATATAAGCGAAACGCCAATATCGCCTTCGTTAAGGCAACCCCAATTCGGAATTTCGAATGTGAGAAAAGCTCCTCCAATTTTCCGCGTTCGTTGAGGATTTATTTTTCATAATACCGAGGAGACCCGTGAAAGGAAAAAAAGAGCCCCGAATGATACGTCTGACGGAATCTGTTTGCGGAGCAAAAAGCGCCGTTTGAAATCAAGGTGCAAAGCAGCCACTTAGAAAACACGGATAAATGGAAAGTTATGAGGGAAATGCGCCGGCAAAGCGCGAGAATTTCGTGCAAAATGTATGGTAGGGCGGGGCTAGTTGAGCATACGGGTAAGTTGTGCAATCGAAATATCTCGCAAACTATTCACCGTACGCATAAACATCTTATGGCGGAAAGAAGGGGTCGGGGGAGACCTAATCACAGAGCTATTGCAAGTGGCGCCTCGACAAGCGAGTAAAGCCCCCGTGCGTTTTGTTTATTTTGTGACCAAAAAGTAAAAACGTCGTCTATCGCAAGTTTTCGTCTGTATTAGTCAAATATTATCCGTTTTCAATGGGGTAAGGGTTAATATTCCAGAAAATTATTGTACTTTTGATATGTAGAGATGTTCTGGTTATAATTCTTACGGTTTCTTTATGACCTCACTTTTATTTTAAAATTGCGGGTTGGGGTTAGTTGAGCAACTACTGCGAAATTTACCAGGAGAAAGTTGGATTCACTGCCAAGCTTGCAGGGAATGGGCACAAATAAAATGTCTTCCAGGTGCTATGGTCTTACTTTCATTTGTTAATTGCAACAGTAACAACGACCAAAACTTGCTAATATATTATTAATATTTTTTTAAGCTATTTAATTCTGATTTTAAAAAGAAAGCTCGTAAATTACTTTAAGTTTTGTTGTTTTGTCACTAAATCACAATAAATAAAGAGATGATTATAAAAATAAACATATCCTATATGTAAACATACCGTTGCTCAACTTACCTCACCTATGGGGTACATTGAGCATACTTGACTTTCTGCATTTAAACAGCTGTAGCTCTTAAATTCAACTAGTTACAAAAAAGTTACTATGGACACTTTTGTTAAGGGATAAATTACTAATCCATCAAGCCACATAACAAGTCATTCACACATATCATTGATGAGCTATATCCGCTAAAGTGAAAAGTTGCTCAACTAGCCCCGCCCTACCGTATATCCCGAGCTGCGATATTGTGGATGTGCATCGCGAGCGCGGCTCCTGAAAATTGCATGACTCTGATAGGGGTAAATAGGGATTGTTTTTATTTGCGTTTATAATAGACCGTGTTGTTGGTTTATTCGCGCTCGCATTTGCATCAAGTGCAATCGGAAATGACACAAATTAACCGGCCTTTTGTTTATAATTATTGCAATAATCGTTTCACGTTATAACACTCATTACGTACAGAAGTTTTTTTTCACCTGGCAAGTATTTTACATCGATTCACAAAGCGTGTGTCATGTCTTGCGACTTTATTTATTCGGTGGAACGTTTGTCTGTTTGAATTATTAGTTATGAATAAAATTGTTTAAATAGAGTCACTTAGTAGATAGACATACGAATTAATAATAAGTGGATATATAAACAGTTTACATTTTTATAAAGGATATCAGAAAGAAGCCATCGTTGAAACACAGTGTTGGCTCTTAGAACTCGCTGTAGAACAAGTAAGAAATTTATTATAAAAATTTATTAGTAAAGTAATCAATCAATAGGGATTATTAGTGATAAATTTTCACGTTAAACTTTATATTTTTTAGAAGAATTTCACAATAAATTCTACACGCAATATGTAAATAAAATAAATTACATAACAATAAGAGTTGTAAACGTTTGTTAATTGCGAATCCAAAAGTGAATAATTCAGTATAATCATAAATTTTAAATATCTACTTATCTATAGAAATAACTAAGTTATAATTGAAAAAGTTAGCTATTATTTTATGTACCTGCTTATTACCTAAAGACCCTTAAAGAATTATTACAAAAAATTTTTGGAAGACTTCAAGGCTCCAGCATAATTCAAGAAGACTGAAAAATATTCTAAATTTAGCTCTTTTCTCAATCTCAATAGTGCTAATTGTTTTTTAATAAGTCTACATTTGACTAATGATCCTGACAATTAAATAATTAAAGATGAAAAAAAACAAACAATTGGTCCTCTCCGTCTCTATTTGACGATATTAATTTTAAATTCGTAAATGTTTGTAACCGTGGAATTTACCACGAAAATGATCGAATGAATTATTGAAGTCGACTCGCATGCAAACAGTTATTAAAATTAAGAGCGAATTAAATGTCGGCCTTGTGCAAAACTTATACGAAAAATCACAATTAGGATTGCGACGTGTATTATATAAGTAAATAGACACATGATTTTAGTCCGGAATTCGAACAATAGAATGAAAGAAGGAGCACTTCTATAGTTTGTCGAACTTTCTCTTTCGGGGTAGATTTTGTATTTGTATAACTGATGTGAACGATTCGAAAGTAAGTTTTTTTTTATTTCGTCACGTATTCCGATTAAAAAATCATATTTTAACTAATTTAAATATCGAAAACTGCTTATTATGTGATTTTTAAACGATCGAAGCCATTGAAACATTTCAGTGATTAATGGTTTTTATTTAGCGACACATTCTATGCATGTGTAGACTATGAAGTATGAAGCGAAGTTTTAATCAGATTAAACCGATTCCCAATAACAGTTTGTGAATATTCGGTGAAATGTTGATACAATTGTGAGGTTCATTGTTTTAGGACTACATAGTAAGTAAAAGTTTAATCCGTGGATTTCGATAAATACGTTTATCGAAAAACATATCTACCCGCAATGTGATAACTCGAAATAATTATTCCAATTATTTTTTAGGTATGATTTTTTAAAATATTTAATTACTATAATTACTTAACTACTTCTACATCATTATGTTTCAAAGAATTTGCTATAATAATCGTATTCTTTCAAAGAAACTCCTGACCTGCGAAAAACATTATCAAGCGATGCAGTTTTAAAAATACAAATTAATAGTCAATGTCCTTCATAATACATTTAATATTATATTCAATTGATAATACAGTTTAATTAAATAAAGCGATGGAATTGCGAAAATAAATCTTTTATTTTTAAACTCAGTTGGTGGTTAGTTTTCTTATCAGTGAAGTGTTAAGCAAATTCGGTATCTATTTCATGGGTCATAGTGAAATGAGTAGTTCTAAATTTACGTGCCATTAATAAGTCGATATGCTGAGTTTTTATAACGTAAGATTAATGGTGCAATAATTATCCGATAAGTAGGTTAATATTATTAGCGAATATTTAAAAGTTTATGTACCTATCCATTTTGGCAATTTTAAATATGTGTTAATTACCTCCAAAGTAAAAATGCAATTTTTGAGTTTCTCAATATACAAGGTAGGACTCATATAAATTTATTACTATTCGTTCAATTTGTAAATTACATTGGAAATAACTTTTGAAATACTTGGAGATATTCTTAATATTGGCTACAAAAATCCATTGGGTGTAAACTATTCTAAGCCTAACTTTATAGAGTCATTGATATCGCTTGATAATAATTTACAATAACAATAACCATTGTTTATTTGTTTAATAATAATAAAATATTGTAAACCATTAAAGTTTTCACTTTTAAATATTCCTTGAAATAAGTCTACTTGAAAGGTAACTCTCGACGAGCATAACTTTACAAAAATAAATAAACTCTAAAAACTAAAGAATTTAGTGATAATAAAACAATGAGAAATAATGTTTAAGCACCATGTGAATGTATATCGTTGTTAGTACCAGCAAATAGTTTTAAACCTAGAGGTTTATAATTTTATTTCGATATAACATTTTTGCAACTCATTGTGAACCTATACTAAGAACGGAGAAGTAAGTTTTACCTTGAGATTGTTTATTTAGTATTACATAACATACCCCAAATTATAACAAGATTTCATCTAATTGCAAGCATTTCAATGTATTTAGTATGGTATACCTGGTAGGTACTATGTGGTACTTAAATTCTCTATTTTAACCATTTAGTTTACCTATTTTTTCTTCATGTATACATCCACAAAAGCGATTGTAATGTAAAGGATTTAATTAATTATGCAGCTTTGTTTTCAAGTGAAAAAATACCACACGTTAAGTCGACAATTAACGAGTTAATTCAACTGTAATTAGGGATTAAACAGTGTATTTTAGTAATCCCAAATAGGTAAGTGGGTGCATGTACAGATTCGTATCTTTATAATATTTACAATCGCTTAACCACAACAAAAGAATTGCGTATAAACAACAAATTGAGCCCATTAAGGCTATTAGACTTAAATGTATGCCTAAAAATAGATGGTCAGTAACGTATTATTAAATAGATCATTTTTAATTGGAACTGATTTCAATTCAATCGGTATTATTAATCGAGTCCAGTTATAAATTTACATTTTTCTAGTACCTACTCAAGACATATGTATACATATTTCATAGCAAAGTCATGGGAAATTTTTAGAATTGTGAATTTTTTTAGTTATTTGCATATTAAAATATATTTTTTATACAATTTTCTCCTCAAGATTTATTTGATGAATATGCTTTATTGTGCTTGTTTATCTAATATTGACACAAACTACAATAAAAACATAAAATATGTAGGTAATCTTAGAAAACGGGAGTAGCATAATAAACGTCATTTAAAAGCCATTTATTAATGCCCGAATAAATATTTAAAGGTAAAATACATCAATAACAGCACGTTTCATCTATTATTTACAAGCTCTGAAGCGTTAGGTATTTAAAGTTTTACATAAAATCTTCCGTTCGCCAGATAACAATCAAAATACTAAAGATACGAATAGCAGATAAAATAATAGTTTAAAGTTAAATTGCATAGAAACTGTTTCCTTCGTACTTCGAGATGTTATAAATGATGAATGTACGGTGTAATCCAAGAAAGTTGATGGCGTCTCTCGCCTTTTTAGAAATTCCAGTCCTTTCTGGTAGCGTTTCTTAGCCAACGTCAGTTGTCGTTTAACCCGGCCCGGTCTGACTTCGATTCCAACGTATTTTATTCACTTCTTAAACTGAATTACCTTGGACTGTTAACTTTAGTATTCCTGAGATACTCTTTCTTGCCTACGCTCATGAATAACACCTGTGAGAGATTTATTTCGAACGATTTCCGGAAAGTTAAAAGGTACACCCGGAAATAATTTATCGGTTAAATTAAATATGTGATAATCTACAAGAGATACTACAGTCACTTGGCAAAACACTGTAGTTGCGATGCATAAACGAGATTTTTATGAAAATGCGCAATACAAAGCAAAATGGTACTAGCAGGTAAATAGAAATTTAATATTTTTACATTAAAATTGTGTTTATAAAACCATTAGAAAGAGCCCAAATAAAGTTATAATTATTATTGGGGAATAAAGCCACTCTAATGAACCTCCTGCGATCCTTTAATGACAAACCTGTTTCAGGTTTAGGGATAATGCTGGTGGGATGGGCGTTGATGTGGCAATCAAGGAACATCCTCTGGCTATTCGGAAGCCGATTCCTACTAGGATTAGGCAATGGGTGCAATACCGGCCAGCTAAAAGCTTACATATCGAACGTGTGCGATAAAGTCCTTAAATTAATCCGAACGAAATCTCGGGGAGTCATAATCATATTCTGGTTCGTGGATTTTCGAAGTACATACTTCGATGATACGCCCGTTCATTTCGGCCGGAATTTTTGCGGTGGTGGTATTTTTACCTGCTTCGTGCGGGATGATTAAAACTGAAAAATTTAACGGGGCAATCGCAGTCGCAGGTCGCTCGAATTCGAAAGTAAACTCCGGTAATGAAATCGAAGAGTAATGCTGAGGCCACACCAAGCGCGATGTTCGCTACGTTCGCTACGTTCGCTACGTCCATTAAAAATATTCCCCATTATTATAAACGGACGTGGCCACATAGATGTATGACGCTACGTTCGCTACGTTCGCTACGTTCGGGACGTCGCCAACCTGTTTGATTGTCGGCTATATTTTGAAAACGTCCGTAGCGAACGTAGCGAACATAGCGTAGCGCTTGGTGTGGCCGAAGCATAATTGCGACGAGAGCAGTGCTACGAATCGCGATTTTTGTAGGATTTTTAACGAAAAAGATTTGAGATACTAAATATTTGCAATGTTAAAGGAATAGGTACTTTCGATGTGTAGTTATTTTATTCGTAGTAACTCTAATTACTAGTAACGATAATTTATTGGAACTGTTCATTCTTTATTAGTATGTGTTTGTGTATAATTGCACATACTGTCGGTTTGTGTTCTATACCTTCTATGTTAATTAACGATCTCTTTACGATACCTTACCGTGCAAGCGGAACAAATTATTTCGTAGCTCCTGGGTGTAGTTATAACGAAAATATTCCAATTACTAATGAGAAACTTTGCCTATACGTTGGGTTTTATTTCTTCCTGTTTAATAGCACGTTCGCGATGATTTTTTATTTACTCCGCGACACCCAAATGTGTGATTTAACAATAGTTAGTTTTATTCACCTTCTTATTCTAATTTAGAAAAGAAATTCTACGAAAAGTTTTCATCACAACGATTAAATGGTCTCAGAGAAAAAATAAGCAACATGTTTTTGTTATTGCGCAATTCATTTCCTCGATGTCTATTGTGATATAGCACGCTTTAATTGCTTTAGCATTACGAACTAAACTGCAAATGTAAATAATTAAGAAGGTACGTTAATGAAAGGCTTAGTTAGTTGATGATGCAAATGTTATAATTAGCTGTTGATAGGTACTCTTCCAGCGCTTCGACAAGTTTTGTATAATTTGTTTTATTGAAACGATTTTCATTGTCCACGTAAAACATTTAATTAACTGCAAACTGCACGATACAGTTATTAATTAATTATACAGGCAAACAACCGGTCGATATAATTTTGCAACACTTACAAGAGTAAATAGGTATGAAAAAAAGGGAATTTTATTAATGCTAAGTTACATAATTGCTAAAATTCTACATTTTAGTAAATCCAATTAACAATAATTAGACTTATAATTAGACACGCAAAAACTTATCAAGTAGTCGAAAGTTTTTTATTTTCATACTGAAATTTTGTACGCACCTATACTTAAATAAATACAGCTGTCGAAACGAAATAAATGTACTGAACGGGTACCTACATTGTAAGTGCGAATTTCGATGGAATTCTCAAATCCGTGCTATGCGCTTTTAATTATTCAGTCGGTTTGCAATAATACGCGCGATAAACATTTCAACGTCGCTTAAAACAAATGGTCGATATAATTCATAGATTAACGCAAACACCAATAAAAAATTAATTAGCTTCATCGGACATTTATGGTGTGTTTGCAGAAGCATTAACCATGCCGAAATCAGATCAAACAATCAAAGATCACACGATGGAGCTGCTTGATAAGCAGAACGTTAAGGCGGACATCATCACTTATCGCTTCTCGACCACCGAGGACACGATGCCCAAAGTGCCTTCGCTCGCTCCGAGGGTTCGTCAGATATTACCAACAGTTTGCGGTAAGCATTCACATTTTAATTCTTCAATTTTCAATCACTACGAAGAACACATAGACCCATATTCAGCGCCTCACTTCAACCTTAAGCACCGACTTTAAAGTCGCGTCTCTAACTTGACAGTTTTACATTGTTGTTATGGAGTAACTATGGATTTTGTTTACGTTAAAGCGAGCTTCTAAAGCCATGTTTAAGTTTAAAGTGAGGCGCTAAATAGAAACATTCTCATTAGTATCCGATTTGATGCATTTTCCAGCTTCGAATTTTCAATCAGTAGCACGACAACCTTAAGCACCGACTTTAAAGTCGCGTTTCTAACTTGACAGTTTTACATTGTTGTTATGGAGTAACTAGGGATTTTGTTTACGTTAAAGCGACCCTCTAAAGCCATGTTTAAGTTTAAAGTGAGGCGCTAAATAGAAACATTCTCATTAGTATCCGATTTGATGCATTTTCCAGCTTCACTCTCGTGCTTGCCCTTCGGTTTAATGCTGGGATGGCCGTCTCCTACAAACCCGATTCTCATGGGGGAGGATTCCCCGATACCGATCAGCATCGATCAGAGCGCCATGATAGCGGGGTTTCTGATGATAGGCAACGCCTTGGGAGCGACGCACAGCCACAAGATCATCTACAAGGCGAAATTCGGAATACTCGCAGGTAAAAATGGTGGAGTTTGAACGATTTATGCCCGATTTCACCAACATGTTGTTAGGTATTTCCTAACTAGGTAATTCTTAAGGTAGGAATTACTTAAATCGAATGCTTACCTAAATCGAATTTCACCAACATTAGAAATCCCTTACTAAGAAATACCTAGGTAAAAATTTGATTTCGACATATTTTTTGAATTTTATTGGTAGCATTGGCTAATTTTGACGTGTAAACCGAATAAGCGGAGATTGAAATTGAATATGTTGAGAGAAAAGAAGAGATGTTGACGATCCGGGCCATCTTTAAATTATGTTTGTTATTTTTAAATCTGCTGAAGATGTAGTCTGTACATTATTAGAAAAATAACCTTTCCGATTTGTAAAATATTTCTACATCTTCTTCTCCAGGACTATGGATCTTTACATGCATGTGTACAGTCAATAGTTCCAAAAACTTCCTGTGTATCAAATTAAAAATCATCTTCAATTCATTTTAATTTTTGTAATGCCGTATTTTTATATATCGAAAAAGGCGAAAAAAAATCAGTTTCGTCCAGTTTCTAAAAACTCTCCTCCCATTTTAAATTTTCATCTAAAGAGTCTAAAGACAGTCAAGACTAAAGTCACATGAAATCACATGGAAAGTATGGTTAAGTATTTCCTAAATGTTTTAGGCAAGCCCAGTGAGCTGTCCTAACTTTAGGCATTTCCTATTACCTTTAGGTATTACTTAGTGCATGGTAAAACGCAAATTGTACTTAGGAATTCCTAAATCCGGTTTAGGTATTACCTAACTTTAGGAACTGGTTGGTGAAATCGGGCATTAGTGTTTATTTTAATTGTCGTTTCAGGAGCAATCGTTATGACGATCGGATGGATATTAATGTGGCACGCGAAGAACATTTTCTGGCTGCTGGGCAGCAGGTTGCTGGTGGGTTTGGGGAGCGCCTACGGCACCGGGCAATTGAAACTGTACATATCCCACACGTGCGATAGGGACCTCAAAGTGATTCAGACGAAGTTCATTAGTTTATACGTTTATCTGGGAATTGTAATGGTTTATGCGATCGGTCCTTTCATCGATTTTAGGGACACGTCGATGGTGTGCCTGTTGGTGTCTATAGCGGTGGTTTTTTTGGTGATATTCCTGCCGGCGACGCCCGTCGAGCTGGTGAAAGACAGTAAGTTCAACGAGGCGCGAAGGGTGATTGCCCGGTTGAAGTCGAACGTGAATATAAATTCGGAAATATCCGCGATCAGCAGGAGCATCGAGAAGAAGGTTAAAGAACGGAACCTTTTGCATATCTTCAAAGAACCGGACTTGAGGAATAAATTCGTGGTGTTTTCGATTATCGTATTTTGCCAACAATTTAGCGGACTACCGGCGACGATAATCTACACGCAAATCTTGTTTCAGGAATTCCGTTTTCCTTATCCAGAGTATTTAGCAATAGCGTACGTAGTGATATTTTTTATTTGTAACGTTATAGGTATATTTCTCATGCCCCGGTTTGACAAGAGAAAGGTGCTGTTGTGCTCGACAATTAGCGTTATCTTAATATTAACAACTCAAATTCTAGTTATTTACTTCGAAGTTAACGATAAATATTGGTCTTTTACTTCGTTTGTAGTCATGTGTTTGTATGTAATAGCGCATACGCTGGGTTTAGGCAACGTCCCGCCAACGTTAATTAATGATCTCTTCACGATACCCTATCGAACGAGCGTCGCGAATTTTTTCACAGCATTCCACTCGATTTTAGCTTTACTTATCACGAAGATATTTCAAGTATTAATTAGCCAGTACGACATAGCTGTGACGTTTTATTTATTTTTATGTGTTAGTGTTTTCGCGCTGGTTTTTATCTATTTCGCAGCGCCGAACGAAGCTCAATGTAACAACGATGTCGAAATAAAATGTAAACCGACTACTTAAAATTATTTTTCCTCGTTTTAATTCCCGTCCTTTAGTAGACATTCTATGAAGGTAGAAAGATAAAAGCAAATATTTGTAGTAATTTGTATTTGAATTCACAGTATTATTAGACCGAGTGTGGTTTTGATGCTTTTATTATTGGTGTAAAATAAAAGCAGTTTAACTATTACTTTATAATTGCTATTTCAGAAAATTGTGAAAATATCAAAAAATCACCTTACAATATTTTGTTATAATCATTCTCGAACGTTTCCCCTCCTGTATAATATACTACAAAAAATCTTATCACCTCTAAAATTTATTATATATAAATATATACAAGTTGTATTAGTAATTAAATTAATAAATTGCGTATTTCCCTAATTAAAACGAAGATCCGATATGAAGTGTTTCATAAATAGCTAGAAAATCAACAAAACAGGAAAACAGTAAGAAATCGATAATTTCAACGCGATCTAATTCAAATAAAAAACTTAATAACAATAATAACCAAAATGCATAAATGTTAATTTTACAATCATTTTAACGATCGAAACAATTCAGCAAAATCTATCAATCGTAAAAATTATTTCCTTTACAGCTTGTATACACATATAAATATATTTCCATAACATCATGCTCCCCATCTAAACTGTATTATCTTATTTGAAATTAAATGGACACTATTGAATACAACATTGAAACACCCTGTATTATGTATTTCTAATTGGTAATTTTTAAATACTGTCTACCAGTTTGATAAGCTGCTTCCATATAACAATTATTATTGGTATGACAAACTGACACCCTGTACAAAAAAAAAACGTTTGTGAATCACTTCATATGAGGAGACCCATTATTAATCGGCATTCATATTTTATAATATACAAACTAAAATAATATTCATTAAAACATATAATAATTATCGATAACTGATAACTGGAAGTTAAATAATATATTACTATACAATAACTGATGATTTTACAATACTTCCCGAGTTAGTGAAATACTGTAAACATCTGCAAATAAAAAAAATTAATAAATAATGCGTTTTTAGCTAATCCGTTGATTATTGAAAGGCAGTTGCATAACCGAAAACAGTATTTCGGACCGTTTATAATTTCAGTAAAATCATCTAAGCATTTCAATACATTAGTAGAATTTAAACTTATAACATTTATAGCATTCACATCTATTGGACTCGAAAAAAACTAGTTTAATATAAAAATTAATAATTGTAAAAATATACGGGACATTTTTATATAAATAAAAGTTGCTTAAAATCACATGTAAACAGAAAAAAAATTCACATTTATTGGTTTCTAGGCTTAGCTTCAAAATTGAACTATGTTTTGTTTCCAAAGAAAAATTGCTACAATAAAAAAAACAGTAAAACGTAAAAACAATGAGGATTAACCTGTTGTACTTGAATGATCTTTGAATTCGCAGCAGAAATATGTAATCGAATACCTTCCTTATTCATCACTGAACGACAAACAATATCAATATTTCATGCTAAAAAAATAATGAATTGTTCAACCATTTTATAAGTATATTTTACTTTCGTTGAAATTGACGAAATCTTTACTCTTTCCTTTACGAATTACCCTTTTATTAGCCTGGTCGTTTCTGTGTGTATTATACACAAAATCCTGCATTCAGTTAGAATTTCAAAAACTAAAAATTATTCTTGTTTAAATTGATTCACGCTGCGGATTACTATTACATTTCGAATCAACGAAATCCACAAAAATTAGATATGTGAACAATCAAGTTGTTTTCCCTTTCCGGTGTATAATAAAAATGAGCAACTTTTCCATACAAACAAAACCAACAATTATATAAATATAACATAATTTAAAGCAAAAAGCATTTCTTCTCGATATAAAAATATATAAAGGTATTTGGAAACATTCAAATTGTATAAGAAATATCGCACAATAAATGTTATCAGACGTAAAAAGCGAATTGCGTAACTCACACCAATCGATTTGTTGAGTGATTTGCTTGTTGTAATTCCACATAATCCCTACAACAAAATTACATAATTCAAACCGTTTTCATAAAAATAAATATTTAACCGAACCAACACTGTTTTGAATACAAAATTGTTGAGAATACATTTAAATTTCTATCAAATTTTACAGGCGCTTTGAAATTTTGAATGGCCAAACCAAACCTAAAGAGTTCATAAGACTCTCTGTGTATACACAATTTAATATAATTACTAATTTATACAGGGTGTCCCGTGACTAGACTTTTTCGACTTCAAATCGACCTCCACCGAGTCACAGGACACCCCGTATATACTTTAACCGTATAACTACAGATTGCTCCATTTTTGATCGCAACATAGGTTATATAGGACATGGGTGCGATAAAGACAACTTCCATTAGACACTTACAAAGGAAAAGGAAAGAGTGACATTTGTGTCATTGCAACTTTTCACTTTGACAACTGTCATTTCGATAATCTTTCTTTGTTCCACTCATAGAAATGACCATGTTGCAATCGGAAATGGAGCACAGTGTATATCTCAATTGGACGTTATATACTCACTATTCGATGCGATATAAAAACGAACAAGATCCTGTTAGGACAAAAAGGGATTTGCGGGTTCGTTGCTTTTCGTCCAGGGCGAATTCGTAGTACCGTTTGTAGTTGCCACGGGCGCCCAAGGATCCTAAAATAGAAACAAAAATTACTAATAAGAAAGAGCACATGGTATAAAAAAATAAAGGACATTCGCGCTCGCTAGGCAATGACGTTACAAGCCAACATGTTGCAACGTTGCCGGGTTGAAATGAAAATCTTGATGTGACAGATATATTTAATGTAAGGTTATGTTTACTTTCATTGTTTAGAAATTAAAAAGAAGAAATTCATTAGGTTGCAATCCGATTGACGGGAGAGGTGTTTATTTGCAACGCTTCAAAACCCTATAAAACCGAAATATACATTTAAAAAACTATTCGTAAGCATATACCTATTACTACTATACCGCTTATAATGGTCTAAAACCCGTAGCAAACATTATACTGTGGTGTGATTGCTTATTTATGCGCATGCTCAAGTGAAAGATTTCTTGATTGGCTACTTTTGACACAGCAAATGAAACGTCAGAAACGTGCTAGCTTTTATTTTGGTATATTTTTTGATATATTTTTAAAATCGACTTCGACTTGCGTGTGTAAATATGGCTACCGAATTTAAACAGGATTTCAAGTATTATTTTCCTTCTTTTCGTTTTAGGCCTCAGCTACTCGCTATTGGTCCTTTTGAAATTAACGCGCTTGCGTATAAACGACTAAGCACACCACAGAGAGTCGGATCTCTTTCTTTAATCGCTACGATTTTCTCTTATGGAATGGATAGGGAGTTAGCAGTATATTAGTAATAGGTATATGTTCGTAAGTTTAACATAACCTATAAATTTCAATGTGCTGAACTATCGAAAATATTGATCGGGAATTAATCGGGAAAAAAAGGGCCTCCATCGTCCCGTTCCCTCTCAAAATAGGTCGAAAAATATCGAAAATGGCGGGAGAAACTGTCGATAAATGTACATAAACCGCACGAAAAACTATCTAGAACAAACGAAAAACACAAAACCTACAAGTAAACTTGAAAAAAATACAGGAAAATCGCGCAAAAACAACAAATTGTTGTCATAACCTGTCAAAGTGTCACCTACAAAGCGCCGCTAAATATTGCGAATGTTGAGACTAATGCATGACAACATCGCCTTCGACTTTCAACTACGCGTCGTAAAATTCCCCTAGTCAAATGGGAGAATTAACATTGACACTAGGCGAAATGTTGAACTGCGTGGAAATCAATGACGTCGTCTAAAAATGACGTCATTGCCTAACGAACGCGAATGTCCTTTAGCAGTTATCAATCCATAGACCTATTAACTATGGACGCGGTTTAGACAAAGAGGTAGTGTTGTCGATGAATGAGAGAGATGCAGTTAGTTTGGGCATATGGCAATGAGAGATTGGACAAAGCATTAGCCAATAGTAAGAAAGCAAAAGACCACGTGAGTTACGTTTTCAGATATGCAAGGTAGCTGGGGTAGAGGAGGGTAGCTTATGGTAGAACAGGGTTAAGGAGTGCAGCGGAGGGTATTGTGATTTATTATTTTTTTGCCGAACAAAATGCATTTTTCAGCTGAGCCTAAATTCCCACGCATTTGCAAATACAGTTCTTATTTTGTATTGTTATTTGGAACATCCTACCTATTAGCCAGTACAGATTTCGCAATGTAAGACCTAACTGCTTTCTCTTGTAAAAAATATGTTTCTTCCAGGTCATTCTTCTGTCCAAGTGGATACCAAGATAAAAACAATATTTAAATATTAAGCGTATAAATAATTTAACAGATTAATCGCCTTTTTCCACACACCCTGTATATATTTTATATTTTTTTTTTGTCCCGCTTACTTTTAGCCCAAACTAGCTCCATCTCTCACGGACCTCTCTCTCTATCATTGGGAACGCTGAATAACCTCAAAATAACGATAGTGCCGCGTTCATACTTAATAGGTCTATGGATCAATCGTACACGATTTATGAGAAATGAATAAACAACCTGAGTTACGGCGGAGGCGCCGAAGGCGCTATTAGGGCCTATCGGCGGCAGGGCCGGAAACTGCCCGAATCCAGCGGTTTGCGATGGAACGTAACCGGTCGACGTCGCCGACGCCGTGATATTGAACGAGGCGAATTGCTGCTGTTTTATTTCGTTAATGGACGGCTTCGGCGGCGGCGCGCTAAACACCGCCCTCGGTGGATTGTTCGCCGGCGGCTCCGAAAACGGATTGGGCGCCAGCGAGGGATTCGCGGGTTTGCCTGAAACGATTTTACACCCTCAATTATCCCGAGCGTTTCCTTCGAAACTCGCTACTCACTCGTTACTAGATTATCTAAATTAACCAAAGCGGAGTTTTCGCCTAAGAAACTGAGCGGCGTCTTCTTCGTGGCGCCCGTCGATGTGTTACCTTCGCTGTCTGTCGCGTTCATGGGCAATGAATCGTTCAGTAAGGCCAATTCGAACGGGTCGCCGCCTCCTCCGCCATTCGCCTTAGGAGAAGATTGTACTTTATTTCTAAAAAACGACAACATTATATTATACCTACAAACAATGGTAAATTAACGACAATAAAATCGTGTACGAACCTATTGGAAATCACATCGAACTCGTCCAAATCGGTGGAACTCTGGCTGGTCGGCGACCACGGATCGTGCTTGGGCGGAACTGGAGCCGGAGAAGAAGTACCATCGTTCGATGTAACTGGTACTCCCCAAGGATCCGCGCTTTGGGCTGCAGCCGAAGAGGGCCTCCAAGCATTGGCTAAGGGCACATCAGGCGGCGATGAAAGGGACGATGGGTGCCAAGGTGATGATTGCTAAACGAATGAAATAGAGGAAACATTAAGACCAATTAATTACTGTGTTTTCAATGACTATATGTTTTTGATAATCATCATCAGACCCAAAGAATATAAAGATATACACCGTTGGAAAATTATTCGCGCATAATAGAGAAATCAATGTTAAATTCTTAGCCGGCTGAAATCCAGTCTAACAGTGTACATTTCAATAGAACGTCGCGATAAATTCTAATAAATTTAATTGTTCTACTGGACTTCACACCGCGATTTGGCTTGGTTAGATTAAAAATCAAATAATTTCGACGGTTTCGACACTTCGATAGTATCAAAACATGTTGGGATGGGTGAACGTCGAGTCGATTAAAAAGAAATAATAATTTTTAAACGATAATTTATTGACAAAATATCACTAATATTAAAATAGAATTATGTAGATATGTCTTTTTGCCACAATGACTTGAAAAAGAAAGTAAATTCTAAGAAAATAATGAAAAGGAAACTCCAAAAATTAACTTAAAGATAATTTTAAAACAGAAAATAAAAGAACTCTAAAAAATAATCCACCGCTTTCTGCTAAACAATAGTCAAACCTGTCATACAGATGTCATCCCATATTACTGAGCTGAGGTATAATTCTAGCAGAAAATTGAATTATTTTTTCCCTTATTTCAACAAGATTTGTTGCTCTTTTAAAACTGTACCTACCGATACACATATTTTTTGAAATATCCTCAAAAAAAATATTAAATTCAGTTTTTAAATAATTTTGTATCTCATACTTAACACAAATAACTTTGTACCTCTACAAATCGCGGCATGCGGTCCAGTAGAACAATTAAATTTATTAGAATTGATTGCGACGTTCTATTGAAATGTACACTGGTAGACTGGATTTCAGCAGGCTAAGAATTTAACATTGATTTCCCTATTATTCGCGAATTATTTTCCAACGGTGTATAAAGAATTTTCGACATAAAATTGACCCTCCTCAACTATGTCCATAAAGTCACGGGACACCCTGTATAATTTACTAAAGCATTTACAACAATCGAAATTCCGATTTTATCAATTTAGGAAAATAATTACGAGACCTAACGAGATATAATCTACAAATAATAGCGATACACTATGTTAGTTACCGAATGCATTAGAATATACACATATTAATAAATAAACACTTTCAGTACTGTATTCCATATTTTTAAAAAAACAAGTATATTAAAAGCTGCCTTTTACTTAATAAGCGACTGAACAAACTTTCAAGCTGTTACGTTCGTACGTACCACCTGTGGATAAACACCGAAAAAACTCAAATCCAACGACTAGAAATAATATTTCGAATAAATATTTGCGAAAAAAATCGAAATAACTATGCAAAATAAAATACCTGTGGTCTAGGTACTTGTGGCATGCCCCAAGGATCGACAGACGCATTTTCATTTCCCAAATTGATATCTAGCAAGTCCACCAAATGGCTGTCTTCGTGTCTTCTCTTGTCCTGGGACGACCTACACCAATAGTATTAAATCATCACATTATGATGTTGATCTAAAGCCTCGTCGATAAAAATACTCACTTGAAATCCTGCTGACTCTGACTCAACGCCAATTGGAGACGCACATCGTCCGATTTTCGTTTCTGTTCTTCCTGTTCAGCTTCCTCTCTCGACATCGCCAATGCAAGCTGCAATTGAAGCTCTTCTTCTCCGGCTGTTTGAGGACGCGCCACTTCTATATCTCTGGCAACATCGACTAAAATGATACAGCGGAAATTAACAAGAGTTTATTTGTGACGTTAGTAAGATTGTACCAGTGTCTCTGGAGCTCCAATCGCCTCTAAGGGCGGGATATTTAGGGCTACTGGGCGTATCTAAACCGCCGTCGCTGCCGAAACCGCTGGCGCTTTGCGCGAACCGTTCCTTAGCTTTCAAAGCTCTAGCTCGTTCGTTTTTCAGTCTTTCATCGTCTTTTAGTAAATTCACCAACTGCTTCGCCTTTTCTCTAACGTTTTGCCCTTGATCTTTGCCTGAAAACCGTCCGATTATTTCCATCTACGCATCGATCGAATCGATACCACGTACCTTCTTCTAAATACTGGAAATCCTTCAACGTTTGAATAGCGAATATATTCTCTTTGCACTGCTGACCCACTTTTTCCGATCCGGTCTTAATTAGATATTCTAACAGGACTAAAGCTTTATAGACGTGACGCCAGTTCCTACCGTGATCGTTCAACCTCTTCCAAACCTACAAAAAAAATATTCAACGTTAAATTGGCGCTATTGCAGCGTTCATTGCATGTGCATGAAGGTAAATCGAACCGTACCATTTGCATAATTTCGCTGAACGCGACTACGTTGTACGTTAGATCGGCTATTTCGGCCATTATGGTGCTGCTCGGGCCCCACGGATCGTTCGAAGTCGCCTCTCTGACCTTCTTCTGGGCATCGGAGTAATTGTGGGCGAAATTTTTGATGTTTCGCCGGATGCCCGCCACGTTTACCTGCATATCGTGCGAACCGCGTCTCATCTAAAAATTAAATGACGATTATTCGCCCGATAATCACTCGATATCCGGTTTACTCGGCCGTTAAAATCGCCATTGGGATTTTCTAAAACGGGAACTTTTATTGGGAGTCCCATCTGTTTTTTTTTTATTTTTGTAACATGGAGTTCGACAGAGAAACGTTTTATTAGGAATGAAAACACAAACAATCAATAAAAATAATGCATAAAATGAACTGTTTATAGTACACGCTTAGATCAAATCAAAGTATGGTTTCTAAATGTTATTAGGAATTGAAAAAAAAAACGTAAATGAAGGGCAAATAAATCATCGCATTGGATCATAACATAGAGTATAATTTACCACCCTACGGCTAAAATAAATTTCTGTAATTAAATCGATCGATTCGATAGAAAATACTTCATTTGTAAGATGGGCGACCTTGAATTGAAATTTACATCGAAATAAACAAACTCGTTACAATGTATCCAAACAACATTTTTTTTAGGTAATTGCTTCATCAAACATTTTTTGATAAAATTTAGAGTTCAAATGACGACAGTAAAATTTAAATATTTATTTTTTAATACAAACCAAATTAATCCATCTACGAATTCCTGGGCAAACGTACTTTTAATTTAACACTAATCAACGAAAAATAGAAAAAAGTACATTTATCTACTTTAGATAAGATAAAGATTTACAATTATTGTTCAATGCTAATATATTAAACTAAATTTATTGTTTCATGATTATTAATTTTTACAAAAATTTGGGAAATCACTTGAATCATCACATCAAAGATTAATACACAAAGTAAGGTACTAGAAGTACTTCTTACAGTTCTGAAATGCATTCTAGCACTATTTTATAAATAATTCATTATTTTATAATAATAGAAATAAACGATATAAATAAATAAGTATTGAAGAAGAGTGGAAATCGACCTTTTTCAAAATGTCTTTTATTTTTCATGATCAATATTCTGCCAATGTTAGATTGAGGACATAGACAAGGCCTTTTACTATCAAGTAAGGTCAGGTTAAACTGGGTTTCTCTACAAATTGCTTCATTCATTTGAATCTGTTTAAAAAATCATTCAGAAATACAGAACGGAAACATTTACAACATTTACAACACACTCTTAAATAATTGTCTAGAAAAAATAACTTACTTTGAAATATTTTTGAAGATGGTGATGTGTATTAGATCCAAATAGCTAGCTGCGAAAAACATTAATAATTGTTAGAAAAATCTCATGCACTGCTGCTATTGTTACATTTTAACAGGAGTTATCAAATTTACTATATCGAATTCATAACATTTGAAAGATATTTAAAGAAAATTAACCAAGTACTCCTACGAGTATTGAATCAATCAACACAATCTAACATTATAGTAATAGAAGTTGATTGTAAAAAAATAAATAAATGAACCACATCATAAGTAATATACCAACTAATATACACAGTAAACATACTTTAGTTTGGAATGAAGCCAAATAGGTAAATCAAATTTGCACGGCATTTACCTATTAGAAAACAGTTTCCACGATAATGAGATTAGAGAGAAAATTGAGTAGTTATAGAGAGAAAAGGCAAAAACGAAATACTACCTTTAAAAAATTACAAATATTTTCAATTGAATACAGATAGACTCCAGACTGTTTTTCAATGTAAATATGAAATATGCCTGCAAACTTGACACTGTGTACTTAATGAATCCAATTTGTAAACTGATAAAATCACATGATAAATAATTAAATTACTGAACAAGGCAATTTAGCCAAATTGCTAATAACTTCATAATGTTTCTTCATGAGTTATTAAATGGAACTAGAAATACCTAATACAAATAAAGGTTTGGTTAAATTGAATATTCGATTTTAAATGGGTTCTGCAGTTTTGCAAAAGCAAAGCACAAAATGTATAATGTAACTGATAATATTAAATTGTTAAAAGCAAATTAAGGAAATTCGGCAAATCGCCAAACAAAATATTTAACAGGATCCACTTACCTACTAGTAGAAGTTTTTATCTAGGTTGTTCCTTCATCAAATTTATCCCCAGATTATTATCCACTGATTTATTATTATTAAACTAACCTATTATTGGCTGTTTAACTAAAATTTAAATTTCCGAATAAATTCTATCACAATAATAATTTACAGATCAGAAATAGCTGTGATGACACTACACTTTTTGTTATTTTCTTCAATACACATGACACAACATTCAACATGGCGGAAATCTTCAAAATAATTGTCAAAAAACAATTCGCTTAAGATTCCACACGAATTCTGTTAATTATTTCCTTAATTAAAACATCCAAGGAATTATAATTTATAAGGCAATGAAGAAAACGTACAATTTAAACATAATTTTCTTGTACTACTTGTTTATAAAATTTATTGACATTTCAACATTTCCCTAAAATCAGGGTGGCCAACCTTTGAGCTACGACTTTCCTGGAGAAGTTGTATAAATTTGATTTACACTATTAACCAAAATGAATACTGATAAAATAGAGTTATTTGCATTAATATAATCTAATAATACAAAAATTAATTGAGAGCTACATGTCGATGTCGAATATGAAACCGTATTTAGTATTATAACTAACAGTTGTTACCACTGCTTTTACGTCAAAAAATAAACGTCAAATCAAATGACGTCACGTCAATCAGTCAATGTCAAACTTTTTTCTTTAAATGCTAATGTTGTCAAGCTAACGTTTATCGCACAGTTAGTTCTTATAATTTATCGGCTCATTTTATGCAGAGCAAAATTTCTTGAATCAAAAATTGATTCGTGTAGACTGACCAGAGTCCACGAATAGAATTGTGAAAAAAGCTTTTATCAAAAAAAAGTGAGTACAAAATAATTTTCATTTAAATTTGTCACACCCTTTACACCTACTATAATGAGCCTATTTTTTGTTGTATTCTTTTTAGATGACAGAACAACATCGATTTGGAAACAACATAAACCCGATAACTTGCCATGCCTGGAATAAGGACAAAACTCGTAAGTATTATTGCAGAATTTAGTAATACTAAAGTATAAAATGAGTCATACTGTTGAGGTTTTATCATATCTAATGTTGGTTTACCAAAATGTATATTTAATACTTTAACGAAAATTCCTTAAGCAGGAAGTAACTTTTTATTTGTAACATTATTGTAGAAATATGTTACAATGATGATATCACATTTTGCGGATCCCATTCGAATGATTTTCACACATGCTACTTAAATAACATACCATGTGTGTATTGAAAAATGAATAGAAACATCAAATTTAAATATTTCGAATACGAGTTCCTGCATTTCTTAAACACTTTTCTGCACTCCTCATATCTCTTCGATTTGTTTTCCAGAAATCGCATTTTCACCGAACAACCACGAGGTGCACATTTACAAACGCCTCGGAAACGAATGGAAGTTACTGGACACCCTAAACCAACACGATTTGCGCGTAATGGGCATCGATTGGGCCCCGAACACCAATCGAATCGTAACATGCGCAGCCGATCGTAACGCCTACGTTTGGTCCCAGGACAAAGACGGCAAGTGGAAGCCCACGTTGGTCCTGTTGAGGATCAACAGGGCAGCGACCTGCGTGAAATGGTCTCCGGACGAGAACAAATTCGCGGTGGGCTCGGGCGCCCGCCTCATCTCCGTTTGTTACTTTGAATCGGAGAACGATTGGTGGGTTTCTAAGCACATTAAAAAGCCTATCAGATCGACTGTTACTTGTCTGGATTGGCATCCCAACAACATATTACTAGCAGCGGGATCGACAGATTTCAAAGTTAGAATATTTTCGGCCTATATTAAAGACATTGAAAACGCGCCGGAGGCTACCCAATGGGGTTCAAAAATGCCTTTGGGACAACTAATGGGGGAATTTGTCAATTCCAGTGCTGGAGGTGGTTGGGTACACAATGTCAGTTTCTCACCCGATGGAAATAAACTTTGTTGGGTATAATTTCGAAAGGAGTTTGTAAATTGTTATTCGGTTCAACGATGCGTATTATTTCAGGTGTCTCACGATTCGTCCGTAAACGTAGCGGATGCCACCAAAGGAAATGCTGTTTACAAACTTAACAGCGAGTTTCTGCCATTTTTAAGTTGTACGTGGATATCTAACAAATCCATCGTAGTAGCTGGTCACAGTTGCATTCCGATCCTCTACGGTTACAACAACAGTCAATTGAATTTTATTGCCAAATTGGATGCGTCTCAGAAGAAGGAAAGCGGCGGTTTGTCCGCCATGAGAATGTTCCATTCTCTGGATAAACAGGTTAGAGCTGTTGATAATTTAACGATCCGAATAATCAAATTTCCATTCGTAGGCGAGGACCGAAAATTCGGACACAAATTTAGATTCGATTCATCAGAATGCCATCACTTGCGTTTGTATTTATATCGGGAATAAGCAAAAAGCGGCGAAAATATCGACTTCTGGAGCCGACGGTCAGTTGGTTATATGGGATTTGAATTCTTTGGAAAAGTCGATCCAGAATTTGAGAATTGAATAGTTTTCTTTTAAGTTGAGTTAAACTCGTTTTTACTAAACATGTTTTATTACTTTTAACTGTAATTGAATTTCAATAAAATACTATAATTACTGAGTACTTGGTTGGTTTAAATGTATTTAATATGCAAACTTAATAATTACAATTCAACGCGGAGTTGCTTTGTTCGATTAGCCAAAGTATCTTCGGTTTCGAACCACTGTTTGTAAATGTCCACCGGATCCACCATGTAGTGCTTGTGAAAGGATACAGCTTCGTGGGATTTCAAGTATTCCGGGCTGTAATCGACCGGTCGGGCCTAAAAAATATCGTTAGTTTCATTCGCGAAAGCTTCACTGGAACATACTTGATGGAATCCAGGCGCATGGGTGACCTCCAGCCCCAATTTAGCCACGCATATTCCCAAGTACATGTCATCGGGAGTCGTCAGCGACGGGCACACGCAACTCTCCGCGATTTTCGCCAAAAGGGGCCTGCTGAACACCATCCCGGCTCCTCCTGTGATGTAATTATATCCCCGTGGACCGTTCAATTCGAACCCGTACCTTTCCCCCAAGCATATTGCATCCCCGTGATCGTAGCAGGATAAAAGCCGCTGGAGATTTGTTACTCTAAAAAATCGAAGTTAATCTCGATGCAATAAAATAATGTAGCATTTACCCTAAGATAGTATCATCATCGGCGATAACGATCCATTTTATGTAACTACTCGACTTGATTTCGCTAGCGATATATTTTATTATGGCTAATGTTTTTGCGCAATGCCCGTGTTCGGTGTTTGGAATTCCCAAATTCACCGTAGGAATAGACTTATCTAAAAATCGTACGATTAACAAACGCTTTTATGCATAATTAACAAAGTAAAATACCTTCTGCATCGCTAAAATATTTTATAGTCGTAACGTGACCACCCCAAGTCTTTTTAACAATAGGAACTCTATCTTTGTGGAATTTTGAACAAGTTTTAACAGCAAAATAAATGCTATTTCTTGGCACCAAATTATCCTAAAACATTTTACATTACGCCGTGTATACTAAGCTTTAGCTTCGTCTAATAAATCCGAAAATATGCAGGCCCGTTATTTCCGTTAAGAGAATAAAGCGAGCTGCCGAATGAACAACGAATTAATTATCTACACCTATATTTCATTATTTACATTGAAAACGAGGCATTTTGCAACTTACACAGTTATGAAACTGGCTGGGATGCGAGCCGCATCGCTCCGGTTCTTCGAATGTGCTACATAATGCAGGCTCGTGCTCGAGCACGGGCCCATTGGCATCTTTCCACACGAACAGGGCGAGCTCGTGACCGCTATCAATGTGAAAATTGGATGTTTGTGTTTTATGAAATTCCTCCCATTTGTACGATAGCCTGTAATAATAATAATTCAGGGGGTATCCCGTCAAAATAGCCCAAAGCAAAACTTGCTATTCTATCACGGGCGATTTTGTCTTGGAAGATTTTGCTTTGGGCTATTTTGTCTTGGGCTATTTTGTCTTTGAGCTATTTTGTCTTGAGGTTCTCTTGACGGGCTATGTAAAAAACATCTATGTAAAAAACATTGTCCTTCCGCTTCGATTGATTTGAGTGAGTAAACTGAATTTTCTCAATACAAAAAACTATAAAAAGTGGTGGCCTTACCGTTTGAGTAGAGGAAAACTAATGGCGAATCCGGAGGCTACGTTGGGATATTTAAAAATCGTGGGATTTTCGTGAAAAGCAAAATGATGTATGACCGTTGGCGTTTGATCGAACAAAGCGTGGCCGAACCAGACTTCCTTTAAAATAAAAATTCAGCATAATTTCGACGTGATGCACGCGATTAAATGCTACCTTCTGGTGATCGTATTTTTCGAAAATCTCCAAAAGTTTGGCTAGCCTTACAGCGGTATAATCTTGCATGAAAAATACCCAAGAAGCGTTATCTTCGTGCGAGTTAACTAAATCAGAAAATAAGGGCAAGTACGTCCAGTCAGCTTTGCTCGGAAAATCTGTGCTGGAAACGTGGACTATCGGTCTCGTCTGAAAATTAAAATATTTAAAAGATTTACTACGAAATTTTCGAAATCGCATAACATCAATGAATCAATAATAAATAATAATTTTACACAAGTAAAGTGGCGATAAAATCAATCTATAAATATTAAAATATTTCGAATGCGAAAACCCCAAGAGCAGAAGGAAAACTAAAATCGACTTGTTTATAAACTCGAAACTCCATTTCGAAGTATAATTTATTCAAGGCGCCATTTTCCACTTTTCCGCTGCTTACACCATCTATTTCGGCATAGTCGACTCGTTCGCATTTATTAAAATTTAAAAAAATATTCACATTTGATATAGTTTAATATTCCCTTTCATTTTATAGGTAATTACAACAGCATTTTGCAGGAAAATTCAATACTTAACTGCCGGAAGGCAAGTCAAGAAAAATCGACAAAATATGTATTTTACTTATTCTTAAATAAATTAATGGTTCCATAGATATAAAATAGTATCCCATTATTCCAAAGTTGTACCTAATTTATATGTATTATTGCCCATTTATTTCAAATTTCGAACTATCACGCTATACTTTTGAAACCGATTGCGAAGTTTCTCTTCCGATTATTTTAGATTAAATTGATAACTGCCAGCCATTATGTTTTTTATTTCAATCGAGCTTATTTAATCGAAAAAGTTTTGAAAACGAGATAATAAGTAAAAATCTAAATTAGTTAAACTCTCTTCACTTACCCCATATAATTTTTCAGATTCCGCAAAAATTTCCCTGGTCAAATTTTGCGCCAGACCTAAATTATACTTGTTATCTTGACTGATAACGACTATGACAACTTTTTGAATTTCTGAAACAAATTCATTTGATAATTAGCGAATTCTATTCAATTCCATATCTACCCGCTTAGTAAATTAATTCTTTTAATAAAATAAAACATTGCCTACATTTTCCACTATGAGATTAATAATTCAAAAACGTTTGAAGTACCTACAAAAGCATATTTCAGGATACCATCAGTATATCGCGGAGAGTTTTTTAATGTTAAACAAGCAAATGAAAGCGTAACCCCGCTTATAAAGACAAATGCCCCGGAATCTTTTGAACATTTATCTTTCCTCGAAATACCCTCTGAAAAGTCGTTGATTCAAAGAAGAGCGGACGGCAGGAGTCGCCTATTAAGAAACAAATTTGTTTTTTAACTTAATAAAATCCCAAGTTTGCATTTCAAAATTTGCTAATTCGACTCGCCGGGAATAGATCAGCGCCGTACTCAATTTTTTGACATCAATTACAAAGAGTGTTTTGTGGAGGATACATTACTGGAGTTTTTTTGAATATTATTAGGGCATAATTAATCGAGTTCTCCCACATAATGCATCCATCGGGCGTTCGCACGGGATCGATCGAAAGCCTTTTACCCCTGAAGAATGGAAGTATTCAAAATTCTAAAGTAACTTAACTGATAAGTTTTCGAGCACATTCAAGCCTGAAAGCAACGTCACGATTCTCCCTTCTAGTGAATTTTTATCAATATTATCTGATCTCTTTTTTCTTTTATTTAGATTTGGTTCGATACCCAAATCGCTTTTCTTGGTTACTTTCGAATCGTTTTTTTTTTCATTAAATGCATTTTTCAACAGCACTAAAGTTATAACAGAAATAATGAGCTTACAGGTATATTCATTAAACAGCCGTAACCAAGAATAGGATGATGAATAATAAATTAGCATTTAAGCAAACTCTGTTTTAGTTTTTTTTGGCTAATTATAAATTAAAATTGTTTGTAATGAGACCTCTAGAGCTTGCCTTTATAAATTACAAAACAAATACAAAGCATTTTCGTCTGCATTAAAATTTGAAGGCAATAGTAAAAGTACTTGGAAAAGTTAACGAAGGTAACGAATGTGATTCATCTTATTTTCGTTTTTATCTTATTCTCCTTTCCTCATTAATATTGAAGTCATTAAAATTTAAGTGGTTCCTTACCTTTCCAGATTTCCAGCCGATTTTCGCCCAGAGTCGTATTTTCCCTAACTCACATTTCAGTTTTACATTAAAGTATATAAAGGTATTTAAATTCTTAGGAAATCCGTGAGGAAAGGCACTTTAACATATAATACGAAAATACCGATAAATTGAAAATTTTAACTATTTTTTCTTATCCCTTGATATCCTTTGTAAAATAAATTTAAAGCACATTCTTAGTTTTATACACACAAACTGGATCCATTTAATCTCTTTAAATCAACTGGATTTTGGTCAGCGCTAGTTTAAACTTTGAAATGTACGTACCCAGAAAGTAATTAAAAGTTTATTCTCGTTATTTTTTACTAAAAAGACTAGAATTTGTATGTCTCCCGGCAAAATTTTGCTGTTAGTTGGCTACAGCAAAAATTCCTTTTACTTATTTGTTTTCATTCAACCATTTATTAATTAGAACGTAATTTTTGTACCTATGTTTTACTACAGTTTCTTTAAAAAGACCTTTAAAATCCGAAGAATGATGTATACTTTCAAGGCTTCGGAAAAAGCAGAGTTGAATTATCAAATAAAAGTTTCCGAACAGAAGCTGCTGTAATTCATTAAAGAATACAAACAATAGATGGCAGAATTGACGTCGACTTTTGAAAAAATTAAGGCGTCACACAAAAGTTGAAGTTGGCAGAGTAACAAAAAAAAGAGCAAAAGGAACGTGAACCGCAAAGAAGTTTAGTTTTCAATTTGCAGCGACGGCTCGTTGGCAAAAAAAACACAGATGTCTGGAAAACCAATTCATTTTGTAGATCTTCAAGATCAAATAACTAAAATTAGTTATCTCACAATTACAAAATTAACCAAAATCTTACACGAAGAACATTCGCTCCAACCCGTCGATATTCAATGTGTCCCTCATTTGCAATCTCTAGATAAAAATTTTCCTTCGAAAAAACAAAATTTCTATTTACTTATCCAAAAACCCTCTTCCTTCGCTGTCTTAATAAAACCCCCGAAGGCCCGACTCGAGCTAACTTGTTTGGCGGATCATTGGCAGCGCCGTTGGATCCACGAAGAAGGATTATAAGGACGTGATACGATTTAACAAATTGCTAATATTGAATTTGTAAAAGGCCCCGGAGTTGTTTCCTTCTCGACAAAGAAATTCCGGATGCCTCGAACGTTAAAAGGCACCGGCTAGCTGGTCAAAAGACCTACATTTTAAATCCACCTGACTCACCAAATTGGCTAAATAAGCTTGTTAGAATGATTGCAGAGTTGAAGGGTAGTATTACCAATTTGTTATTTCTTATAATTCGTATTAATTTGGGTGCGTTGTTGTGTAAGATTAAAAAATGTAGTCAGTTCAGTTGAGTTTGTCCCTAGTTAGTTGAGCATCCAGTATTTTCCATTCTACCCGGGTAAACGTCGCAAGGGTAGAAGAATTGGAGTAGATTGTGAGGTAACTAACTGGTTTTGTCGCGAAAAGACCCTTGATGCCCGAAGCACATTTGTAGTGTAATACAATAATGTTAATTATACCCCATAATAAATCATTTTTAAGGAAATATCATTCACTTCACTTCACATTATAAGAATTAAATAGCATGAAAAACCCCTGTTAGAGTACATAAGAGGCTCTCTATTCGTTTACAATTTTATTTTGCAATAAAATCGCGACGTTCATTCTATAAGGTAATAGAAAGATTTTTGTTCGGCGAAAATCTCGTAAATCCGATATTGGAAAACCGAAGACGATGGGTCGGCTTGCGTACAATTTTATTTTACCCGTTTATCTGATTTTTATGGTATCTTCAACAATAGATCCGGTATGAAGGCGTGAGAAAGCAAATAAATAAAAGAAAATCGAGCTTGAGACATCAAGAAAGGGATTATTGGAAGATTACTAAACATTATTGGGTCTTTAAATTTTTAGTGGCGGTTGAATTTTATGGCTTATTTTATGCTCCGGGTAATTTTGACTTGAGATTTTTTGATATTTAGAAAAAAATGCTTCTGTAAAATGGCTTTTTTATTTGTGGATTTTTAAATGTATTGTGGTACACAATGTTATCCTAAATCCGTGTAGTATGACAAGAAATATAAGAGGTAACTTTATACAGATAATTTTTCTGTGTACTATTATAGAGGCTCTAAACTTATGTACAATGTATACGTGAGAAAGATATAAATCGTCGGAAAAATAAGAAAGTTTGGACATGAATTGGGAAAATCGTCGATGTGATAGTTGAGAATTCACTGCCTGGAGTTAGAGTGCATGATCTATTTTAAAAGAATTTAAATCGATTTTTTGGGATTAGGACGATACCATTATATCACACGTTTCTTCTCTAAGATTTATTTAAGTAGATAAATTTTTGCAAGAAATATAGCTTGAACAATGGCCATAAAACGCGTTAAAATGCTTTTAAATTGTTACGTTTTCAAAATGGAATTTTAAGTTTTAAAGGGAAATAATTAAAATAATTGGTAAAATAATATAAAAAAAAGTAGCAAAACAATAGATAAAATCAAGTGAGTATTGGTGCTATTTTCAAAACAAATTCTCATTTTTTTATTTAACTCCAGCATTTTAAAGTTTTATTACATTAATTAAATAAATTCTCGCGGCAAAAAAATCTGTGGAAAATGTGGGAACTTTATAATTGAAATACAACGAATTTTTAAAAATAATGACTAATTGGTACTTACCCAAAGTTGAGGCGAAGCCAAAAAGAAGAATCAATAACAAAAGTACCATTTTTGAGCAAACACTGGCTGCATATTCAGTTCAAAGGAAAGTTGCTCTTCGCGAAAACTCGCAGTTTGACTCAAATTTTGAAGTGAAATCGCGCCGAGATGCCGAAAGAGGATATTGGATGAAAGAAGTTACGAACACATGCGCAATTTGGGCTCATATTACGAAGAAAAATTACTCGCAAACTAAATTATACCTTCAACTAACAATTATTTAAACTAATAATTTTATTGTTTTATCAGAATTCGCTTTGTTTAATAAATGAATTGTTTATTTAAAATAACCTTATATCAATATTAAGGCACAATTATAGAATTCATTTTAATTAACACATTAATTTTAACCACAAAAAATAAAAGTTAATTTGTAACATATTCTGTAAAAACAAAAACAAATAAAAATAAACTGACATTTAATACAGTGACATCTGTCAAACATTCGACCATTGTGTTAAATAGTCATATTTTGCAGAGAAAAAAAGAAGATTTTGATGACAATTGACATTTATCTTACAGGTTTCTGTTAATTTCAAACAAAATGGCGCATTCAGAAAAAGCGAATATGAAACAAACAGTAAAGATGTCGCAACGAACGCGATATTTTGAAAAGTTAAAAGTAGTTTGGCGCTTTTGGAATACATTTGAACATTCATGGACGTCAGTCGTCTCGTCAGTAGCAATCTATCCGCTAAAAGCGCGCTCTTTACAAAACCTTTTGCATAATATGTTCAACAAATAACAAATATTAATGGTTTAAATTAACTATCGAGACGTCGCGAATTCACAACGAATATGCGATAAACCGATGATTTTCGCATCGAAATTCGAATTTTCGAAAAATTAACTCCGCCGCGCCGCTATTTCTTCCGCCTTTTTTCCAAAATTCTATCATGTGTGAGTGCGGATTGATTTTGAGTGGGTTCTTGTTAGTGAATATTTTCTTGGTGACCGCCTTTAACATAGACCAAAAGAATTATGCCGTCTTCGAGCCGAGGGATAATAATAACTCTATGTTTGGGTTCACCGTCGCCATGCATAAGGCCAGTGGGAACAGGGGATGGTAAGGAATTTATTTTTAACTCCGCAATCAAGGAAACATTTAAATTCTATTTTTTGATTATCATTGGAATTTATTCCAGTTTCATTTCGCCTGTGGCGCTTTCTAAATCTTGTTTTTTCATAATTATTTCCTAAATTTTATTATGCAGAATTTTTCAAAAAATCTTGGCCAGCATAAATATTTATTAAAAGTCAAACATTTTTTAATCTATACTAGATAATACAATAAAAATTTTCCAATATTCGACACAACATTTTCAATTTTCCATATTAAACGAAAACGATGTTATATTTTTAGTTATTTATCATCATAAATATTTATCCTTCCCTATTTAATTAAGCTTATATTTTTTGGGAAATTATGCAGTCATGGTTAAAATAAAAGTATTCGTATCACAAGTTGACCTTTATATGTATTTATTTAAATTACGTTTAGTCCACAGTTTAATCCAAATGTTACCGTAGTTACTTCTTAATCGACCGGTTAAAATTGTTCAAAATAAACAATCAAATATTAATGAGCGGTAAATAGGAATTTTGCATTGAATTAAGTACAGTAAAGCGATACCATTAAGTGTATGGTCACAAAAATTAATATCCCAATACTATGTAGGTGTCTAATAAATTTTTAAAATTCATTTTAGCTGAGATAACTTATAACTTTGGACTCCAAATTATTACGATGCAATTAATTTTCCTTAAGTGGGTTAATTATTTCGAATAATTAGCGATTATAGATAGAAAATAGGAATGCACTCAATAGATACATCTTACTATTTTTGGGGAAAAACGAATCGTTGATGTTGGTTCTAATTCAATTATCACTTTTCCAAGGTTATAAATAGCCTACGCAATGTGATTCATATTGTATACTGAACATAGCCTATTTTAAACTTGGTGTTATAATAGATGATTCAGTATTTACAAAATTTTACTGCTTTTCTTGAAAATTCTAAATTTTTAATTAAGAAAATAATAATAAATTCCACCACTAATTTACTTGCATTATTCAGCAAATACCTCCTAACAAATTGATCGACCTCAAACTTGAACGGCGTTAAAAATTAGTGAAAATTTGCACAAATCAAAACTGCTGTTCCTCTGTTCCGCCTATAACAATTATACACCATTATTACGTAATTTGTTTGTTCACGCGCCGCTTTGAAACAATGTAAACCAACTCATATACGGATATACGAAATAAATATGCGGCGGTCAAATAACTTCAAAACATCGACACAGATCTCGGCTTTATTCTTTTTAATTAGCATTTTAGCTTAGCGTCCGGGCCTACTCAATGCCGCCCACCTGATACTATTATTGGGACACCTAAACACAAAAGTTCGACCCGCGTGCAATTGTATTGTAAAAGTGAAACCTAAAGGCGAAAACTCTAACTCATTTATCGAATTTTCGCTAAAATAAAACGACTATAAGGGATTATTTTGGTTCAAAACTGATGAATATGCTGTAGTTAGAAAGGAGAAGATCGTTAGATCATGAATGGATTAGGAGAAGGTCATAGAATGAGTAAAAAATACTCATATTTAGTAATCAATTAAAACTCTTAGGTACTTCAATATTTAGAGCAATTAATAATGTAAAATAAGTGTTTGTAGTATCTAAATCTATACTATTATTAGTACTGTTACCTAAAGTAAGCAGACTTTTCAGAATCATTTACTTTTCTTCCTACAGAAACATATGTTTCAAACTTTCCAAACTTTCTACGAACACAGTAATAAATTCCCGCAATATTTGCAAAACTTGTTCCTTAACAAATTCTCCCATTTAACAACATTTTTCATGAACATACATACATTCAAACTTCAACAAGATGAGGACATATTTCAATGAGTACCATTATAAATTTGCCATCTAATTAATGAAGAAGATACGCGTCAAATCTTTTGTTGTCTACAGGGTGTTTCCTAAACATGCGGCAAAAATTCAGGTGGTTGTTCCTTGGACTATTCTAAGAATATTTTGTCCTTTGATGATTTTTGAAAAACCTCTTTGTTTCGAAGATACAGGGGAAACAAAATTTTAGATAATAACATTTTATTATGAAAAATTACATGAAAATTTAACTTAACCTACAAAAACTGTTGAAAATGACCACCTCTAGCCAGCATACAAGCATCCAATCTTCTCCTCATCCCCTTCGTTCTCCTCAGTTTAATCTGTATTCCTTTACCATCTGAACTTATCAATTTTAAGTAAAAAAACTGGCCGTTTTTAGTAATTGGAATGTTGTTAAACAAATTTAAAAATAAATTGTACCTACTTAGTAAACACAGTGCGGTACGCATTTTTATTTAAACTATTATTAATTTTAAAAATATGAAAAATGTTGTTCGCCCTATATCTTCGAAACAAAGAGGTTTTTCAAAAATCATCAAAGGACAAAACATTCTTAAAATAGTCCAAGGAACAACCCCCTGAATTTTTGCCGCATGTTTAGGAAACACCCTGTATATGCGTCTGTATATCGAGTCCATGACCGTTAGAATGCGTTTTTCTTTGAAATCGACTCGCGTCAACGATCGACGCACACACACCTTTTCAGCTCACTTTTCGTCGGCTGATTGGGGCGTTTGATAAGTCACCAAGTATGCCGCGAGTTAACGTTTGAATTAGATATGCAATGTCGGTTTGGATCTTCGTAAAAGACCCAAAGAATAACGCAGGTTTATTGAACTCGTTTACATAATTCCGCTTGTTATGAATATTTCATGAAGGGATTGCAGGTTTCGTTGGGTTTTCGTGTGAAAGGTACTAAATTTATTAAACACTTTACTAACAATACCAATTTCTGTATATCTAATGCATTACCTACATTTTTCTATCATTTGACTCTTGCAACGTCTCAAATAATCTGTACCAATATCTTCAATATAAATTCCCGTGGCTATTCAAAGAGTGTATCTATCTTCTATCCAATTACACTTACTACATTCTCTTATCTCAGCTAGCCATTTTTGCATTCTAGAAATATTCTCTATTTCTCGGTGCCTCGTTGGAAGGACCGTAATTCGAACGAGGCGACACATGTGTTCCTCAAATGTCGCCGCGAAGGGTTTTTAAATATACAAGAAGGGACTTCGGTAGTAAGCCAGATGTCTAGTATAAATCCTCGGATATGGCCTGTTTTATTTCCATTTCGCCACTTCTGAGTTCTTCTCCTTCTAGCTTGTTTGGAGGTAGTAAAACACCCGAAAGTTATTTATTAAGGATATTTCGGTAGCGAGCTTGGACATTTTATGACAGCGATTTACCTCTCTTCCTTCCTTCGAGATTAAAGTAGTGTTACGATTAGTGCAATTTGTTTGTTACCTCATTTTGCATATACAGCAATCATAAACATTTTTTGTAATAATAACTCTTGTTGAACAATAATTATGAACATTCACGCATATAAACTAGGATTTAAGCAAAATATTGCACCGTGAAACTCTATACATCAACTACATTATAAAATACCTTTTGCTGTTGACAATTTTATCGATACATATACTTTCTAAACATTTAATATTCAGTTCACGTGCGTCAATATATTTATGTAAGTAATATCGTATTGAGAGATCTTCTTGTATCGAGAATAAAATATTAAATGCAGTTATGGAACTTATTTCAGAAATTTATAGGAGCATGTTGAGTAGGAAAGGAGACTCTAATTATAAGTTAGTTTCTTGCATTTGCCACAACTATATTTAAACTTAGCCTTCCGTAACGTGTAGAGTGCACAACGCTTGGTGCGCCAGAAATAAAATAAATAATTACAGGGCTATTTGAAGCCATGTTTTCAAACGTCAATTCAACCGCACGTAATGCAACGAGATTTATTTATTTGAAGGATAATGCGAAACCCATTTTTCCAGTTTCTCGCATGAAATTCGGAATTTCCTCTTATTGCAACTAATTTTATGCGCGCAAAAAGAACTTGGTTTATTTATAGTGCGATTGCGTTAGTAAGTACAGTATCTCGGAATAAATGCAGCTTTTAGACTAAACTTTCGTTAGTCATTAATAATTCCTAACACGTATGTAGCAGAAGGTGCCTTTCAGAAGATTCTCAAGAACTGAAGATTCTGAAGAAATGCACCTCCGCCAGTAGCGTAGGCGTAAATAGGTTCACCCCGTATGCTATTTTATTTTGGTTATTTTTTAAGTATAAATGGGGATGTAAACCATATGAAATTTTTCCAATCCTAAATAATGATCTTTACTGGGAATTATTAATATAGAGATGTGATTTGTGCATTGTCTACTTTATGCAATGGGTTACGAGAATGTACTTAATTGCACTAAACTGTATAATATTTTTATTTTTAAAAATGTATTCTCAATGAGAAAAATTGCAGTAAAACTGATATAATTAAATTAAGGATTCTACGCCATTGCACTGGTTTTATATGTCGGCATTTTATCCTTCTACAATCGTCAGTTTTGCACCGTACCACTACTAGATCAGAAAGACAATGTTATTTTTGTTAGGTATCCATAATTCATTGATAAAGGCCCGCTCTCTCGAAAAACATTGTACTAAATTTGTCAAGAGGACTAGTTTTTAGATTGATGGCATCCAGAGACAAACTCGAGTCAAGTGTTTAGCATTTTATTCATATTTGCTGCGGGGTCGAGTGAAAAAATCGGGTTTTTTAAACTGGCAATATGTTTTATTCCCTCGGAAGAATTTGTTGCTTCCTTAAAGAAATTAGAAATCCATGAAATACATTTTTTGAATTCACACTAAAGAGCTGTTATTGACGAAGTAACTCCGTAAGATTTGCGGTCAGCCGTACGTAACATCGGAAATGAGAACATTACGGGAAATACGTAATGGGTAAATGAATATATTATACGGGGTGTTCGCGTAAATTATCCCAGTAAATGGTTTAATTCGATATGATAACTAATACGATCTTCCTACTTCCATTCAACCTGACAGGCAAATTACATAAACGCCTATCGTATTCATAAATCGACGATTTTATATGGCTAGTTCTCTTCCCGGTATTAATTAATTGTAAAGTGACAACGATTAGTAGGTAATCTCGTAAAACTGGAAGTATCACTGCGTTTGAACCAGCCACTCGTGCTTGCTTATTAGATTGGCAAAATTACCTAATAGCGCAAATTATTCATCAAGGTTACAACTAATAATCCTCATGAATAACCTTAAGAAGCCGTAGAATATTTAATAATTTAATTAAAACCGAATGTATAACGAATTCGCTCGACCAACATTTGCATATTTTGTATGTACTCGTATATGCACTTATGTCAATTAATTACTTTAAGAAATCGTAACTAATTCATGATTATTAACCGAACAGATATTGCGACTTTTACTATAATCCAATAGTTTACTGCAGCAGAAAATGAGATATCTCAATTTCTAACTTTTGTGTTGCGTTTAAGAAATACTAATAATATCAATATCAGCATCCCAATATCTCCACTTTGTATAATTTACAATTTAATTGCTTTCGATACAATCGTACACGAATTATATTTATTAGAATTTGTGCTGTCTGCACCTAAGAAATCGCATTTAACCTTTTGCGCTGACTCGCTTGTGCACCTCTTTTATCAATTCCGTATATCATATGCGCTCAAATAGTGCCTCACGTATTTTTGCAGTTCCTGTGGGAAATTTAATTTCGAACGAATCGCTTCGGACGTATTTATTTGAAAATTGTTTTACGATTGAACATCGGAGCAACACCAACGTAGGAGAGGGATTTAATCATATTTTCTTTGCATAACAACTTTAGAATACTTTATAAAAGTTCCGTATAATATCTACCTACTAAAGTAAACAGTCAAGCTATGTGATGTGATGTAAGGTTATTATAATTCCGAGTATATTCAACAATACTGCACGCATCATAACAGGAGGAATTGTAAGGAGTGTTTGTATTTATACTGTTCATGTGAAGAAGATAAGTTATTTGTTTTACAGGTGTTAACTTTATGTTAAATAATTGTGCAATTACTTAAATTACTACCTACTCGTTTTAACGTGCAAGCATAGTATTAAAAATGAAATTGTAGCTTAGTAAAAAATAGCAGAAAATATTAATTGTTATTTTCTTGCATCTCTACGGCCTCTTTGTACTGGAGCTAAAGCGACTTTTTATCACTAATTACAACAGATTAAAACATAATTTAACATCACTATTAATTTAGGTTGGAATTCTCAGTGGTTGTAACAATTAGCGTTAATCAAAACATTTAAATTAAGAGCTGCAGCAATTAATTTGAAACTTTCAATTAGTGAACAAGCGCATAGTTTTCGCTTTTTAAGGAACTCTATGAGCAATTTTATCGGTATTGAAATAAGGACACATATTGTAAACGCATATCCTTACGTACTAATGACATTTTTAGTGCAAGAAAGACTTTTATTTATTTCCAATGAACTAAATTAATGACTTTCTGTATGGGTATGTTCAAGAGTCATTAAAATTAACATTACGAATGGCAATAACCGTTTAGCATAAATGCGTATAATATGAAGAGTTATACACGAATGGAAAGATTGGATTCGCGACAAGACTAATAAAATCATTCCGTATACAAATTTAAATTAATAGTTGAACTAATGCCAGAAATATCCTTGTTAATTGTTTAGAAAAAAATATCCTGTTTCCTAAAATTTTACAATAATGATTTATATGACCACAAAGATTTACTTATTTATTAAAAAATAAATGCTTTGAATAAATATTACATACCTACATCCGACGATGTTTCCGTTAGCATAATTTTTAAAAATTGTGTCAGTCTCCTGTGTCATATCCATATTTAATAATTATAAAATATTTTATGTTTATACTCTTACGTGTGAGCAAAGTCTAGGTTAGCAATCAAATGTTACCAACAAAAAGCTAAAAATAAATCTTTACGATCTTGGCAATCGGTTATCGACAAGGTAATCCTCTGCCTATTTAAATAATTTACCTATAATAACTATGAATGGAAATTTAAGAGTTCCAAATTTACTTTATCACAGAAGAGTTTATCAAGAGCAGTTTAGATAGGAAATAAAGCTATTAGGGAATCTCTAAAATGCATCTATCATAAACGTGGGTCATATATTGATTTATTTCTAGGCAGGAAATACTGCAGAGTCGAATAAACAAGAATGACTTTCACCTTTTCCCCTTGTATAAATTAACTCCCTAAAAAAATATGTAATCATATATGTAGGTAATTTGTCTGCGAGGTGAAAGTAAATAAACCGGGAAGAAAAATCTGGCTTTTAAAATAAGTGGCGTGTTTCATATACATATCGTCTAACGCGCTCTGTAATAACAAACATAGAGGTTATTTAAAATGTAAAAAAATTATAAGGAAAATTTTGTATTTTGATAAACAATCGAAGAAGTTTGCTGATACATCAAACTACTAAAATCCAGATGGTATTTTTATTACAACTATTATCTCCCATTAGAAAATCCAGTACGATCGAGATTTCTTTGTTTTACAAAGCGATAGGTATTATAAAAATTACCTAATCTATCGAGGTAGCCTCACCTTCTCGAGCCCATTACCGATTTGTACCCTATTTACTTCCTCTCTCGACACACCTTTGTGCTTTTCTGCATGTAATAGACCATTCTATCAGTGGCTGATGGTTATTAACGTTCGTTTTTAGTGTTATTATCATCATGAACTCCTCTTATCTTCTTACTGCCCTTGTGCATCGAAAATCCTCGAGTGGGCGTCGTTATTGCTCGAGCAACGAAATCCACGATTGCTCATGATCAATGAGCGCGTGAGGTAATATTCTCCAAAGAAAAATGAATCACCTTTATACAATTAAAATATGCTTATGATGATTCTTTTACACCTGTAATTATAAAAATGTATGCATAATTAACAGGTACAATCTTATTTTTTTTTAGAAAATTTCATAACGTTGTAAATAAATAGACGAAGATTCTTTGTAGTAAAATTGTTTATGTTGGTATTTAGCAGCGTTTCACATTTTTTAACACACGGAGTATCGTGGAAAAAATCGATAGATGATTATCAAAAGGTTCAACCTTCACCTCTCGCGAGCGCTTCGTTGTGATCTATTACGAAAACGCGAGAAACGGACTGAAATTCAGCGACTGAACGACATTGCTCATTGTGAAACTTCTGACCATATGTTGAGACGACCACATGCAATTAAAAATTTTATTGTACAGTGCACCAATTGAAAAAAACCGAATATACCGAAAGGAAAGAGTCGCGGCCGGCGAGAAGCCATTCGGTCAGCGAAAAAAATTATTCTATTAACAATTATGAATGCATGTTTCTGTTAATCAGGTCAGATTTGTAAAAGTTAACTGCAGCGAAACGTGTTGAAAGTAATACATAAGTCGTTTTATTATAAACCTTTATACAGGGATAGCAAAATTTATGACGGAATTTTAATTAAATTCTACAAGTAATGCTCTGTTTTATTAAACGAATGTTGGTAATTGATGAATGTTAACTGGAGTTTAGGTAATGCCAAGTTCAATTCTGATCTTAATTGACCTACATATTGAGCGAAATAATCGTATCTCCTTGTATTATTTTCATTTCATTTCGTAATATAATGTGGAAGCCCACTTGCATTCGCCGACGTCACACTCCTTTTTTGGTAAGCTGGCATGTCCGAAGAAATACAATGTTTATGCTATTGTGACTAATAAAATGAAAGCATTAACCTGTTTTTGAGCATTCTATACTTCGAATGTGACGATCTCCATAAACGCTAGCCCACCTAAATTTTTTCGAATTTAACACATGTATTTCATCGATCCGTTAATAAAAGTTTTGTTGTTACATTTAGAAAGATTTACAATTTTCGAAGCTCGTATAAAAAAGTCTGTCTTGTTATTTTAATGTAAACTAATCAAATTCGATTCCCTTTCGTATCTACATCGCGGTAATCCTCTTATTTTATAATTACATATCCTGATTTGGTGACACTGATACTTATCATTTTCAAAATTAATTCTACATACGCCTTTGAAAATCTCCAGCAAATGATATTTATGGAGATAAACCCTTTTCTCACATCAACGTGAGGCCTAATTATATGATTAGCTGAGCATTTCGATTCCACACTTTAAATCTTGAATGTAAATTTAACATTTTATTTGTGTTTAATAGATAAATTTAAAAGGATAATTATTTATGACAACAGTGTTATTGATCTTTGTCAAATTAGCCACAGACAAAAAATGTATACTTTTTATTCTCATTTACACAATCAACCACACTTCAATTTCTTATTAAAAGCTACTTGGTTGAAATAATTTTTACTCTTTTACTTCTTTATTTGAAGTTTATTGTTTAAAGTTAAATGGATTTTATGAACATAGTCTGGGCGAATTTAAGCTTCATTGAATTTAAATCATTTTGTTTACCAACACGCCTTAATTATCAAATTATTACAAGGAGAACGAAAGCAAACAGAAGGACCGAGCAATCTGTCCTCGTCACTAATTCCTGCATCCTCAATTTAAAGCGCTAAGGCGAATTGTTTTTGAGCAAATCTTTTTGTCAAGAAGCCAAGAGAAATAAACTTGATTCAACATCCTATATTTTTTCAGATATTTATTTTGGGAATCGATATAAGTGGTCTATTTTTGAATAATTTAATACCTACTTTATTTGCATGAAATTCCTCAATGGTTTATTTTATTAAGGGACTAACGGTACATACCTAGAATATGGAAGTAAGTACAATAAATTTCAACCAAAAAAAATGCTAAAACAAAGGGAATTAATATTGTACAGAGTGTATTTACATTTAAAATTCATTCATAATTCATACTTATGTTTTACTAGTGGCATATTTAGAACTCGGTTTGATAAATTGGCCTTTACCAGCAGATAAAATCGAACTGTTATATTCTATTCTCTCACTGATTCCGCACCCGTAAAATAAACTCGCTCACGAAAATAGAACGCTCGAACTCATTAATGACCCAGTTTTCCTAAATGACTCAAGCCAGTCAGAGCGAGGAGTCTCAGTCTACATTTATTTCATAGTACGCGATTTTAGAATAGAGCCTATTAAAATTGGGCGGTTTTATTTTACTAATAAACTCAAATGAAATAATTTTATCGAAGGGTAAAGATTTTATAGGAGACATGAATGAAAAAAGTGCATCAAACAAGCATCGGAAATTTACGATCGACTAATAGTGAATCCTCGTTATTGGTGTTCAATCTCCGAAAACAACTCATAAAAACATGGCAAATTGATCGTTTAGGGAAGCGCGACGCTAACTTAATTGTTTTAGTATTGGGGCTTACACAAAAAAGATCTGGAATAAATTAAACCAATTTTTTCTATATAAATTATTTACGAAATTTTTTTACAAGTTCTTTTGAATGTTACATGTATTTATGAGCGAATAAAAACATATGATAACTTTTTTGAGCATTCTAGAAATTACAAAAATTATAGAGAAATTACGTCCATATTTTTCTTTCAAATTCATCAGATTAGGTATGATGGTCCATGAAATCTAATCCATTACCAATCAAAAAATTTGGCCGAGTCGAATAAAGAATATTTAAGCCCGAAGACTATTAATTTACCCGCTATAAAGGCTTCATAAACCTAATTTATTAGTATATAGGAAGAGGAAAAGGTGTGCCTATAAATATAACCACCGACTGCAGTAATTGCAAAATGCTGATCGATGTTGATTGTGCATATTAATAAAAACGGCTCTAAATTTTGTGTCAAGGCTCGCTTATGAGCTCGAAAAATAGATTTATTAACCCGATGAACATGTAAAGGAAATTAACAGTGGTCTATTTGTTGCAGGATATTAGTAGGCGCCCCTGAAGGCCAATCGATTTATCAAGATGCTTCAGTAGTAACCAAAGGGGGAACGGTGTACAAATGTCAAATTGACAGGGATGATATTTGCCAACAAATACCATTCGACAGAACCAGTAAGTAAAATCTTTCATTCTTCTAATGCCTCGAGAAATATTTCAATTTGTAAACCAAACGACCGCAATTTGATTTTTATCTTCTCGCTAATATTTGCCGATGTTTTTCTTTTACGTTATAAAATATTCATGAATTCTCAGAAGTTAAATAAAACGTTTTGCCTCTAGTTTACCCTGTATATGGTAATTACTCGCTATATAAGTCACAGCATATAGCAATGCTACTCCATATGTATATCTCGAAAATATATATATTGACAAACATATATTATAGCCGGTTGCAAAAAATGTTTAAGTATAAAAAAAATTTGGTCTCTTGCAATCCATTGTATGCAGATCCTTTACATGCGCTTACTCTATATATAGATATAGTTGAGAAAAACCAGTAGCGCAACAAAGGTATTCATCGCAGGTGTGACATTACTGAATATCAATACTTGTATCGTTCTCTTCTTTAATGTAGCTATAGATTTTTCAAATCCAACTTACACATGAATTCTTCATTGTATAATTATCTGCTTATTTTCAACCTTAAATTTCGATTCTCCTACGGGCGTTCGAGAAACGAACGGTCGCCACCACTGGGCGAATATTTTATTGCAACTTCGAATTTGTAGATCCCCATGTGAGTACGGTGCTTCTTTGAATAGTGAAAAGATGAAGGGGCACTGCTCAGTTTGGTTCGGAAGGAGTGGATTTTTTTACAATGGCGACATCTTACAAGCTCCGTGTATCGTCTTTTAGCGTCGCTTTGTGGATACCCGGCGAAAAAACATATGACACCACACGTTTCATTCGATTTCGTCTCTTTTTCTTCGATCGCAAAGCGTAGGGCTCCAGAAGCAATAGACCTATTCAGTTTACGAAAGAGAGTGATGGAGTTATTTGATCAACATAAGAGAATAAAAGAAACAAATATGTTTCACGCGCAATCTGTGGAACCATTTAAAATCTGCGCAAACATAAGTGCAAGAGAGATGAGATATTTGGCCTATTTCATTGCTGATTGACATTGAATGATTCTTAGATGAAAACTGTTTTAAATATAAAAAAGAAGAGACCATCTTCAATCTTAACCCTATTTTGTTGGTTGTTTCCGTTTGATGTTTGTTTATGTTCAGTGTGTATTATTTTTTAACAGTATTTCTTTGTATTATTTAGTATATTTATTTATAAAGGTTATAATTTTTTATATAGGTCAATGGGATTATTTCTTTGAAATATAAAATGGCTAGCCGATCAAATAGCATTTTGGGAAACTTTGTACTAACCTCTTACTCTTTCTTAGACTTGACCTGCATATATTTTTTAACCCTAATCCCCTTTCTGGGCGGTAAAAACAAATTTGTATTGAGTCCATTACAAATTAAATCCGACGGATTGTTGGATAATGACAAATGACGTCTGAAGTATGTCTTAAGTTGTCGTTGTCTAGTTGTCAGAACCGTATTTTACCTGAGGTGCGTTCGTTTGTTCGTTTAGATGGCAAGTTAATTATCCACAGTATGCGCGCGCAGCACAGGTTAAACTGAATAGGTCTATTGAGGATGGAATAAGCAGTAGGTGTTATGCAATTAGAAATGGCAAAAAATCGTTCGTCTCGTCGGGCATTAAAAAAAACGGTTGCGATTTCATCGGCCAAGTTCGCTCGCACAAAAACAAAGAGATCAGAATTCGAGATCTGCCTTTTGTAGTTAAGCGCAGCGGTTGAGTTGAAATAGCTGTCACAGACCGAAGACAAATTTATTTATTGATTCATTTTTTATTGCCGATAATTTCTCATCTTCCATTATTCTTTATTCTTTTCGACGAATTCGATGAGTTTTTGCCCTTATGGGGAAGTTTTTCCCGATTTCGAGCCGCTCTATTTTAAATTTCTGATGTTGTACGTTCGATACCGCTTTTCGGTCGAAGCGACACTCGAATAAGTACACTTTTAAACCACTTTACGGCAAATAATTTGGTGAACTGAATCGTTGTTGTGTTGTCAAAAAGAAAAACAGGCGCCAGCAATATCACAACATATGGACGGGCGTGTTGGTTAATAGCCAACTAATCACCTCCAATGAATTTATTAAAGGAAAGGTTAACGTGGGAAGACAAGGCAAACTCTCACAGTTTCATTCTAGCCGAGGCTCAAGACCTTCTATTAGCTAGTGTCAACCAATACTATATTATTGCTAATTTTTGTTGTGTAATTAGTTTCGTTTTCATTCAATTTCATTCAACTATTTTTCTTGTATAAAACATACCTACTTCTCTTATAAAGTAAATACTTTTAATAGAATTACTGAAGATCTTGTTTATATACAGGGTGTTTCACAACTTATCCGACAAATTTTAATCACATATGCACTGTTACGAGAGAAGTTAATTTCCAAAAAAAAATGTAATAAAAGTCTTACAGAAATCGAGATAATAAAATAATAGTTTAACAGTTCAATTACTTATACAAGATGTTCAAAATTGTTCCCATTTACTGCAATACAAACTTGGGTGCTTGTTTTTTTTTGTTTTAACCATTGTTTTGGTGCAACATTTGCTACAGTAAAGTATTAAGGCAAAATTATGAACGCAAAATGCAGTATTTATTTTTTATTTTTTTATTGAAACTCGGGTTTATAATTTTATTTCTGTAGGACTTTTATTACATTTTTTTTAAGAAATCAACTTCTCTCTCTTTGAGAAATCTCACAGAAAAGTCCTACAGAAATAAATTTATAAACCCGAGTTTCAATAAAAAATTGAAAAATAAATACTGAATTTTGCGTTCATAATTTTACGTTAATACTTTATTGTAGCAAATGTTGCACCAAAACAATGGTTAAAACAAAAAAAAAAAAAAAGCTGCACCCAAGCTTGCATTGCAGTAAATGGGAACAATTTTGAACATCTTGTATAAGTAATTGAACTGTTAAACTATTATTTTATTATCTCGATTTCTGTAAGACTTTTATTACATTTTTTTTGGGAAATTAACTTCTCTCGTAACAGTGCATATGTGGTTAAAATTTGTCGGATAAGTTGTGAAACACCCTGTATAGGTTGCAAGAAAATTATCATGTCTTCCTTAGACGCTCTGGCGTCAATAGAGTCAGGCTTGTGAAAAGCGTTTTAAAGTATCTTTATAGGTACTTACAATCAATATAAAAGTAATCTTCATATGTAAATTTTCTGTAAACACCAAATTTTAAAGCGTTAATGTTTTTATACACGTCGACAGGTCCGATTGTTAACTGTTTATTTTTCGTTACAACAGCTTTGGAACGTTTTTCATTCTCTTTTGTATCTTTATGTTAAATCTCAATATAACGCGCTCATAAATTTTCGGCATTAGAGTTTTATTTAAACGGTCAGAAATGAGAGATTGGTATCTCTGAGCCTCAACGTGTTTTCATTGTCTAGCCTGGTATTAAGTTGTTAGAAATCATTTTAGGTGATAAATATCACATTTTTAATCGCTTTAGTTCGGGATAATGCGTAAAAATGTGCCAAGAGCGCGCTGAGTGATTGGACGTCCGAAGAAACATTGTTAAAGAAGAGTTACAAATTACATAATTACAAAAAACAGTTACAAAGTAAAACATAAGATGTAATGGATGAACATGTTATAAAAATAAATTATGATTGTGATAACATAAATAACAATATCCGATCGCTGCAAGTAATCACTGCTGTCTTGGTACGAACACCTTTTTCAATATTTTCTTGTTATAGTTATGAAAACCCCATCCATCCGTAACATTTCTATAAAAGACGCATTCGTAAACATTAATAACAATAATAAACGCGACATGTGAACAACATATTGCACATGGCACGTTCCTCCTGTTAAAATATCAAATATTCTGCCGTACATTTAAATGCCATATGGTTCGAATGTTTACTAAACAATAGTAAGATGTCGTAAAGATAAATATGCTAGGTTTTTTTCACGAAATTCGATTAAAAAACGTGCAATTACCACCAAATCTTACGATTTAAATTGTTACAAGTGTAAAAAAATTGCAGATGTAGCGTAATATTAATAATTTTTCAGATAATGTTGGTTTCGTGGGATCTCCGCTGGACGAAAAAAGTGGACAATGGTTCGGAGCAACACTTAGTACATCAGGACGCACGGATGGACCTGTTGTGGTGAGGATTCGATATACTTATTATCATATTTATTAGTTAAACAGAGGATCGTTGCAATTTCGAACGAACAAATCATTTCCTCGAAAACGCGAGTAAAAACACAACGAAAAGAACGGCTTAAATTTTAATTGTTCATCTCGCATCGGTGTGTATGATAAAACAAGAGGAGATCGAAGAGTAAAAAGATTGATACTCGTGGTGTATTGACATCAATGACGAGAATCGTTTTCGAACTCGCTTTACCGCATTTTACAGCTTACAACACAACCGATATGTCCGTATTTGCCGAGAGTAACAGCCCCTTTTTTCATTATAGTGTGGTGCCCAAGGTACTACCTAAATACAACTCATTGTGCATTAAAATCTCAATAAATAATCTATACTTTAACGCACCATTTTCGTGTCTTATAGTTTAGTATAAATCATGAACCAAAATTTGTAATTTCCTCATCTCTTTGGAGAAACTAGGTAATAAGTATCCTCATACCAAAAATATATTTATATGTACACTTTCATACTGCTGGTACCGCAAAAGTGGATAAGTCCAAGGATTGTGGATTGGGGATTGAGTTAACAAAATAAAAAACTTTCCTCTTTATCACCGGACTAACAGAAGGTACCGCTGGATTTGAACCTCGAACTTGATCGGTCACTGATATTGCCGCAGCGCATCGATCGCTACTTTTATTTCAACAGTTTTTTTAAATCCAACGCACATTCGCCGTCTTCTAGAGGTACGCTCACGTAAAAATAGCTTATTAGTTACGAAACGCTTTGAAATGGGGACGATGTGAGAGGGCGATGTATTAATTGGGCTTCCTGCTACATAAATTTTGGGAGACCCGCGCAGTTCGATGAAATGAAATTTATGAGTTTAGATGAAATCTTTAATAGTGCGAAGTAAATAAGAAAATAAAAAATGTCTTGTTGGTCATTTGATAGAAGCTAATTCAATTGAAATTTATAAAAAATCGGGGCTTGCACCGAGAAAAATATCTTGCAGCCGTTATACAAAATTGTATAACAATTAACAGATTTCAGAATTGAATAGGCGCCAGCTAAGCTTCTGTTTTACTGCTATAAAGGACTTTATTTCAAAAAACTTGTATTGTAATGCCAAGCAGTCATTTAAAAATGAAATTATGTAATTTTTGTGATTATTGGTTTTTCTTGTATTGTTTAAATGATTAACATTTAATCGGTATAATGTTGTCATTTTATGAATATATTGGCACTCAATGTTGGTGAAATCTGACTCTCTTGTGATTAAAAGAAACTTGTATATGAATAAAATGATGCCTGTTTTAGATTTAAAGGATTACCATTGATGATTAAATTGTCCGCTTATTATTATTAAAAAAACTTGTATAAAGATAAAATGAAAACTGTATTATATTTAAATTGACATCTAAAATGTCACTTTATTTTTGTTAAAAGAAACTTGTATAAATCAAACTTTATCATCAAAACGTTCCAATCAAAATTCAAGGGACTTGATGTATTGATTTCAAACGGGCCCACACTACTTCCTTCCAAAATAGGTACCAGGTCTTGATCAGGCTCAACATTTTTTTCCATCATTTACTACAGTGAATGAGTTATTACGCGTAGTACTCCTTTGAAGAGGGTCCCAGTTCCTACAATAAAGGAATGAAAATATTATTATAAATATTCATAATATAAAAAACGTGTTCAGCGCATATCTACTGATTAAAGAAATATCATGATATTTTTCGTAAGGGCTATTAAAGTTTTGGAGTTGTCCCTGATTTAGCTGGTGGCATTAACATTCAGCTTTCGAGCGTTACGTGCTGTTGGTTATGAAATGTATTTTCGAATGTCCCGGCTAAAAATGTATCCGATTCTTGGACGTATTCCAGAAGAGCACGACTAGTCGGCGGTTTGTTGTGAGTAACATGCAAGAAATTGAATATCTGAATGAAAATTTTATTTAGAAATATTTTTTTGTCCGGCATTCTGAAATTGCATAATAAACTCCTCTGCCAGCAGCAATCGGCCGAAATAAGCGGAATCACGTCGACTCGAAAAAATCGGGTAATGCGAAATTTTCGAAAAACTAGTCTTCAAGAATTCCGCCGACGATTTTCAGCTGTATTTCCTTCAATTACGTCGAATTGTTGAGCAAATTAGAGTGCAAAAAGTTGACAAATTGTGCGTGATTGCGAGCATTATCTCCCGGTAACATCCATTCGAAATAATGCAGAATCGTACTCTCGTAAATCGCTTCGAACGCAACGATAGGAATCTTAATTCGTTATACATATTTGCAGTTACATTCAATTCGAAGTGACGTTTATAAGTGTGGGTAATAAAACTAAAGGAAACCTTATAAAGAATATAACGATATATTGAAATTATTTCGTTTTGTAATTTTTTTTCTTGAAACTATGTAGGTATAAAATTCATGTGTAAACGTTTTGGTTACCAAATATGTGCCGAATATTCGCGTACAAGGCGCATAGATAGCCACTTAGGTTCGACATACTCCTGAATTAATTTCTTACAAGACTATCGACAGCGTTTCGAGCTTCACAAATGCCGCACCTCCTGCAGATAACACTTTAGGTGTTTAATGCATCTCATCACTTTCGAGCCGTTGAAAAATCCTTTTATCCACCGATAGGCCGATTCTTTTTGAATTAGTACCGCATTTTCCGAGTTCCTTCTTTTAGCTTTTTCGCTTAGAATTAAAATTTTTCACGATGAACCTCATATAGACCAATTTTTATGTTATGTTGCACAGTGTATAAATTACATAACAATTCCACGTATTATGTAATTATTCAAATGCACCCAACGCTAGATTTTTGATTAATTATGCATTGGTGACTTCTACTCGTCACTATCAAGGACAAAAATAATTAATTTTAACTTCGGAAGTTACTATTTCTTTTTTTCTTCCAAGCGCAGTGAGAATGAACGAGGAAAGGTTTTTAATGTTGCAGAATGCAGAATATTTAATTACATACCTGTTACCAAATTTTGATTCGAATTAATTTCTTTTTGAATGCTATTGTTCACATAACGAAATTCGTTTGTTAACCCAATCCAATAACGTTTCTAATATGAGTCAATAATACCCACCATTAGAAGCCTCTCTTTCAAGAACATATGTTTGGAAGTCTTTGAAGTTTCCGTTTATCGTTTTGGCCCATCTGAATTTAATTCCACCTTCAAACTGTTCGAACGTAAACTATTGGAAGTACGCTTATTAATAAACAGACAAAGTTGCTCCAATTTGATTAAATTTCTAAGGAGATTTTAAAAATACCCAACAACCATCTATTGGAATGATACAGGTGCAAATTTAACAACATTTTTACAAGCGCGAACCGGCAAAAAGTATGGGTAATTCGAATGTGCAGTCGAAGAAAATTTAATAAATTAACGTCGGTACGAGTTAGAAACAGTTTTTTTCGGACAACCATGAGAAAATACCTCAAGAATCGTACACTTAATAACAGATATCAATCAATACGTCTAAATCTACTACGATGTTTGGTTTTAACGAGACCGGACAGGTGGACTCGATTCTCCTCATACTGTAAATAATATCATCATGAATTCCAACAGGGAGAAATTTTAATAATAAATAAATTACGCGACATTGATAAATTACCGAAGCTATTGGGTATTAATATATCTCGGAAAAGCATACGTGCCTTCGAAATAATACGTATTTGTAGAGACCACGAAGAGTGGAAAGAGAGAATGTGAAAATAAAATAAAAGCGGGCGTGATTAAGAATCGCGATGAAAGTTTACCTGATTGATGATTATTCAATATAAATATCCTTTTAACATTTACAAAGAGTCATTAAAAAACAATAATGAGACAGTTAAGATGAGTTGCAAATGAAATATTTACCATTAATTTTAGAGTAGGGAAATTTGTATTGCAAAAAAAATTGACTCGTTAACTAGCCCTGTAGAGAAGTATATCAAATTTAATTAAATCAGCGCCTGTTAAGTACCTAGGTACTTACTTACACATTTACATTCTCGACTTCATTCGCACGTTACAAAAAGAGGCTTAATAACATTTAAAATATAGGCACTTTTGTACATCATGTAAAGTTTTACGCGATAATGTTAAGACGATATTAAAACCCGAGTTAAAATTCTTGCGGCAAAATTATACGTAATTTTATGTTCATTTATTTCCGTTTTTTACAGGCCTGCGCTCCTAGATACGTTTGGTTTACTAAAGACTTGAATAGAAAAGATCCGGTTGGGACGTGTTTTGTATCTAATGGTGCATTCGATAGCTTCGAAGAATATTCACCTTGTAGAACAAGTAAGTACCGAAATGCCATATTAATACACCTATTCGTTACATTACCTGTCCTCCGGAAATATTTTAATAACCTCCAGTATAATATGTTAGCCAGCATGTAATTAATTTTCAAAGTACTAACATTTCGACCTCGAAGTATTTAAAGGTACCTATTCTTATTTAGAACATGAAAATTAATTAAAACGGTCGTTAGACCGGAACGAATGTAAGTACCCACAGTTCCTAATGCTGCAAACCGAAGTAGAAGCACGAGCAGAATTTCCTGAGGAAGATAAGCTATATTACATACAGATTGGAGCGATTAAATTAAAAACGATAAACGAACAATAGAAATAATGTTCAGTGCAGGAATGAAATCTTTCTTCAACGTAAGTACTTCGGTACTAACATTTAAATAGTGCGCCGCATTGTAGGATAAATGCACATGGTGCACACGTGTCGCTCATTTTCTCCCCTTACTATACTTACTTTAGTAGTGTATTTTTAACGATTGACTGTAAAAAAAAGGTTCTAAAAGTTTTTCGTTTTTATTATTGCTACGAATTGCCCTGCCGGACGGATGTCCGCATCGTTAGCACATTTTAAAAGCCCAACAACATACCCGATGGATTGGTTTTCCAAGAAAAAATATCTCGAAACGAGAAATTTAGATAAAGAAGAAGAGAACCGGAAAACTATAGGCAGGACTAATAAATTACTAAAATTACCAGTATATTTCTAAAGGAATCATTAGAGGGGGTTGAAATTGCACATAAAAATGCAGAAATTGAAGTCGATTTCATATTTATTCACTACGTATGTTATTTTATTAGCTATAAAAATACAAAAATACCTTATTAGTACCGCATTAAAGTTCTCAAATGCCACATTTTTATTGTACGTTTCAAAGCATGTGCGGCGATTTTAAATGAATAGAACAATTGTACTTAGTTTTATATTGATGATGTTAGACAGGATAAATTTTACACATACGTGAGTTTTTTTATAATAATAATAGATGCAGTGGTGGCACGGGACACTTTGATATTACATTTTTTTTACATATTTTAATCAGATAATTACAAACGAATGGTTTTTATTACAGTGAATTGGGGTTACCATAGACAGGGTTCCTGCCAAGCTGGTTTTAGTGCAGCAATTAATAGAGTAAGTATTACTTATTTCTACTTTTATTTATACAGAAATGCGAACAAACTCGCCAGTGCCCAGGACAAGCTGTATATGCGGAAAATGGGCATACTTCTACTAAATATTATGAGCTATGGAGTAATGATCTAATGGATTATTAACCTATAGCGTTTAATAGACCTACACTCAAGCAATATCATCGATTATTTTTTTTCCATTGTAAACCAGCTGTTAACACTACTTTGGGTCTGTTATAAATTATCATGCCGCACCTCTTAAGTGCTTCCTTCTTCTCCTTCTTTAAACTTTTCCTCTTTTTTCTGGGTTTAGCGCTATAAAATTAGGGCTTAAAAGCATCTACTTCAAAACGTCGTAACGATAAAAAGTATATTCATACGTTTACACCAGAAATTCGAAACTTTCGATCAGACGATATTAATTTGTAAGAGGCACATCAATGGTTCCGTTCGATTAAATTCCGGCGAATTAGAAGAATTCTATATGCACTTAAAGAAATATTTTATTATGTATTCAAGTCGTTTATTTTAGATAATTAAATGCGATTATAAGCTGTGCTCCCTGGAAGGTCGATTTGTATAAATAAATCCTTTTTATTAGATATTTCAAGTTCAATGGTCGTAGAATGCGCATTGCAATGAATGTTTACTAAAAATTGTGTATTATCTTTAAAGTAACTCTTTATTTAGCATTATAAGTAAATTGATTGAAAAATAATTGTATCTACCTAAGTTATTGGATTCAATATTTCAAGAAACTTTTTACGATTAACCATCAACGAGCAGTATTTTAAACTATCATTATGAAGATAAAACATATTTTAATTTTTATCAACTCCGAGGTGATTTATTGCTTATAATCATTAAGATTAAATGAACCAAAAAAATTGTAATAAATATAATTTGGGCGTTTTATTATTGCTATCATTCACTAAACCTCAACATTCTAGCTAGGATAAATGATAATAAAATGCGTGATTTAAGAACTATGAGAGCAGTACAAATCACCTGGTTTCTCAACAGAAACTCTGGTATTCAGCAATGTACTATGTGTTTTATTTTAAAGATTCACTTTATAAGCAAGTGAAGTACTTTATGTGAACAAGTACGTAGAAATAGGTACTATAAAGCTTCGAATACTAACTGTTTAATTCGAACAAAGTCTAATTTATATCTGCTCTCCATCTGTAAATAATAAAGCCAATTATTCCATACCATACCATAAGAGCTTAACACCGATTCATCCGAGTTCATTTCATTAAATTCCAGAAACGATTTTTCAAATGTAATACCACACGTGGTTTTACAATTACAGCTTCCTATTCCAATAAAATTGTTTTACCTACTTATAAGTACGTTACCATTTTCAGTTAATCGTTCCACCAAATTATTGCGTTATATCTCATAGATTAAATGCTAATTGCAATAAATTAAATTAATAATTGTTATTAAACGTCTTCCCCTTTAATAAATTATTGCGTTTCGAAATGGGTATAAATACAGGGTTCTTGTAAAAAGACATTTTATAGGAACTTGTATGAAAAAAACCGTTTAACGAGCTTTTCATTTTAATTAGGTAATGATAATTATTTATGGTATTTCTTATTGCTGGGCAAGAATAATATGTCACGCATTCTGATTTCTGATAGAAGGTCCATTACCGTGCTGCAATATGGTGTTATACGGCAAAGATGCGGAAAATGATAAATCATTTGGCGAAAGTTAAGTACTTACTTGCATTTCGATCGTTAAAATACCGTTTCGCATTCAAATTGAACCCGATGGTGATGGCCTGAGAGGAGATTTGCAAGATCATTATCGAAAATGGAACCATTAACAATGGAACAATTCACATCATTGCGAAATAAAATTGGTTATGTCACACATTCACAATGCGTTGGTAATTATTCAGGAAAATGTCTTTATTGAGTTGCCGATGAATTTTTGAATAAAAATTGTGAGTAGGTGCTAAAAATAATATTATGTAGATATTAATAACGTGCCTTGTTTTGATCTTTTAATTACATTTATCAGTAAATGCACTGTTGATTTAAATCATTTCAACTGTAAACAATGCATTTTTTTACATAAGAATGCTATTATTAATACATCATCGCGAACGATGGTCATTGATGAGTTCGTTCACCTTCATTAAAATTTGTTTTGATACAACTTCCAATCTTTTCTCTTAAAAAATTCGACCACGTCAAAATAAAGCGATGAAGAGTCTGTTCCTTTTTTTCCGCCTTTCAACCATTGAAAGACTGATTGACGCCCAATCGGTCCGAAAATGAGAATGTATTTAACGACGAGCATATCGTCGTACGAACGTCCAAAATCCTTTTAGGACGCCGTAACGTCTTTTTTAATAGCATTTATTAAAAGGTAATCAACTTAAGCGCTGTTATGACTCAGTGAATTTTTTCGTTTGTTAGTTTTACAATAACGTCCCGTTGTAAATAGACACTCTCGACGTATAGGTATAATTTACAAAATGCTCGTTATGTACCGTATGTCCCAATCACCACCGATTAGTTAATCTCTATTCCTTTATCTCAGAGTTTCATTATCAATTTTTCGAAATAGCAAATATTTGTTTCATTGCCACAACAGGAGATACAAAGGTGAGTTTATCTGACTGCAAAATTGACTGCATAACCGTGGCTACTTCTTCGTAAATTTCGTGACCGAGTCGAAAGAACACGCCAACGACATCCTTAAGAGGGTTATGGAAGTGGTGGCCTTTTAAGAATGAGTTTCAGAAGTTTTCAGTCATACGATCGTGACGCATAAAGAAGTAGAATCAGAGTAGATTTTATCATTCCGAATGTAGTTGGTAGCGATTTTTAAGTACCGACCGCGCTTCTCATAAAGGTAACATTGATAATGTAAATGGAACGGCCGCTTTTCCAATGCATTCGCCTTGACGGAGAGCTTAATACACTTTTCATTTCGGCATTTTTAGATATTGATAAATGCAGTTTGTCTTGTCTTACGCTGCGATTAGACTCGTAACTTTTTCGCTGGATTTATTTGTAACTAGCGACTTATCAGATTCATATGGACAATGAATATTTCCGTCTTGAGCAAATACCAAATCGTTGCGCTTTAGTGTAGGTAACTTCTTCGATGCGTAAAAGAAGATAAAATATAGGAATCGGATTTTTTTCCTGGCGGCACTAAATTTGTCCAACACGGTTGGATTTTTTTACTAATCTATTGTTCCCACGACAACGCTTAAATTGATTGCCGGCCCTTGTTCACGAATGCTCTGTTCATTTCGAATATACAATTCGCCCATTCATTATTCATTACACAGGTGATTTTTTGTTGAAGAAAATAACTCATGAATTTAACGCTGGCAAAAAATCCGAAACGTGTAAAAAATCTCAGTTTTTGATTGCAAATCAATATTAATTTGTTCGCAGGAAGGGGACAGATTGTATGTAGGTGCACCGGGAAGCTACTACTGGCAAGGTAATGCAATTTAAATATTTGTTTAGAATACTTTACAGGCTTCTAGAGACCATAGTGCGTTTCCTAGTTCGAAATGTTTCCGAAAAAAAAAATCGACAAAAAATTAATTTTCTGTTTTAGGCCAAATGTATTCCATAGATGCGCACGCTCACTTTAACTATACCCCTGGATTTTTCGGCAATCGCGGCTATGGCGCCAAAGGTACCGACTCTGGAAAATTTCCAAAATGTTTCTAATCGTCTCACACCAATATTCTAACCCGAAATTACAATAAACAAAAATTAACGAACGCTTTAATTTTTATACATAAGAATATTAATTAATTTCTTGTACTAATCAGATTTACACATTTTTCTGAAATTCCAATTGGTTACTGTAAATTCTGATTCTTTACCGACAAATTTGTTATACAACAAATTGAGTTATACTCACAGCCTTCGCCTCAAACTTGGATTTCTCTATCTATTTTCGTCTATATTTTTTTCTTTTTTGAATTTCCACCATAACTTCCTCTTGAATTGATTCTTTCCAGTACAATTTCAGAAAAACTCGTGTAAACATGCGTTCAACACGATTTTTTTACCGAACAAACAAACAGGTGCGGAACCCCTGAACACCATTAAATTAAAAACAACAACAACAGCGACATGTAACTAATAAGCCTATTAATAATACTTACTTAATTATAACATTAAAATTGTTTTAACTGGTTATAGGTAAATAAAATTAAAAATACACAAAAAAGTTTTACGCACATTTTAGTGGAGGTGCTTTAATAAACTATGTGTCGCAAACACTACTTTCCTATTTTTGTATCTAATTAGATAATTCCGTTAATCAATCTTAAATTGCCGTACAATCTAAAACAAATAGAATTTTATTAAAAGCGTCCCTGTTACAATTAATTATATATTTCCCCCAATATTTTACTAGTGGCTTTTTATAAATTCTTCAATAACTCTGCAGGCGCGTCTGTTCGATATTTCAATTGACGATAATAAAACTTATAATGCTCCAGTACACACCAATTTAAATCAATATCTTCATATGTGCACTCATATATCACAATTAAAGTGATGTAATGTACGACTTCAAAATATAATCACTGCAAGAATAACATTTAGTAACAATCAGAAAACTATAAAGTAAAAACATCAATGCTTCGAACAAAATAAGAATGTTTTGAAAGGAAGGATGCGTTAGATACAGAATTTCAGGGTAAAATATGCTAGTTTTTGTAAATAATTTAAGATATTGTATACATTTAGTTGTGTCATAATTATTAGAGAATATGGTAATAGTTGTAATTTAGAAAACTGCCTATATTGTGGTTAATACGGTTGATAACAATTGGAAAGTTTCTTCGTAAACATATTTTAGATAGAGCCAAAATGCACATCTGATAGAGCTAGATCGTAGAGCAAATTCACGTGCAAATTCAATTCATTTTTGTTCCAGTAAAATTGTATAAATCCAAAGCATAACAGAAATGAAAAATCGAATAATATGGAGAAGTATTCATTCAGACTGCAGAACTCTTAAAATTTCTCCATATTCTTTAAACGCTTTACTTGGCTTTCAATAGAACACACATCGTTACAATTCGTTTCTTACAGGAACATAACGAAACCGATACATCTATCGAACTATTGTGCCCGCAATAGTACATATACGCTTGTATAAATACACCATAGTTGTAGCTCCAATAGCCTCAAAAAGCGGAAAGAGTTGTTACATTCCAGCCCATACCTCGCAATTCAATTTCGAACATTTCCAGGTTCCGTACACCAGCAGAGCCTGGAAAACCGACCGGCGGTATTTTCAACGCGAGAAGGCAAAGCGCCCGACGACGACTCATACATCGGCTACTCCACGGTAGTAGGACACTTCAAACAGGGCGAGGAATTCGAAGGCATCGCTGTTGGAATGCCCAGAGGCAACAAGCTCAAAGGAAAAGTCTTGCTGTTCACTTGGAACCTGCACAACTACAAGAACATCACGATCAGCAACCAGATCGGCTCCTACTTCGGCTACTCCCTCACGGCAGCCGATGTAAACGGCGACAAAAAACTGAAAACACACTCATAAAAAAAAAAAAAAAAAAAAAAAAAAAAAAAAAAAAAAAAAAACTGGATGAGAGTGTATGTCTTCTACCAAGGCAGCAATTTCATCGAGAGCTTCAACAGCTCGGACTTCATCGATGGCACAAATTCGAAGGGGAGATTCGGGCACGCTTTAGCCTCGTTGGGCGATCTGAATCAAGATGGATACGACGGTGAGACTTCTAACAAAGCTCCCAGATTAGATCTAATCGGCTGTTCCAGATTTCGCCGTGGGGGCTCCTTACGACGGGCCGCACGGGAGAGGAGCTGTGTACATCTTCTACGGGTCCAAGACGGGCATAAGGAAGAAGTTCGGGCAGGTTATCTACGCGGAGCAGATCGGCGGCACGAGGGATTATTTAACTACGTTCGGGTTCTCGATAGCCGGAGGTTTGGATTTGGATAACAATGAATATCCAGATATGGCCGTCGGAGCTTATCTATCCAACAGCGCGTTTTTCTTTAGGTGAGTCGATCTCACCAGCGTGAACCTAGCACCCTCACCATCAAAAAAAAAATAAAAAATCATAGATCATATTTTAGTGCTAATTTAGTGCCCACTTCCTAATTTTAGTGGTCGTCTGGTTGAGCAGAAAATTGCGATTGAAAATGGCGGTGCTAAGTTTATAAAGCTAGCACCCCCACTTTTAAATATTTAAACCAAATTAAAAAATAATATATCGGAATTTAGTGCTATTTTAGTGCTTTCGAATGCACTACTCAGAATTTCATTTAAGGTATTAATCTTAAAGATATTTGATAAAAACGTATTGAAGTCAATAGAAAAACAGATAAACATAGAAAAAATACATTTAAACATAGTAATAGGGAAACGATTTTGATCTCCAATTTTTCAATGATTTTAGTGCTTTTAAAGTAGTTAATGTCAGATTTTAGTGCTCAACCCTTAAAACCAAAAAAATCATATTTTTACCATTTTGTAGTCTGACCTCCAAGAGTAAAAATGTGATTTTTTGGGTTTAAGGGTTGAGCACTAAAATCTAACTTTAGCTATCTTAAAAGCACTAAAATGAACAAAGAATATGAAACAAACATCATTTTTCTATCTATATTTTTAATGATACTTTACTCTTGGATGTCAGACTGCAAAATAGTAAAAATGTGATTTTTTGGGTTTAAGGGTTGAGCACTAAAATCTGACTTAAGCTGTCTTAAAAGCACTAAAATGAACAAAGAATATGAAACAAAAATTATTTTTCTATCTATATTTTTAATGTTACTTTACTCTTGGATGTCAGACTATACAAAATAGTAAAAATGTGAATTTTTGGGTTTAAGGGTTGAGCACTAAAATCTGACATTAACTACTTTAAAAGTACTAAAATCATTGAAAAATTAGAGATCAAAATCGTTTCCCTATTACTATGTTTAAATGTATTTTTTCTATAATTATCTGTTTTTCAATTGACTCCAATACGTTTTTATCAAATATCTTTAAGATTAATTACCTTAAATGAAATTCTGAGTAGTGCATTCGAAAGCACTAAAATAGCACTAAATTCCGATATATTATTTTTTAATTTTGTTTAAATATTTAAATGTGGGGGTGCTAGCTTTACAAACTTAGCACCGCCATTTTCAATCGCAATTTTCTGCTCAACCAGACGAGCACTAAAATTAGGAAGTGGGCACTAAATTAGCACTAAAATAGCACTAAATTATGATGTATGATTTTTTATTTTTTTTTTGATGGTGGGGGTGCTAGGTTCACGCGGGTGTCGATCTCGCTTCGACTTTACGCAATGTTTAATTATTGTATTTCAGAGCTCGACCGGTGGTTTTCATCGATAGCGCCGTGAGATTTTTAACGCCTAATAAACGAATCGATCTGAAACAGAAAAATTGCAAGTTGCCTAACGGGGATGCGGGTACTTGCACTTCGATCGATTTTTGCATCAAATATTTCGGTAAAGGGATTCCGGATCAATTATGTGAGTTAACACATAAAAAATTAATACTAGTATATTCGAATTGTGTTATTTACAGCTCTGAATGTGGAGTATTTGTTGGACACGAAAGCCAAAATAAGCAGAATGCGATTCAAGAAGCTGGGAACGCAGACCTTCAACAGAACTCTGATTCTGAGAAAAGATGGCGTGGAGAGCTGTCGTACAGAAGAGATCTACATAAAGGAAGACATTAGAGATAAATTAACACCACTCGAAGCGGAAGTTAATTTCTATATGGTCGATGACGATGCTTTTTACCAACAACTGAGAAATCCCTTGTCTCAATTACGACCCGTGTTAGATTTGAACAATCCACCGTCCAGAAAAGATTCCATAACGATACAAAATAATTGTGGAATCGACAACGTTTGCATACCGAACCTTCACCTTAACGTTACTTCGTAAGTTAACGCTTTTCTAATCGTTATTTGTTAAAAATAAGTTGTTTTATATCAGAAACATCCAAGAATACTTGCTGGGTTCGAACACCACCATAGAATTCACCGTTATCGTTTCGAATTTCGGTCAAGATTCCTTCGAAACTACATTTGAAATGACATATCCCGCAACTGGAATATTTTACAAGAAGAGCGTTATAAAAATACCAGGCATGTCTTGTACAGAAACTAGTAACAAAACGGTTTTGTGCGACATCGGAAATCCATTACCTAAAGATAAAATTGTAAGTAGAATCTTCACTGATGTCCTGTATAAGCGAATAACTGTGGTTTTTCCAGGCCAATTTCACTATTTTCTTTCAACCGTACCACCAAGGGGGTTTCCCTAACCGCAGTTACGTTTTCGATATGCTGGTTAATAGTTCCAATCCAGAACTGCCTTATACTTTCGAAGATAACACTAAACATATCGAAATCGACATATGGATTGATGCTACTATAGATATTAAAGGGTATGTGTTTTAATCGATGTAAAATTTTGATAAAATAGGGTAATTTTTAGTCAATCTTATGCTTCACTTCAACCTCTCTCCACCTACAACAACACGATATTCAAAGGCAGCATCAAGGATGTGACGAAAGAAACTGATATTGGTCCCCAAATAACTCACGTTTACTATTTAACGAATAAAGGACCATCGCAAATACAAGAAGCCGAAGTGTTCCTCCTGTGGCCTTTGACCACTCTCAGCGGCGACGATTTGCTATATCTTCTGGAACAGCCGATTACCAAAGGAAACATCAAATGCGATTTATCTCCATTGGTCAATTACAGACACATAAAGGTGAGTTTAGATGATGGTAAAACTCATTAAAGTATCCCACAATTCTCATTCCAGCTAGAACCGCAATCCACCACTATCTGGGACAAACTAAAAATTGATATATCATCCTTCACCAGCACCACTAGCAGTTTCCAGACTGGCGAAAAACACGAAGGAGGCACCATAGAAACTGGAACTGGTAAGTTAAATTCCCAAATCATCCATCTATGAATAAATATTTTAAACGTCCTTAAGGTGTCGGCAGCGGTATTGGAGTAGTAAACCAAAACACAAACCAAATCAATTCGGCCATCAACACATCAGGAGGGGACTCTTCCTTTATCACCGAGCTACGCCACAACGAAACCAGTTCCACGTCCGAGCACGTTCAAACCTGGGGCACGATGAACCCCAACGGGGAATACGAATACACCGTCAGCAAATATTACACCGTGAGTTTTTAAAATAACCTCCCTTATGCCCGATTTCACCAACCAGTTCCTAAAGTTAGGTAATACCTAAACCGGATTTAGGAATTCCTAAGTACAATTTGCGTTTCACCATGCACTAAGTAATACCTAAAGGTAATAGGAAATGCCTAAAGTTAGGACAGCTCACTGGGCTTGCCTAAAACATTTAGGAGATACTTAACCATACTTTTCATGTGATTTCATGTGACTTAAGTCTTGACTGTCTTTACACTCTTTAGATGAAAATTTAAAATGGGAGGAGAGTTTTTAGAAACTGGTCGAAACTGATTTTTTTTAATCTTTTTCGATACATAAAAATACGGCATTACAAATATCAGAAAGAATTTGAGATGATTTTTAATTTGATACACAGGAAGTTTTTGGAACTATTGACCGTACACATGGATGTAAAGATCCATAGTCCTGGAGAAGAAGATGTAGAAATATTTTACAAATCGGAAAGGTTATTTTTCTATTAATGTACAGACTACATCCTCAGCAGATTTAAAAATAACTAACATAGTTTTGAAGATTACCCGGATCATCAACATCTCTTCTTTTCTCTCAACATATTCAATTTCGATCTCCGCTTATTCGGTTTACACATCAAAATTAGCCAATGCTACCAATAAAATTCAAAAAATTGTCAAAATCAAATTTTTACGTATGTATTTCTTAGTAAGGGATTTCTAATGTTGGTGAAATTCGATTTAGGTAAGTATTCGATTTAAGTAATTCCTACCTTAGGAATTACCTAGTTAGGGAATACCTAACAACATGTTGGTGAAATCGGGCATTACACTTCCAACAGCTTCGATTTTCGTGCAGGTGATGGAGAACGGTGTACCGGTGACCAAATGGGAAAACACCACGACTATTCGAGACGCGAACGGTAGAATCATCAGCACGTTGTATCACAACGATTACAACGGATCCCAAACGGGTCATATGAATCCTCTCAATTACATCGTAGGGCTCAAACAAGGCGAATACGAACACAAAACAGCTAGGTACTTTACCACCTACGATTCCGCCGGGAATCCCACGACCAAATGGCAAAACAAAACGGTCGTTACTGATTTGAATGGCAACGTTCTGAGAAGCTACATTTGGGACGATTTGACTGGAGAATATAAATTAGAAACAGGTAAATACCGTTAATAATAATACTTTTATTCCATTCAATCATGCTTTTTTAAACTCCAGGTGGATCTGACAGTTATGCTCGAGAGGAACTCCTAAGAAGACAGCAACAAGAGAAAATCGAAGAGGCGAGGCGCAGAAAATTGGAAGAAGAAAGCAGGTACGAGGAATTGCGGCGACAAGAAGAAAGAAAGTTAGAAGAACGAAAGAGAATAGAAGAAAGAAAGCGGATAGAAGATAGAAAGAGGATAGAAGAAGAAAGACAAAGAGAAGTGGAAAGACAAAGAGAAGAAGAAAGACAAAGAGAAGTGGAAAGACAAAGAGAAGCAGAAAGACAAAGAGAAGAAGAAAGAATTAGATTGGATGAAATTAGGAGGGCCGAAGAAAAAAGGAAAACGGACGACTTAAGAAGACAAGAGGAACAAAGAAGAAGGCAAGAACAGCAGTTGAGGGAAGACGAGTGGAAAAGGGAACAAGAAAGGAGAAGGTTAGACGAAATTAGAAGACAAGGTGGCACTCGGTAAGTACTACAAAACTATTTTAGAATTGAAATTAAACTCGTTATCTATGTAGATATGACGACGATAAACTAAGGGAGGAAGAACGCCTTAGACAAGAGGAAAGGAGCCGTCAACAAGCGCGAATAGCCGAAGAACGAAGAAGACAAGAACAAATACGACTAAACGAAGAAAGGAGGAGGCAAGAGCAAGCGAGATACGAAGAGTGGTTGAAGCAGCAAGAGGAACAAAGAAGAACCATCGACCAGCAAAGGCACCAGCAAGGAAGCACCAGCTGGTCCGAAGACGAGAGAAGATACTACGACGAACGCAGGAGGCAGCACAGTCAAGGTTTATTATTATAGTTATTTATTTATACATATAAAACTACAAAACAACATGAAGTTGGTACAGTAGAGTAAAAAGAAAAAAAAAAGATATAACATTATATAGATATTAAGAATATACAAAATAAATGATAAGGTAAAGATCTAGAACACTAGAAATCTAGTTAAAAATAAATGGAAGAAAATAAGCGATCGATTATTTGTTTAAATATTTCTTGACTTCAGTTTTAAATCTGTCCATCTTTTTTAAATTTCTCAAAGAATTTGGAAGTTCATTAAAGTTTTTAAAACAACTGTAGCTTGGTAAATTTCTGCCTTTTTCACTTCTCACTTGATATTGAATTTCAATTCTGTCTGCATTTCTGGTGTTGTAGTTGTGGATTTGTGAAGTAATTGTTGGAATGATCGAGCTTTTTAGATATCCATTTTTTATCTTGAAGGCCAATTTACACTTTTCTAAGGCTGCTGTTTTGTTGATAGGTAACATTGGTAGAGAAGCATATAATTCACTAGTTCTAGTTTCATATGGTATATTGTATGTATTTTTTATAGCTTTATTTTGTAATCTTTGAATTCTATTTAAGTTAAATTTTGATGTATTTGACCATATTGGTATTAAGTAGAGAAGAATAGAGTGAAAGTAAGCGTTGTAGATCATTAACTTTGTTTAATAGATGAAACTCAGTTTAATAGATGAAAATGTGAAATGAAAGAGGAATTTTTTCAGGGGGTTCCAGCTCCGGTTCGAGCGGAAGTAAAGTAGTCACCGGCTATTTCGACCAAGACGGTAAATACGTAGCGAAAAATCCAAGTAAGTTTTAAATTTAAGATTCCAAAAACTCTCATAAATGCGCTGATAAATTATAGATGAGTTGGTGTTCAACAAAACGTACGTGTTCGAATCCAGCACCACAATTCCCATAGACATATCCGGAGGCAAAACGTTTATAGGCAACGGTGGCAATTTCAACGACCTGGGATCCGGTTTCACCGTGCAAACTCTAGATTTGGGCAGCGGCAGCAGCTCGGGCTCCAACGCCGGATCCCAAACCCATGGACGAGGTAAAATAAACCACCAACATTCCCTTTTAATCCCCCAATGAGCAAAATAAGTATGAGAAACGATCACTAAGGTTTTTGCACTAAAATTTAGGTAATATTACGTATATGATACCAAATTTTTAACTTATATGTGAATGATACTTGAAAGTTTGATTCTTGTAGTAATTAAAAAGTATTTTCACCTTCCAAATATTCCTTTATGATTTATTTACTTTATGGTAAGTCAAAACGTTTCAGAAACTAAACTAATACTTGAATGGTACAACTCAAAGTTAACGGGACGTTTTGGTATAAAAACGGTGCAAAACTAAAGTAAGCAACACTTATTTGGTTTCCAAAATAATACTATAACGTTTTTTAAACCTAGAAGTATATTTAATAGTTTTATATTCGTAAAATATACTTCAGTTTATACTTTGGCGTAAGTTACTTGTAAGTAAACTTTTAAGTTTCAAACACTTGTTTTAATGTCGATGAAATACCTATAAGTAGAATGTACTTATAGTATAATTTCTTTAAAGTATATTATTCCTGATAAAAGTACTATGAAGTAAAATGTACTTCAAAGTAAGGAGTTATAGCAAAATTTTACCACAAAGTATATTTCTCTAGAGAGGATGGCATATCGCCATATTTTTTACATATAAAAGGTAGCCATGGATTTGTCAATTTTTTAGATATATTAATTAAGGCCGTAAGAGTCGATATTTGAGTTTTTTAATTCAATTTTTTGTTATTATTATACTACAGATACTAATATTAGCTCTTAAACAGAAATTGTGTAATAAAAATTTAAGTTATATTTTTGATTTTCACGATTTTTGATCTTTCGTATATCCTAAATTTACATTTTCGAAAGGCGCTTATAATTTTTCGAAGTACAACTTTCATATTTATCAGTAAAGTCTCTTGCGTTCTATTTTTTTATGCCAATATTAATGAAATATAATAATATATATGAGTTAACCTAATAATATTCACTTCAACTTTTATAAACGCCATTCGTAGTGTGATGGAGTAAAGTTGAGAAATATAGAACGATGTAACATTATAGGTATTTCGTTGTAAAAAACAAACCCCCCACATCAAGTTACTACAAAGTAATAATTCCGTATTTTATTCGTAAATAATACGAATCTGCAACGTATTTTATTAGGGTAAAGGACGGTAAATTTTTCGTAAAATATACGTAAAATATACTCAAAAATCATTCCCCATTTTGGTAGAAATTTCGTTATTTTTACGTATTTAATACGTATCTGTTCCAAGTGGCATATACTTTAAAGTAACTTCTTAGGTAGGAAACACGTAAATTTTACCAAAATTGTTCATTGGGGGCCCTTTTTAATCGTCTATTTGTAGAATCCAGTAATCAAGGCGGTTACAGCCGCGAATGGCACTCACAAGGCGGTTACTCCGCCAGCGGGCAGATTCCTCCCACGTTCACCTACAATAACATACAGAACGACCATCCATCCGGATCGGCTAGATCGAAGAGGCAAATTTTAAGCGACCCCTACGCCGATATTAAAGCCCTGGTGAAATGCAATTCGACCAAGTGCATTTACATCAGATGCGTCGTGGGTGCGCTAGATAGGGATCAAGACGTGCTGATCGCTTTGAGATCCAGACTGAACGTTAGAGGACTTAAAGATGTGAGTATTAAATGTTCTTATAGCACTCGAGATGATGAATTTGAATTAATTTTAGCTTGCTGGAAGCGATGAAGCGATAAGATTGTCCTCCAAGATGGTGTCGGCTATAACTGATTTACCGTACGTAGAGCCGATTAAGAAGGAGAAGCAAGTGTGGAAGGAGTACGAGATATTTACGGAAGTGCCTGCGAAAGAGGCCGAATTGGTGCCAGAAGTGGCTCCGTTGTGGATTTACGTTGTATCCGCTGTAGCGGGAGTCGTTATGCTGTTGTTGTTGATATGGCTTCTCAGCAAGGTAAGTTCACTGTAATTGGTTTTTTTATAGAAAGTAATTGAAAAATGTGGTTGTTTAGTGTGGATTCTTCAAGAGGAACAGGCCCTCGTCGGGACCGGAAAGACAGCCTTTGAACAGGAACGGTTATCACAGCGGGGACGAAGCGCTGTAATTGTCAAAATCGGCTAGGAAACAAATAGAAAATCGGTAGCAAATACTGCCTCTAACAAAAAGACTTGATTTTTTAATTTATATTTTATGCGTGTGTGTATGTTTATAGAAGATTATATATTTTTATAATTTTTCAATTTTCGACCAAATAAGTGAAAAATAACGCGGATTTAGGTGGAGAGGCGAAGTTATTTTGTGCCATTTACGTTCTTTTTTTAATTTCGTAGTTCATACGAATATTTTGTAAAAATCTCCTCCACGATTTAAAAAATTAGGTACATATACTTAATTTATTGTATTATTGTAAAAATTATTACTAGAAATGTGCCATATTTTTTGAAAACCGAGCAGAATCATTACAATTCATCAAAAATATTATTTATTTGATAAATAATACATTATTTTTCGGAAGAGAAAAATAATTTCAGCGAATCTCTTGATGAATTCTACGTTATTATATGTGCAATTGTTAGCATTTGAACAACTATATTTCAAATCCAATCAAATTAAAAAAAAACAAATATTTGAATTTACTTATTTTTAAATACTTATATTATTAACTTATTAACCAGTTCCTAAACAATTTTGTAATGTCAATTTAATTTTATCCTTTTGAGTGTATTTTCGAAAAGTGCGATGCTTTCTTATTATTTAAAACGAAACATCCGTACGCGGTTCTTATGCAATAAATTTCGAATTTTGTATAGTTTTATGTTTGATTTTGTTGACGACGTTATATTAGTTTTTTTGTAACTATTAAACTGTAACAAATTGTGAATAAATAAATTTCTTTACACTTGTTTAATATGAACACGTACTATACCGTTTTTCCATGATCAACTTTCAAAAATTAAAAGTAAATTAAAAAAAAAATCAAATTGGATCAGTTGACTACAAAGCAAAAGGCCATATAAAAAAAAGAAATTGACGGGTTAGTGACAAGTGATGCATTTGACGTTGACAGTAATGACAATTGACATTTTAGTGTTGAGCGTTGGATTTTGGTTGTGTGTGTGTTCATTTTCAATAATTTTATATGAAATAAGTTACAATGGCTGAGTATTTGGCGTCAATTTTCGGTACAGAAAAAGACAAGTAAGTAATTAAGTACAAATTAAGAATTACACAATAATCCATTTCTGTTACATTACAGAGTAAATTGCTCGTTTTACTTCAAAATCGGAGCTTGCCGACACGGAGATAGGTGTTCTCGAATACACAACAGACCGACTTTTTCTCAAACATGCCTTCTGCAAAATTTATATGTTAATCCACAAAATTCCGCAAAATCTGCCGATGGAAGCCACTGTAAGTATACATTAATCTACCCGTAATTCTCTACAAATAAACTCATCATATTTTTAGTGGTCGCCAATGTTTCCGACGAGGAAATGCAAGAGCACTACGATAACTTCTTCGAAGACGTTTTCGTGGAGTGCGAGGACAAATATGGAGAAATCGAAGAGATGAATGTTTGTGATAATTTAGGAGATCACCTCGTAGGAAATGTGTACATTAAGGTACTGAATTTTAATACATTTTCAATAATTAGTATTGAATTATTTTCTCTGTAGTTTCGACGCGAGGAGGACGCCGAAAGGGCAGTAAACGATTTGAACAATCGTTGGTTCGGAGGTCGACCCGTCTACGCCGAGTTGAGCCCCGTAACCGATTTCAGAGAAGCCTGTTGTCGCCAGTACGAAATGGGCGAGTGTACCAGGTCTGGATTCTGCAACTTCATGCACCTGAAACCCATATCCAGGGAATTGAGAAGGTACTTTTAAACTATTATTTACATAAAAAGTAACCCGCATTCGAGAAAGAAATCTATTCAACACCAGCATAATTGTATATCCGAGTTATTTAATCGATTCGCTTGGATAAATTTCATCCCTGCTAGTTTTGTTATACGTTAATGTAATCATAATGACTTACTTGATATGATTATTGATCAATTTTTAGATATTTGTATTCGAGAAGGAAGGGAGGTCGCTCAAGGGCCGCCGCCCATTCGAGATCTCGTTCTCCGAAACGGCCGCGGTCTCGTTCGAGGGAGAGAAAAGGATCCAGATCTCCGAAGCACCGTTCCGGCAGGAGCGGGCGTTATTGATGACGTATTTACTGGAATTATTCAGGTTTATCGCCTTGTATATGGTCAGGTCTAATCATTTAAGAATATTCACCATTAATTTTGATTGCATAGTTAACTCGGGACATTCTTTTCCGATGATTTGTACAGGGAAACAATCTGCCGATTTAATAACTATGTTATCATATTAGCGAGTTTTTACTTTTTAAGTTAGAAATATGTTTAGGTACTTTTTCTAAAGGAAAAACCGTAATAAACTGTTGTATGTTTGTGGTTAGGCTATGCAGTAATTCGTAATAAAGTATTCAATAAAGGAAATAATCACAATATTTTCAAAAGAAATAAAACGACGAAACGCAATAAATTTTTTATTATTTATAAAAAGATATCTTCAACAACAAATAAAAACAGTTGGGGATGTCTCCAAGAAACAAGAACAACGGTTTAAAACTTGTTTCGAGGTTTTATTCAATGTCTATAATTTTTCCGCAATAACACCTAATTTTCAACTAGTTGATTTTTAATATTCTTACTACGTAATGTTTGTTCTGTGCGCTGGAAAATAGAATAATTAATATCATTTCTTTAAACCAATTTGTATACTTACCAGTTTTTGGTAAACGCAAAGATTCGCTATCTGTTACGGTTATTTCGTGAGGCTGATCGTGATAGTTGTAGATTATATGTAGCATTTTTTCTTCTCCGAACGCCGGATCGAAAAAGCCTGGCAATTCAGACTACAAAAGAAAATATAAAATTATAGTGTAGTCTAATACTCATTTAAGATACTAACTTTATTTTGTACATAAATTTCTAATTTACTATCTTTGACTAGACACTGAATTGGTACAGTTACATCTAGAACTTCGTTGGTTACTTCATTGTCACCGTGTTGATTCGGATCTGAAATAAGTTTATTTCGCCGCTTATAAAAACTATCTACAAGTCATTAAAGTGCGTCCCACCTTTAATAATCTTCCCGTAAATCGCCTTAATGATTACCAAGCCCTTTTTATTGCTCTCGTCGTCCCTTATTCTCGAATACGTCGCATTCATGAGCTCTTGCGCCGCCAAAGCTTCTTTCCTCCTCTCTAACAATTTGTTGAAATTATTTTGCTTCTGCTTTTCGACCTTTTTGTTTTTTTCGTCTCTCAAAAACGGCTCGACGAATCCTTTTTTAACGACTATGTATAACACCAAAGGCACTGCGGTAGCGTAGAACACGGGGGCAGGCATGATTTCCTCGCACAAATGAATTGGAAACGTGTAAGTTTGAGAGGCTCTGGTCAATCTAAATTCGTATAAATTAATATACGACTAATTTCTTGTATTACAAACTCAATACAAACCTTATTTTAAGTTTCACTCCGGATGGGACGCCGCAAATTACGGAAAACGAAAGGTTGCTGTGTTTGGAAATTTTCTTCTCGGCTCCATACTCTAAAACACCTCCAAATGTACCAGCTCTATAAAAGTTTGTTTAATAGACAAGACATTTAAAATTAGTTCTTCTTTTCGATCTTACTTAACGGCAATTCGTAATTTTAGTTCTTGACTCAACATTTTTCTGGTGTATTGTAGAAGGACGAAGGAATGAGGCAGACCTACTTGAATCGAAAAGTTATATCGATTCTTTTCTAAAAATTAGAAACCGTTAGAATTACTCATTTACATTTATAAATTATTTTACCTGTATCTCTAATTATCTGTGTTGTAAATGCTGATCTAACTCCACCCTGGTACGTTAAGTAACCAACAGAATGTTTATCTACTTGCATTGCCAAAGCTAGAATAATCGATTATTAAAAATCAACAGAAACGAGGATATTAAACAAATTTTACTAGACATTATTCCCGGCCGAACTCCTTCGGGTGTAAACTGTAAAATAGTCCCACCGTTCCAAAAGAACCTCCTGGTCAACGTTCTAAAACCTTTAAAGGACAGCGCCGGACCGCTACCTTAAAACAAACCAACATTGTTCGATTACATTCGAATTAAATGCAAACGGTTTACCAGCAGCCATTTCCAGTTCCGTCCAGCTTTTGTGTGAGAAAATGTGTCTCCAACTCATGTTAATGCCCCCGCCGCCTGTTCCGTTTTGAGTCTGAAGCTGCCCCGAGAGAGTGCAGGTGTCTTTTTGCGTTAAAGGAAAGTCCACTGATTGACTAAATTGCATCGAAGACACTTCGATATTGGGGATGTTCGATATAATATCACTACAAAAAATCTTCGATAAGATACTGTTCACAATTTCTACAAATTGTGACTTACTTCTCGTATTCCTCCTCCAAGTAGTCATCGTAATAGGGGTTGAATATGTCTGTTGCATTAACAGTTATGGTAATGTTGCCGCTTGGGTTTGTAGCTTGTTTTTTCCTTCGTTCGGCCTTTTCCTCGGCTAATTGCTCGTATTCAGCCCTGATTTCTGCGGGGGTTTTGGTTCTTTGAACTATTTCCCATCCTTCGGTTTCGAGACCTTTAGTTCCTAATGAATCGTATATTGCTCTTGTGTGAGGATCAGAAAGCACTGTAATATAACGTAGATACTTAAATGAGAGTTAGTGTTGGTTAATGTTTATTACCTTCGTATGCTTTCTTAACCTTATTGAACATATTTTCAGCTTTGGCCTTAAGATCGAGATCCACATGCTTATCCGGATGGTAAATCCTACTTAATCTTCTATACGCGTTATTTATATCATCTCTGGAAGCCTAAAAGTGCCATCATATGATCAATGTGAGGTTATTTCACAACAAGTCAACATATTTCAATGCAGTTCAATTTTTATATTTTTACAATAATTTCATTTACCTCTTTAGGAATATTTAAAAACGAATAATAATCCTCTTCCATAACATTTTCCTCGTCCGAATCATAATCCATGTTTCAAAATTAACCTGAAGTTTCAATGTCAAATTTTTCAACAAGAATAAAAATTCGGAATTTTTCCTGGGCTTACCTTTGAAAGTATTTTCTATTTAACGTTTAGTTTATAGTTCTGAACTAAAATTTTTTTAAATATATCCGTTTTATGAATAATTGATCATATTTCTTAGCTGCAATTGAAATTGAAACCAGCTATAGATGGCACGAACATAGGCAATACATTTTACTTTACATTTGTTAAAAATTTCAAATCTTCGTTTTTATTAAAAAATAGTAGATTAGTTGTATTCGTTCAATATCTTCTACCTATGTAAGGTAGCCGGATGCGACCTACCGCAAAAGGCCATGTATAAAGTAAAGAAGAAGAATCTTCTACCTCGTAGGTTATTCGTCCCATGATTTTTTCGACTTCGACCTACTGTCAATTGTTGTCCCAGTTCCTGTTGTCATTACTTGTCAAAGTCATCGCCGAGGGTTAGGTGTTTTGTTATAGATAAGTGTTTTTTCGCCAAATTAAATTAAAATCAATGTTCTTGGAATATAAATAATGATTCGCGACGATAAACTGTTTTTCCATAAAACAGTTCAACATTTAGCTAGGTCTTTAGCTAATATAAAAGACGCTCCTTGGAGTAAGGTGAGTTTTACCTTGAAATAAAGTTCAATACCTATTGTAATCATATCTAATTTCGACTAAAACTTTGTCCTAGGTACAAATATTGCTGTCCCTCTGCCCTCCCGATCCGCAGAATGGCACGTTTATCATAAATTGTCGACAACAGGACGCTGTCATTGCATTGGGATTGTATTTTTTGGAAAGTGGCCTGCAACATAAAAATATTATTTTGCCTTATTTATTAAAATTGGTTAAATTAATAGAGAAGGCGCAATGGCAAGATGAAATTAAATTGAATTCGACCGACAGTTAGTATATTTCAAATTCAATTCTCCTATATTTAATTGCCCTTGTTTTAATAACACGGTTGTTGAACAAAATTGTTTTTTTAACTATTCTGATTTTTTAAACAACACTCTTAGATAATAATGTTTACTCATAAAGTTTGAATATTGTTAAGCGAGATAACATTATTAATGATAAATAGTTTTTTTTTGTTCTGGCTTATATTAACTTATAATCTCGATTGAATTATTTTTATCCAAAATGTAACTTTCTGTTTAAGGAATTCCAATAGCAGAAAAATTCAGTTTTTGTTTGCACACACTCCTAAGCGACATTGCAGTCAAATGTGAGGAATCCAGATCGGAAATTCTCGAAACCCAGGTAACATTTTCTAAAATTTCCTAATTCTCCACAATGAATTTTCTTTCTACCAGGTAAACAGTTTGGTGAGCCTAACAGACCAAGTATTGAAAATCAAAGATGCCAACAATCGCAACAGTTCCAGCAAGCTATTTCTATGTAAAACCACCCTTCCTGTACTAATAGGATTGGCAAGGGCGATGGGAAGATTTTCAACGAGCGACCCTCCTCTAATTTACAGATTATTCCCGCGCCCGGAGCCTCCTCTAAACCAAAATGAAACCAAGCAACAAAACATCTGCAAGAGAAGCTTCAGTAGTTTCAGGAATATAATACCTAGGAGTTTATCGGGTAATTTACATGCGACAGTTGATATACTAGCCGTAACTGCTGTAAGTTTTTTTTAACTAGTGATTGTATTGGGAGAATGAAAAACTTTAATATTTTTCTAGGGCGGATATGATACAGCTGATGTTGCTTTTAACTCAAATTCCTTAAAACGTGGCATTTCAATAAGCCACAATGTGGGTGGTAATGATCCGAGAACGTATTTCTTCGCCAAATTCGGTTCCAGCTTCAACCAATTTCCCCATTTACGTATAAACGATCCCAACGACAAGAAACAACAAATAGTCTTCCCGCAAGCACATCTCTCCACCGTTTTGGCGCTCAGCAAGCAGCTCCTCACGAAAGAAATGCTCGGTTTCCTGGACGAGCAAAGCTTAGAGATCAGTTCCACTGGGAAAATTTTAATATTCCCCTACAAGAGTTTCTCGGAAATCGTCAATTTGGTTATGGTGACTCTGATGAGGGAGTTGCTGCAACCGCAGAAGGACTTGCCTGTACCTTTTACTAAAGATGTTCAAGAATTCGTAAAAGGTAATAAATTGAAATTGATTAGAGTACTGAGTTTATTTAATTATGTATTTCTCGTATAGGTCTTTATTTAAATGGCCAAACTGAGCTGCAGAGCAGGAACCACGATTTGAGCGAAAGAGAGGACAAAGAGAACAATTACGTTTTGATAAATAAATTTAAATTGAACGTGTTAGCTAATGCTGCTTGCGTTGAGTTGCTGGTTTGGGCTATTGGAGATGAAACAGGTATAATAGTACTCTAAGTTAGAATAAATATAGATATATTAAAAAATTTTAAATTACTATTATGTTATTAATTTTAAGATGGATCATATTCCATTCTTTAACTAATGTTAGTAGTTCAAAACGAATCAATATGCTCCAAACAAGAAAAATAAGTTAATTTTTTTAAGCATTTTCTGTTGTATTTCTGAGGGTTATTCTGAAAATTTCCTATATTATATTGAAGCTTTACTAATGAATATTTTAACAAAAAATTACACCCAATCCATTTTTATTTGTGTGTATTCAGTATACATTCAGTATAACTCTCATCTATTATTTTTGTATGAACGAATTAATGTGTAACTGTAAGTTTTTATTTGCAGTCGATTCAGAGTATAATTTTACAACTTTGCTTCACTTCCTAATGATAATTCTAGGTGAAATAAGCTTGGTTTTTGGTTTTGTCCCTCTGGTTTTGATATATCAAATTTTAATAACACTGTCCTTTTTAGTTTTATTTGATTTGTAGGGTAGAAAATTGTGTTTATAGAATTTTTTGATAAAATTTGAGCATTTTTTTGTGTAGTAGTTTTTTGTATGTCGTGGGAATGATAAGTGTTTACTGGTGAGCCACGTAAGTAAGAGGCTATCAAAAATTAAAAATTCGTGATGTTTGGCGCATCAGTAAAGACTATTTGTTTCTTTACATGTATTTTTAAAAACCGACTAATATTTAATTGTATTGCTTCATGCAGTGCTAATTTGGGTTTTTATTATCATACATTTTTATAATATACTTACTAAAAAATCACCTTAGGTGCTGATAGTTTGTGCAGCCGACTCACGGAGAAAATAAATTCGAACCACGGTTACCGACTAGTCATAGCGCATATGCCATTATTAATGGTGTGCTTGGAAGGTTTGGGAAATTTGGCTCAGAAATTTCCGAACATAGCATCGACATCGATATATTGTCTAAGAGATTTCCTCATTACCCCTTCGCCTATTTTATCGAAATTGCACCGACAAGCTAACGAAAAAGGCACCAAAGAATTAAAAATCGCAGGTATTAACACTAATCAAACGCTCGATCGTACGATTTGTAATAACAAAAATTCCAGTGCAAGGCAATCAACTGAAAGCCGAAAACACCAACGTGGCCTCTCCCATCCAACAGGCCTTCGAGAAATTGCGAGACGCCGCCATCGAGAACTTGTGCATAGCCCTAAGTGCAGCCCACACCTTGGACCCGGACTGCGTCCGAGCCCTCGTAGCCTCGGTATCGAATCGACTATTCACAGCGGAAAAAAGCGACAGGTAAACAAACCACCCAAAAGAATCACCTTCCAAACCACTAATCTCCAAATTCCCTCAGCGAATCCACGCTAATTTCAACGAACATCGTCATCATGCTCGGCCACGTGGCCGTTTCGATGAAGGGCACCCCCAAAACCACGGACACCATACTGCAGTTCTTCCAGCAGAGGTTCTGCCGAGTACCGTCTGCACTCGATACACTGATCGTCGATCAATTGGGGTGCATGATCATAGCGCAATGCGAAACGCACGTGTACGAAGTGGTCATGAAGATATTCACGATGATAACGGTGGAAAGCGGTAGCGTGGCTTATGGGAAAGCTTCAAATGATAAAGCCCAATACAGGTACTTGCGTTTAATAGAAAACTACAGGGCTTTTCACGGTAACCGTCCATTAGAAGTATCTCAATAATGAAAAGACTTAAAAATCTGAAATTTTGGTTATAGTATTTTTTGGATAATATGAATTGATCTAAAATATTTTCATTTTGATTACACTTCCGGTTATACCGGAAGTTGACACCAACTTCGTTATTTTAAATGGAAAGTGCCATTTTTAACTTCATTTTTGAATTCTATGGCCTTTTTTAACTAGACTTTGATAATAACACCATATGCCAAAAATGCACCATTTTTAAGATATTACAATTTTTTTTTTATTTTTTGGAAAAACAGTCGAATGTATTTTCTGTGATATCTCTGTTAATAATGCAGCTAAAAGCTTGAAATTGAGTATCGATGATGTCCAAACACACTTCTAAATTAAACTAAACTGTATTTTCAGAATCCATGTACAGGGCGTTTAAAATTGTCTGACAAACATGGCCAAATTAAAGCGGTCAAAACTTTGTTATTTCAAATGGATCACCTTGTCACCTTGTATTTTTTAACAGTGACAAATACAGTTTTTTAAGCCCTTTCGATCCATATGGGTATTCCCTATACTCAAATCCAGTAGTTTTTGAAATAATCGAAGTCTTATTAAATAAGGTATGAATTTTTTTTTTTTTGAGTTTTCTAGTTGGCGTTTCTAGTTGGTGAAAATATTTTAGATCAATTCAAATTATCCAAAAAATACTATAACTAAAATTTCAGATTTTTAAGTCTTTTCATTATTGAGATACTTCTAATGGACGGTTACCGTGAAAAGCCCTGTATACAAGAGTATTTTAGTAATGTCTGTTTTCAGGCACGTTTCGAGACCCGTTATAAACGCTTTGGCTAATATCGCGGACAATATACAAGGCGATGTACAAATGAACGAATTGCTAGGTCGCCTGCTTGAATTGTTCGTTCAGTTGGGATTGGAGGGAAAACGAGCGAGCGACAAGACCCCAGGTGAGTTATATACAAATAATTTGACCGGTGAAAATGAAGTAATCGCATTATCGAAATTAGGTGCCCTCAAGGCGTCCAGTTCGGCTGGAAATCTGGGAGTTCTGATACCCGTTATAGCCGTTTTGCTCAGGCGTTTGCAGCCGATAAAAAACCCGAGGCCTCGCATTCACAAGCTGTTTAGGGACTTTTGGTTGTACTGCGTGATTATGGGATTCACAGCATCCGATTCAGGTAACGCCAATGACTTAATAAACGCGACAAATTAAATGTTATTAGCGAATTTTATCAGGTTTATGGCCTCAGGAATGGTACGAAGGAGTGAAGGAAATCGCCGTAAAATCCCCGACTCTGATATCGTTCACATCGACCAGATCGGAAATGAGAGAGCTGCAATTCACCAGCGCTGTTAAAAACGACAGCGTGTCCGTCAACGAACTCCAAGAGCTCAGAAATCAGATTCTCGATCTGCTGAAGCATCCTCCCGACGTCACGGCTTATATTAACAAACTATCGTTCGCCCAGTGCACTTTTTTGTTGAGCGTGTATTGGGTAGAAACCCTTCGGTAAACCGATTTTATACGTTCAATTTTATATTCTACAATTTATTTTTTGTATGCAGAGTGGAGCATTCGGGCGAGCCTTCTCTAGTTCCGATCGTCTCCGACTATTTAAGCGACTCGGCCCTGCAAAAGGATAAAGCAGGAATGTGGAATTGCATTCAATCGGTCAGCGAAAGAGTGTTCGAAAAATTCCTGGGCGTAATGAAGGATCGACCTAAAAACGAATCGAGAGAAAGGGATCTCGAGGAGCACGCTCAATTTTTACTCGTCAACTTTAACCACCAGCACAAGCAGATTCGAAGGGTTTCCGATAAGTTTTTGGCCAGTTTAATCGATAAATTCCCCCATTTATTGTGGAGCAGAAGAGTCCTATGGACTTTATTGGATATAACGCAAGTATTATCTTACTCGTTACAAATAGATGCCAATCAAGAGACACCCACTTTGAGGATACCTTCTACTCCTTACGCTATACAGCTGATGGATACACTCGAAGCTAGAGAGGTAAAGTTTCCTTAAAACCTCTTGTACCTCTTATATTATTGAACTGTTTTAGACAATAGTAAAAGACTTCGCCGCAAACGCCGAACGTATCATCAAGGAAGCCCTGAAGTGGGCGCCGCAGTGGACGAGGTCCCACATACAAGAGTACATCAATCAAATACCCATAAGCGGCATGTGGAATCACACGGGGCTCTCTATGGCGTTGGAGTCCGTGATGCAATGGGGCCCGGCCAATCAATTCAGCGCTTATTTGAGCCACACAATGATGGAGAAGTTTCCGAAGTGCGTCAAAAGCGATTCCTCCAAGATGCTCTCGATATCCGCCATGCGGTCGAAGTACACCGGAGAGGTAAGTAAATCAAACGAAAGCTTAATATTTATTAATCGTGCATACATTTTCGTCTCTAATTTAATTGATTGTGGTTTGCAAAGAGTCATCGTTCGATCCTACGTCTTTGTCGTTCCAGCCGGTGTAAATGAACGTGCCGAAGGATCTTTTGTTCGAGTTTAAATGAAACGTTTTACGTTGATGTAGGTCGGCTTGTTTGTGCTTCAAGCAGAACGTTTTGTTGCAAAAGGGACACAGAACGGTCATTGTTTGGGTTTCGTTGCAGCGTAATTTATCGATGTAATCCTTCCTTTTGTGTAATACTGTGGTCCCAGTTATTTTCTCCGACGGGCGAATTGTTTTGGTCGTTTTAGGCGTGCAGTGTTGAGAAGAATCGTTCAAAGGGTTCGTACCCGATGGGCATATCGTGTAGAGTCTCTTGGAGTTTGGTTTTTTCAGTTTATTTGCGGACATCAAGCAATCGTGTTCTTCTACTTGGTAGTGATCTCTGCAGAATTCTAAATTGCAGAAGTTGCATTTCAAAGGCTTGAAATTGGCTCGGTTGCACGTTAGTTTGGCGCATTGCTTTCCTAATGTAATAAATTCCATTAGGTTGATTCTAATTTAATATGTAAAAGGTTACATGGAATTTTTATCATTTTTTTTAAATATTTTAAATGGACATGAAATGTGTCAAAAATTATAGGGAGCTGTTTAAAAACTAGGAGGAGCATTTTGAAAAGCCAGATTCACACGCAAAAAGTTACTAGAAAATTTGCAAGGCTGCAAATTTAAATACACATCTTTTAATTAAATAAAATTGAATGTCGACTCACAATAATTATATTAAAGAACGAATGAATTATCAAATCACCTAAATACGACATATTAAATACCACACATTTCTAAAATATATCATCAAAAAGGTGGTAAACAAGAATAATAAAATTTTACAGCGTGAACTTGACTAGTAATTAACCAATGAACAAACGCGAGTGTTGCCAACTTAAATTCAAATCGCTCCTCCAGCCTCCTAGTTTTTAAATAGAGTATAGTTGGAAATATTTTTTAATACTAATTCTAATGTTGTTTAAGGTTATTGGTATGCAATACGATTCAACCAAAGAACAATCCACTTTAGTTAAAGAGGTTTTAAATAAAGTTAAGACGGCATGTACCGAAAGAAGCAACGCTTTGCACAGAGATGCCCTATGGCAAGCGACAGCTTTGTTAATATCGATCAGGGAATTGAACAGAAGCCTTTTGCATTGCATCGCTTGGTCTCAGGTGAGCTAAATTCACATAAATAAGAATTAAAGTCACTAATATACATTTTTTTTAGGTGGAATTATTTACCGTGGAAGCGATGAGATCCGCAGTGGACTGTTGGCAATGGCTGATAACCGCTAGACCGGAACTGGAAATCAGATTCCTGCAAGAAATGGTGGCCGCTTGGAAATGTACAGTGCAAAAAAAGTTGGGATTATTCTCGAATACCAGACCGCAATGCAATCCGTTAGCCGCGTACGAAGGTTTGTTTGTTAATTTTTTTGTACTACAAAAATATTAACTTCTTGGACAGGTTGCAGGCTAGAGCCGGATCCGCCGTTTGTGAAACCCCACGCCATTTGGGTGCACTTCATTTGCGATTTAGTCGAAACGATCAAATACAGCAGTTACGAGAAAGTCGAAATGATCGGCAGCTTGATTCATCATTCTCTAGCCATGAACGTCGGATCGGATCCGGCGTCGCAAACTCGAGACATATCCGCCATCGGCGTAAGATTTAAGTAAGTTCTTTCATTAAATCACGGCTCTATATTTCTATGGTCTGGAAACTTCCTATGCTTATGCATTAGAGAATGTGTCCCGTTATTTGAAGACTTTTTGAGCTTCACTTTTGCGCCGCAAGGTGGCGAACGATCGGAGGACCAACTTATCTCAGCCAATCAGCGTCGCGCTACATATAAATCGCGGTTGTGTGAAATGACAGTTCAAGCTGTCAAAACTTCAAAAATTATTTTTTGACATTTCGAGGAGAAAATGGAGAAGTACATTAACCGAAGATACGTGAGGCATGATGTTAACAACAAAATCATCGCTGATTTAAGTATATTTTGTATCTATTTTTAGTTTCAATTAAACATTTCTTAATGCTAATTCTATATAATTCGTAACTTCGTAATTTCGTTAAACCGCAGTCCTTTTTAGGAACCCTGTTTTATCCTCAAATAACGGGATACTTTTTCGACCTGCTTCCAGACCTTATAAATATAGAGCCATTAAAGCCATTAGAGCCTATTAAATAAACATTCATAACTAATTTCGACCCTCCTCAGGTTGCTTTCGTGCGGTCTGTCGCTTCTGCAGGGGGACATCTTGCCGAAGAGTTTGGGCAAGAACGTTCTCAGAGAACGAATTTACTGTAGTTGTTTAGATTATTTTTGTAAACCCGTCACGTGCCCTTCGCAAAACTCCGCCGACCTTCGAGAAGACATATCAACGCTGATCAAATTTTGGCAGACCCTGCATTCCGACAAGAAATACCTCAAGGCTAGTGACGTCGGAGGTAAATAGAATTTTTAATTTATACAGTAGGAATTTATCAAATTTCTATTGCAGAAGTGGACTTTACGGCGCCGTCGCCGGTGAGTTCTTTACCGAACAACGAACTGTCCAGGTCCAACGATTTCAGCAAATCCGCTTCGGGATGGATCAATACGGTACCGCTATCGAACAGCAGCGCTACTTTGAGCAGGCGGTCTACCAAGTCCACCAAGAGGCTACCTATCGCGGATAATTTCGTTAAATGCTACTTGAAAAAACGGAATCTCATACTCGAATTATTGGTAAGTGTTCATTCTAATGTCTATTGTATCTTTCATATTGACATAAAATCGTTTCAGGCTGTGGAAATAGAATTCCTAGTAGTTTGGTACAATCCCACGCTTAGACCGGAATTGCAAATGCCTGGCGAGGAAAACGTGGCGTTTTGGAGAACTAAAACGATATCCGATAAACAATGGCATGATTATACGAGGTTAGCTTGGGATATATCACCGGTTTTAGCCGTGTACCTTCCAACTAGGTTAGTGCTTATATTTTTTCTAAATCGAATTAGTTCTATATTACCTTCTTTTTGTAGATTTAGAATGAACGATGCGATAATTCACGAAATAAAAAACTTAGTGCAAATGAATCCCAATTCGGTATCCAAGACTCCGGAGTCGTTGCAGTATTTGGCAACAACGGAAGCGATATTGAGCGATAGCCCGAAATTGGTGAACATGTTGACCTGGGCTAGAGTAACACCTATACAAGTAAATACATCAAATACATGCAATTATAGTTATTTAATGGAAATAATTGTTTTAGGCATTGGCGTATTTCAGTAGGCAATTTCCTTCGCATCCCACATCGGCCCAATACGCCGTTAGAGTGTTGAGTTCCTATCCGGCCGAAACGGTATTATTCTACATTCCGCAACTCGTGCAAGCCCTGAGACACGATAAGGTTGTCAAACCGCGCTCGCTACACTTTCCTCCGTATTACTTTTATATTTTTTAGATGGGCTACGTAAACGAGTTTATAAGGTACATGGCGAAGAAATCCCAAATCGTCGCGCACCAGCTGATATGGAACATGAAAACGAACATGTTCCTCGACGAGGATATGCAGCAGAAAGATCGTGAGTTTAGTATGAATGTTTGCGCTCGAAAAATTTCACGTTTGTTACAAATTCCAGCCGCTATTTACGAGAATTTGGAATCCCTAGTGACCAGCATCGTAAGCGATTTGTCGGGTCCGGCGAAGCAATTCTTCGAAAGAGAATTCGACTTCTTCGGAAAGATTACGAACATATCCGGGGAAATCAGACCGTTCCCCAAAGGCATCGAGAGGAAGAAGGCTTGCTTGGATGCTTTGAGTAAAATAAAGGTTTACCTATTCTACAAGCATATTATCTCACGTTTTAAATTTCTCTTGTATTGTTTAAGGTTCAATCCGGATGCTACTTGCCGAGTAACCCCGAAGCCATGGTGCTAGATATAGATTATAAAAGCGGCACGCCGATGCAGAGCGCAGCCAAAGCGCCATATTTGGCTAAATTTAGGGTAGCCAAATGCGGCATAAACGAATTGGAAAACATTGCCATGGCGGTATCGGCGAACGAGGTAATTAACCGAAAATCACATTTAACATGTAAATACATTTTTATTGTTAATAGGTGAAGGAAAACCAAAGTTTCGGTCCCGAAATATGGCAGGCGGCCATTTTTAAAGTAGGCGATGACGTGAGACAAGACATGCTGGCTCTACAAGTTATAGGCATATTCAAAAATATCTTCCAAACGGTCGGATTGGAATTGTATTTGTTCCCGTACAGAGTTGTAGCCACCGCTCCGGGGGTGAGAATAAAAACGATTATTTCACCATTAAATTTTACTAGAAAGCAAAAATTTTCAGTGCGGCGTTATCGAATGCGTCCCGAACGCTAAATCTAGAGATCAGCTAGGCAGACAGACCGACATAGGGATGTACGAGTACTTCTTGAAGAAATACGGCGACGAGAGTACAAGGGAATTCCAAAACGCTAGAAGAAACTTCATTATTTCGATGGCCGCGTACAGCGTCATCGGATTTCTCTTGCAAATCAAAGACAGACACAACGGAAATATCATGTTAGACACAGACGGGCACATTATCCATATCGGTGAGTGATAAATTGTAATAATGCATTTTTGGTGTTCACGTATCGTTCGCAGATTTTGGATTTATGTTCGAATCGTCGCCCGGGGGCAATTTGGGCTTCGAACCCGATATTAAATTAACCGACGAGATGGTGATGATAATGGGTGGGAAAATGGAAGCGCCGCCGTTTAAGTGGTTTTCGGAATTGTGCGTTCAGGCCTACCTTGCAGTGAGGTAATATTTCGAAAACTCGTTCAATTATGATTATAATAAATGTATGTTTTTTTAGGCCGAACTGCGAAGCCATCATATCTCTTGTGTCTCTAATGCTGGACACGGGACTGCCGTGTTTCCGCGGTCAAACTATAAAGCTCCTGCGTAGTCGGTTCAGTCAGGGAGCGACGGACAAGGAGGCGGCGAATTATATGCTTCAGATTATTAGAAATAGTTTCCTTAATTTCAGAACGCGTACTTACGATATGATACAGTATTATCAAAACCAAATACCTTATTAGAATACTTGTAGTTTAGGCATTTAGCGCACGGGATGAATGGCAAAAATATCTTTCAGGGAAATCATTGATGTTTAACTGTACACATCAAATTTATGCGAGTTGGGTCTTTTAGAATACATATATCGATTTCTTTTTGGTAACTGCCCGTTTAAATTGAACGTTCCTCTAAGTCTTAAACAGTTTATTGAACCTACAAAAGTGTCAAATTGGATTTTTTCTAGGATTTATGAAGTTGCGAAAAATGTGGCCCAACCCCATTTTTTTGAAAAATATATTATTAAATCTACACATATTTTTCGAACTTTTAAAAATACTATAGTCATATATTTTTTCGGAATAAACTGGTATTGGCTTTACAAATTAATAATTGTAGCAATATAGATGTAGCTCTAACCAGTGTAATGAAATGAATCACTACGAATAGCAATAATGGAAGAACAATTAATTATTCGCTGGTAATTTTTGTTCATTGAAATCTGAAACTTGTAATTTTTTTATTTATTTTATTGTTTGCTTTTAACTTTATTGATAAATTGCGTTATATTAATAAATTAAATCAAAGTAATTCGCTTCTTGCCCAGAAATGACTCATTTCATTATTTCTTTGATGGATTCTAGGTGTCTTTCATAGATAATTAAATGTAACTGAGGGTTTCAAAGTAATTCTAATTTAAGATATACTTGATAACATAATTGGAGATTATTGAATGTTAAACAATTAGAATATGAGACAAAAACTGATTGATGTTATTATTATTATTAAGTTTCAAAGGTTTCAATTTTATTTATTTACTTTTGTGATTGTTTGGTGTAAATAAATGTTATTTAAAATTTATTCTTTAATTTTTCATTTTTACGCAGATGCATTATCCATTCTATAAACTTTCTTTAAAAATCATGTCGTATTACTACAGCCTTTATTTTATAAATAAACGAATTATTAGAACCCTTGTATCTCCATAAATGATACTAAAATACAGGTTTATTAATGCTTACCAACGATCTAGGAATTTACGAGAACAGCGACTTTTTCATTGTTAAAAATTTCAATCCAATAACCATCAGGATCAGTGATGAAAGCCAAGCCTTTCATTTTCCCATCGTCGGGTTTTTTCACAAAATTAACGCCTAATTTTTCAAATCTTTCACAAGCCTTATAAACATCTGGAACCATAACACCGATGTGCCCTACAAGTAATCAAAATACTACAAATGTAATTCAATAATTAAAAATAATTATTTATTCCTTACCGAAACCTTTGGGTTCTTGATTTCCATTGTGGGGTTTATAGTTAGGATCATTTTCAGTTCCCCAATTACTAAAAACACATAAATGTGCTGTATTGAATATGAAATATCCCAAAGTGAATTTCATCTTTAAATTGAATATTTAAATAAACTCACTGAGTTAATTCAATTGTAGCTTTTCTACTGAAAGTCCACGAAACTCTATCTTTGCTGCTTAAACCTTCAGGTATATTGTCAGAGTCCTCGTAGCCCAAAAAGTATAACGAAAATTTCATCGAGGGGAAATCTAGTTTCGTTAAAAGTTGCATTCCAAGAATTTCGGTGTAGAATGGTATGGATATTTTGGGGTCCTTTATTCGGTACATCGTTTGTTGCATTATAAAATCCTATTAATCCAGATGAAAAGATAATAAGTTTCATATTTTATTTTATGCAAAGGCTTACCTTTGTTTCAGGAGATTTTGGCTTGCAAATGTTCAAAATTTCATCGTTTGATATCGGAGGCGCAGCGGTGTCTCCCATTTTTCTCTATTAAATGAAAGCAAATAATCAAAATCAAAATGTTGTAAAATTTGTTTTTTTACTAAATAATTTACATAACCTCATTCTTCTTTTAATTGAGAGGCCTTTTACAAATAGTTGCAAACGGTATTTTTAATTGACTACCAATTTTTTTCTTGATGCAAGTTAAAAAATTAAAAATATAAAGCCTTCACAAGATTTGATTACGGGATTAAGTGAAAACTTATTCATTAATTTATATTATTATCAATTCCACTGTACAAAGATATGAAACTTCCATATTTCTATAAACTTAGATATTTTTTTTTTCAATAAAAAATGATAATATTGTTAAAACCACTAAATAGAATGTGGTAATCAAAACATTGATAGTATGACGTGCTGGTTTTCTAACTGATAACTATGTACTTCGTAAAGTAATATATAGAGGAAAGAAATTATCTGATGCGAAAATATTCGTTATAGTAAAAAATATATCAAATAGATAAAAGATATAAATTTAAAACGATTGCGCATTACGTATAGGTAAATTCAAAAAGTCTATTAAATATTGAAAGACCCTGTATATAATAACGAAATCTCCAAGCATTGTTAAAAAAAGCATATTTACCATAAACCGGTTACAGGCTTATGGGAATTTAATTAGGAAAATCCATCTGCGTTTCTTCCATAAGCAAATATGTACACTTTTTTGAGATTCGCACAAACTATGATGTCACTCAAATTATAAGAAAATTTTAGCAAAACAAAATTTCTCGAAACGGGCCATTCACAGAGATATTTAACTTGATATATTTGTTCTTAATTTGTAATTAATGTAAACATATTAAATATTTTCTCAATGACTTGAATTTACCAAATACTGATATAATTACACAAATATCGTTAAGCGATTACTTTCAAAAGATAACAGTTTTTAAATGGTTCATATATCAACTATAACACTTCTATGTTGATCTTGTTGAGGTGTAGATCGTAAATTTGCTTTTTTTGTCTCTCTAAAAGATCGGTGATCTTCAAATGAATTCGAGCGTTTGATAATGAAGGTTCTTCTACATGTTGTGTTTCTAACGGCACACGTTTATTATTTAGTTAATTGTGGTAAGTAATATTTGATTATTTATGGCTCAAAAATGTCCTTCGCTTATACAAATCGTGTCCAATGACGTATATAACTTGATATTTAAATTAATCCGAGCACATTCAAATTTCATTCATGTTGTTTTACACGTTTTATGCAAGTCAATTAATCAATAAATAATGTATAGAAAAATTTTTAACTTTTAAATTCCTACAATAAATAATTGTTTAACGCGATGATAAATTTCTTTACCAGTTCTCACATGAATTCAATTCAAGTACTGTTGAATTAGTTTCATTTAGAGTGTAGTTGAACAATTTTTTACCAGTTAAATTCACCTTGATCGTTTAAAAATCAATTAGAAATTTAAACGATACACAACCTCAATGAATTTGATTAAAGTACGAGTAAAATTAATTCAAGGCTGTCTCATATGGTATAGCCTTTGATGGAGTTCAACTTCATTTTTACGATGCCTTAATAGGTGGATTATTTATTAAGTTTCACTATCAATTTGCCAAATTTATAGTTCTTGAGCCTTCATAAGGACAGGCCTCTTCAATAATCTTATTTTTCAATTACCATTTAGTTAAAATTATCGAGCAAGTTGCAATAAATAAAAATAAGACGTAATTGAATTAAATTGATAATTTTTAGAAGCTGGAACGTACCGCTTATCGCCGACGGAGGCCGTCCCGACGCAATATTCGATAACAATCCGACCGGATTTCGAAAACAGCGTTTTTTCCGGAGAAGTCTCCATACAAGTCACCACTAAAGGGGAATTGCAATGCATCGTTTTGCACAGTTCCAATTTAACGATCGAAGAAGTGAAAATTAACGGAAAAAACGCCACTTACGAGCTGCAATTATTTGATAAAATCGGCGTTTCTTTCGCAACGAACGAGACCATTCAAGCCGGCGATCAATTGGTTCATATTAAGTACAAGGGGGTGATAGGGAGGGAGCTGGGATTCATTAGAGCCTCGTTTGAAAACGACGACGAGATTGTGTAAGTGTTGAAAATCTAATTAAAAATTGCCCTAATCTAGAATATTTTATACATATTAAATACTTATACTTTCTTTCGTCTTGGAAATTCCCAAGTACGTTCACCACTTGATGAATAACCACAATACACGTAGTGAATGTATAATAAAATGAATGAAATTATAGATAAATAATTATTTAAATGGAATAGTTCAAATACCACAAAATGTCACCACCCGGTAATTTTTTATTTGCCAATTTGATAGCTCTAACAATGAAGTTTGTCAGATATAAGTCACATTCTAAAATGTGAAACCAAAGAAAATTATTCATGTTCCCCATTTGGAAAATTTTCTCTTTGATCCTCTTCATTTTTATGATGACAAATCGATCGAGAAATGATCAGATCATGGGGTTGGAATAGATGATTTAATAGGAGAGATTTGAGAGTTTGAATTGTGATTTTGCCAAAAACTAGCCTGGAATTCGAAAAGAATATTTACGTGTAAATGTTTCCTTACTGATAGTAATGTACGGTTAATAAAGATTGATCATTTGTAGAATATTCTATTCGTTGCATTCAAAAAAATATCTGATAATGTTGCTAATCTTAGGTATTTTTGTGAATATAGTGCATATTACTCATAACGTAAATGGAACTTCTCAATTATTTGCACATACAGTACACAGGAATTTCAAATCTTATTTATCTTTGTATCATTCTGATTGGACTTTTTACAGAAAAATTTACGTTACGGAATTGGAGCCCGATTATGCCAGAACAGTATTTCCTTGCTTTGACGAGCCCATTTTCAAAGCTTTGTTTAATTTGAGGCTGATCTCCCCCAATGAAACCTACAAAGCAATTTCAAACATGCAAGAAGCGGTAAGCAGGCGATCGATTGAAACCCGAACGAAACGAATAAAAAAATGTTTTTAGAATAAAATTAAAACGGCCGAAGGGACTGTCGTGTACGTTTTCGAACAATCTCCGAAAATGTCCACGTACTTGCTATCGTTCGCATTCACCAATCCGAGCTACACCTATTACGAAAATTTCATGGATATTGAAGGAAATCAGATCCCTATTAGAATACATACAGTTAATGCGAGCGCGGAAAAGAACCAATTCGCGTTCAAGTGCGCCGAAACAGCTTTGCAGTTCTATTCAACATATACCGATGAAAAATATCCTTTAACAAAATTGGGTGAGAACCAACCAGATAACAATCTATATCAGAACAATTAAATTTTAATGTGTCGCAGATATGGTGGAATATAAAAGAAATTTAACAGCGGCCACCGAAAATTGGGGGCTCATAACGTTCAGGGAAGGTCTGCTCACCCCTTCGCTACGCATATACAACAAATACCAGGTTAAACTAGTAATGTTTCACGAGTTGGGACATTTCTGGTTCGGGAATTTAGGTAAACGATTATTTCAATAACGAATCAAGTAGAAAATGCATAAATATGTTCCAGTTACTAATAAATGGTGGAGCGATCTTTGGCTACAAGAAGGGTTCGCTACTTACATGAGCTACAAATTACTAGCGATAGACAGCAAAGGAAAAAAGGACGTGGTAAGTAAAATTACTAAGATAATTAAGCAGAAAAGAAATCAAATGCAATATACAGGTAAATGAAATGAGAACGTTTGGATTCAACGACTACTTCGAATTGGATCTGACAAGTAACAAACCGGCTATAGTGTCTTATTTACCCACGCAAAGCAGCATCGATGATGTTTTCAACGAATTGGTTTATTACAAGGTAAGAAGCTAATTTATTTCTAAATTCAGATAAAAATTTACAACTGCAGAGCGCCGGTATGCTCTACATGCTGGAAGATTTCATCGGAGAGGACACATTTCAACAAATCGTACAAAAGTTTATGAAAAAATACCGTTTTTCCACCGCCTCTACGAACGATTTTATACTGACTGCAGAAGAGGTGGTTAAAAGCGAGCCGTTGAGAGCTTTTCTGAAAAGTTATTTGTATCAAAAGAAGTTTCCCGTTATAAATGTGGATGTATTGGACAATGGGACCTACGTATTGAATCAAGAACCTGCCTTGACTTTAAGCAACACAGAGAAATCGGAAGGATTAGGGTAAGTCAGCACCAATGTATAAGAAAACCGATTAAAAATCTACTTAAAAAAATTATAATAGTAACGAAACTAAATGGTTTTAGACAAAAATGGGTAATTCCAGTGAGTTATATAACCGACTCCGGAAATATCTCAAGGTTTTGGTTCGACGAAGAGGAAAACCCAGGTAAGGAAATGCATCACAAGGTCGATGCATTATTTGAAACAATACAAAAGCAATGTTGTTGATAATTACTATTTTAAATAAATTTGAACGTTTTTTACAGCCATAAGAGAATTTCCAGAAGCCAAATGGATCGTCCTCAACCCGACCGGAATGGCAGTTTACAGAGTAGCTTATTCGAAAAAACTGTGGGACCAGATAATAGAAAATTTCGAGGTATCTAAGCGATAATGTCGAATTCTAATCGATACAGTTACGTTTCCTTTTTCAGGAAATCCCAGTCGCATCGACAGAATCCATTATTCTGGACCTTTACTATTCGTTCCGGATAAACAAAGTGGGCTGCGATACCGTGATAAACTTAATGAATCGAGTAAAGAGAGATTGCAGAAATAAATGGGTGTACTTCCACACGGTAATCGAGCACATTAAAGAAGGTTTAATATGCATGGATCATAAACAGGAGGCTAGCCTATTTTGGGTAATAAATAATTAATTTTGAATCAATCTATACAAGATAATTAAATTAGTAGATGTGTTAAACATTGATGAATTAGGAAAATGTAGGTGCGATTTCTTTTTAGAATTTTTTCGTCAAGCGCTTGGAGGAAACCGAATATGGAAGACATCCTTTAAATATCGATGCTGAATGTGATAATGGTAAGTTATTTTAAAGATTTAAACAATATTTAGGGATATTCGTAAACTAATTTCGTTATCGTTTTTTCAGAATACATTTTAACAGGGATCGAGTATAAACAACATTTTGAAAAATGCGCGGCGTGGATTACAGAAAACCTAACTGAAAAGGAATCTAACGCGATTCCAGCTTAACGTTAATGTTATAGGCCCAATTTAATTAATTATAGATATTATTTATGTATCAAATTTTCCCAAAACCACTTGCTTTCATGACAAATTTTGCGTATTTCGTTCCTTCTTTGTGCTTATAATGAAAATACGCCTAACTCCTACAAAAGATCTGAAACTCAAAACTAGTGTATTTGTTTAGTAAGATAATAAAAATTAATAAAAACTTACCTTATGTTATTTTCTTCACTCGTTGAATATTTTTGGGGTTAAAAGAAAACGATTTACATACTAAATATATATTACTCTTTCCTTACACGAAATTAAACATACCTATTAATAAAAAAATGAAGCCTCCAAACTCCTTCTTCCAAACACTAACGCAGAGGCTGAAATTAAAATATATCCATATTGTTTAGTAAAAGTGATTCAAAGGAAATTCACGGAAAGCGCCAATCTTTTTCTAATCGAAGATGTTCAAGAAATTACTTATTGTTAGGGAAAAACGATAACATTTCGTTTGATTAATATTAATAAGTAAATTTCTTTACATTTGTTTATAGAAAAAAATTGGCTGTTTGGAACGATACCACTTTGTTTTATACAATACTTATCCAACAAAAGCCAGATCATGACCAATTCAAGGCAGCTTTGCTTAGACTGAAATCAAATCGATTTTAAATACAACTGAATATTCGTCAATTTAGGAAAAAATCTTCTGAAGTACTTCAATTATGAAATTTATAAAACACAATTTAGTGTTATATACTAAAATTTCTTTAATAAAAAATATGCCAAATATTTCATTCGCTTCTAAATTCAGCATATTTTTAGCTTTCGCCAATAAAATTTCGAGTACGAAAAGCACTTCAGAAGCTAAATGTGCGTACATTTAATCCCACCTTTTCATATAGACGAGAAGGTGCAATTCAAACTTCAACCCTTCTGCGCCTCATCTTTGGACCGACTCCAACACCATTTAAGTCCTGAAATTTAAAAAAACTTATCCAGCAACAACTCAACAATAATAAAATCGTAAGGAAAGAGCTCAACAAAGTCTATCTACAAATATAAATGGCCAATTAACAAAAAAAAAGTAATGCCTTCTAAAGTGGTTATCAATTAAAACAATCATACAAAGTGAGTAAAAAAAATAATTGAAATAATCTTCCGATTAAAGTTCACTTTAAAGGAAGCATTACTCTCTGTTAAAATTACACCCAAACTTAAGCTAAAGAAACCGTAAAGATACAGACATTTTTATGTGTCACAAATTTAAAGTTGTTTCCGTGATTCTTGGGCGTTCTCGTTGCAGTTCATACAAAATTCCAAAGAAACATTGTGCTTGGAGACGTGCAAACAAACACCAACATCATCTTCTTCTTCGTTACTTGCACTGGTGTAATTGTGGTCCTTCAAGCTGGACATATCCGGGGTTAACATTACATTACTGATGTCATCGGGAAATAGAGACGGGAAATTCGAAATGTCTTCGTATAAATTTAGATTGAAATCTAAATCGTTCCCGAGCAAACAATCGGGTGTAGTAATAAAATCTGATTCAGACGGAGTTAAAGTGTTCTTGGGAACAGAAATATTTGTCAATCTCAAATTCGAATCCAAGGATGATGTTACCGACATACCTGCACAACTATGAATGTTCCTAATCAGATTTTTAATATCACCACTGTTAGATATAACGCTTTTTAAATATTTGACCTCCTTTTTTAAATCGGCTACGAATAATGATTGATTTTTAACGACAGTTGCTAACTTTTTGTTATCACTTTTCAACGAAGACACCTCCTGTTCGAGTTTTCTTACGTACATTTTCTTTTTTAAACGGTTTTCTCTCGCCAACAAGGCGTTTTTCGACAAGCACCTCGGCTTTCTGCTGCGCCTTTCGTGCAAATTAGCGTCCTGAAAATTAGGTTCGTACAGATAATCGTTATTTTTAGACGACGTACCGTTTCTCACTTCTGCGAAATACTGTTGATCGGACGACTCGTCTTCGGAGGATGTTAAATTTTCCGAAACGTACCTCATACGTTTAATATTGGACACCATCTTGTTTCAGTAGTTTGGAAGCCGTCTAAATTCTGCCAGGTAACTAGATTTTGAACTTGTTTTCGTCTCGAACAACTAGAGCACCACAAGAATTTACACTAATTTAGTTGTTAGATCAATTTTTAATTTTGTAGAGGAATATTATCAAAATTTTGAATTAAAAAATCGTAAAACTTTTATCGTTCAATACAATAAAAATCACAAATCTCAAATTGTCACGTCATATGTCAATTTCCGTCCCTGAAATTAGGTATTATCTTCTTCTTCGTTATGAAGCCTCAGCTGCTTGGACTATTCGTCCTAAGAATTTATGCATTTGTCGATGTTCTGACAGGTGACAGTATATATAAATTTCAAACCATAACCTCCATTTGTATAATTGCAATAAAAGAATTTAATTAAATAATTATTTTTCTGTAGTTTGTTAGTTAATGTTTATATTCATTTGCTATTTTATTCATAGTGTTATGATTGTTTAAGACAATTAGATGAACAATAGTGCTCAGTTATTCACATTAAAATGGTTTCTGAAAATTACCTTAAGAAAGTAAATTTATCAGCGGACGTGTATTCTGTTTGCATTCAGCATGCTTTGACAACTGAAAAACAAGAAATAATGGGGCTCTTGATAGGCGAGGTAAGATTGATGTATACATAAAGTTTTCATTGTATTGCAATACGGATTTGTAGGTAAACGAAGAAGAGAGGGTTTCCAACATTTCTGCTTGCGTTATCTTGCACAGAAGTGATAAGCAGCCCGACAGGGTGGAAATTTCACCTGAACAGTTGTGTACAGCATCCATGCACGCAGATCAACTGACCAAAAAACTGTGCAAGCCTATGAGAGTATTGGGGTGGTATCATTCACATCCGCATATAACAGTTTGGCCCAGTCATGTTGGTAAGACTTCTTCAATGTTTTTAATTAAAATTTTATTAACATGTTTAATTTGTTAGATATAAGAACACAAGCTATGTACCAGACTATGGACCCGATGTTTGTGGGTTTGATATTTTCCGTCTTCCAAAGCGATACAAATAATAGCAAAAACCAGATTCAAGTTACTTGCTTTCAAGCACATGACAAGGGTTCCGATTTTGAAAGGAAAGAAATTGACTTATCGATAATACCATCACCTTTTCAAAAATATAATCTAGAAGGTATGGTTATCATTCATACTTATCCTACGAGTCAAAAATGTTAACGTGATTTTTATATTTTAGAAATTGCAAAATTTTCGAAAATTCTGAGTCAAGAAGAGGTCGAATGTGGCGATTCAAAAGTGAATGATATTCATGATGAATTATGTACCTTACATAATGATGCATTTAAAACATTAACTTTAGTTCACATAGTTTCTAAAGTAACGAGGCCTCTTTGCGAGAGCTTAGAAGAGAGGAAACAAATTATTTACCTATTAACAAAAGAACTGGAACATATTAAATTGGAGTTAGGTGGTGATTAAATTTTTGCAAAATAAAAGTGCACTGTATAAAAAACTCGCAATGTTTAATACAATCTACATAAAAATACATTATGTTACAAAAAAAAATAGCCACAGGATTTTACAACTGAAGGCACCTCTACCATGGCATAAATTATTTTAAAAATATAAGAGACATTTCAAACAAAAAGTCTAAAATTAATTTAATTGTCGTTTCGATGTGATAACAGAAGTTCAAGTTAACCTATTTGCTTTGTTAATATTTGTCATAATATTAATAAAGTACCAATGTTCTGTTCTGAATGGAGTTTTTATCTACAAGTACCAATTATTTATTTTTACATTATTGAACTATTTAAAAGATTAAAATAAGTGTATAACGCTAAAATTAAATTATAAAAAACTAAATTGGATACAGATTATTATATTTATATGAAAGGTCTCCTAAAACCTTAACGATGGATTTTGAAAAATCGATGTGATCTAAGCATTATTTCCATTGAAAATTGAAATTAAATTTGACATCAAAATTTGCTTATTTTTAGAAAATTATTTTCATAATTTAGCATTTTAGACTTTTTACCTAAAATTAAAATGATTAAAAATTTTTCCACAGTGGAATGACAGTTTCCACAGTGGAACAATAGTTTGAAAATCGAATACAAACAGAAAACGAATTCCTTTAGTGAATAATCAATGCAAAGACTAAACAGATGTACATAAAGATAAATAAGGTTTTCATGTGTATAAAATAAATACAATAACAAAATGAAAAATTTTTGCTTTGCATAAATTAATCAATTATGACTTCTCTATTGAAACTAACGTAATTAAATAAAGATATATTTTACGGAACTCAATTAAAATTGAAAAAACCATGACAATTACACTGATGCTTAATCTAAATACAAAACTTGAATGAGCCAATATTGCTGAAAATTTTTCACCTATTAAACAAATGTAATGTAGTTTACATAAAATGTAATAAATTATTGATTAGCGTTTAAAAAATATTCATCCAATTATCTCTAATCGTTTCCATTTTCATGAATACATTAAAATTAAACAGGTTTAGGTTCTTCCATACTTGCCGAGTTATCTTCAGTCTTTGCCCTTCTTACATTTACTTCACAGCTCCCTATTGCTTCTGATGACGCAGATCTTTTTAAAATATTTGTTTTGAACCGGACTATTATGGCGGTCATGTTATCACAACCCGTACCATCGCCCAAGGTATCCGGAGCTAAACAGTGATCAAACATCTGAAAGAATTTATTACAATTAGAGAAGGCGAATATTGTATTTATGAGGAACAAATGTTCATTACTCACTTCCTCGCATATGGTCGACAATTTGGCATTTTCTTCTATCCTCGGTCGAACGAAATCAACAACTTCTTGACTAGACATGAAGTTCCAAATACCATCACAAGCTAACACTAAAAATTCATCTTCTGCCGGGTTAATCGTAAGAGTTTTGATGTCTGGCAAGGCAGTTATCATTTGTTCTCTAAAAATATACATTTAATATCAAATTTACACAAAATATAAAGATATATTACCTATCAGAGAGATCTTTATTTTGTTTGTAAGCATGATCTCCGATGGCCCTCGATAGGTTAAGTCCCCCGTTAACTCGCCCTTCATACGTTACTTTACCACCTGCCTTCACTATTCTTTCTCTCTCCAACTCATCTTCGGGCTTATGATCAATACTCATGTCAATCGCTTTGCCTGATAAATAAAATAAGTACAATAAATTTTCAATTTAAAATAAAAATTTGATTATTACCCTTCCTGCATACTATACACCTAGAGTCGCCCGCATTGGCCACATACAATTCATTTCCTTTCAGTAAAGCAACCACAGCAGTGCATCCGCTATTAGATCCAGGTTGTTCTTTCATATTTCTGGCAAATTCCAAATCATCTTCGTCGTCTTCCTCTTCCTCTATATCTTCTTCTTCTTCTCCAGATGAAGCATCATCATCGGAATCCTGCACTTCGATGGCTTGGTTAACGCCTTCATCGTCATCATCGGATGAATCCTCTAAAAAAAAATACGATAGCTTTACAAAAGGCTACTTAAATTGTCTATCTCAATTAATTAAAATATGGACTTTTGTCGTATTTTTTCCATCGGCATCAATGCTTAGTGACCAACAAAAACGGGTTAATGGATAAGTATTATTTACCATTTGGACCTTCGAAAGTTTTGTCATCTTCATCTTCACTTTCTTCCTCGCTATCTTCGTTATTTAATAAATTTTGGTATAATTGAATTGCATTTCTTTTAGGTCTTGTTTTAATAGATGCGACTGGTGCGATTTTCTTACCTGTATCGAAAACAATAACTAATAAACAACTTCGATACCGTCCGAACAATTACCTTTTCCTTTCTTGCTTACGTCGCCGTTTTCCTGGGGAGTACTAGACTGTACCTCCGTTGTACTGGATGTTACTGTGATTTCTCCATTAAGCGGTACTCCTTCGGCCTTTTCGGAACTTATGACCGTTTCGTCTTTCACTACGGCTTTCTCTACTTCTTTTGAAACCTCCGAAACAACTCCATCGGCTTCCGATTCTGATGTCTTTGATAATTCTTAAAATTGTTAGATTTAATAAACTAAGGCCAAATGAAATATGTTTCTAACCAACCTGCAGTCTCTTTACGGGGTGTTGCAGCTTCTTCTGAACTACTCGACGGTGTACATTCTGAACTTACTTGGGAATTAGACGGCCCCGAAGAAGAACACTCTCCGTTATCATTGGTTTTAGGTGATGCAGCCAACTTGCCATCTTCTTTTTTTAAATTCTTTAACGACGGATCGACAAAGTGTCTGTATTTTTCTATTACCTACAAAAAACGATGGAATTACAATTAGATATCGCAAGACCTCTTGGATCATCATACTTGCTCAATAGGCATAAACGCCTCTTTATATAAATTATCTACATTTTCTTCCTCGTCGCTTTCCTCCGAAGGTTTCTTTTCTCCTGCTATTTCTGTTAAAACGGCAATGACATCTTTTGTAGCTATCGTAGCATCGAAGCCGAGGAATCCATCGATCAATGCTTTTGATATATCACCGTCTTTGTACGCTTGACAATCTTTAATGAATTGGGGCAACTTGTCGGAGCAATACTTGGCGACTTCGTGGCCTCCGTGGCCGTCGTACACGGCAAAAAATGAAGTATTCGTGTCAAAGTCTAACAGACAGTTGTGAGCATCCTGCAAATAAAATTTTACTTTATAATTATATTCGATGTTATCGTTACTTTGTAAACTGTCAGTGTAAGGCCAAATAGTAGGAAATGCATGGATTTTTAATATAATTGTTTTATAGAACATAACTATGTTAATTTTCGAGACATTGAAAAAGGTTACACATTTTCTAGGAAAATTTAAACGTGTTGAATATAATTACAAATTCATTGTTGGTACAAGAGAATGCATTTAATAACAGATAAACTATCACTATCCGACGGTCAAAATCTCCTATTTTCGCACGTTTTCCTCAACAATAAAGCGAAAATTTAACGAATAATGAACCGAATTGAATGAAGCAAGTATCATACCTCTTGGGTTACACGCCAACCTTGCATAGAGCTGGCTCCGCAAAGCAACTTGTCGTTGGTTTCATCGGTAGACGTCTTTTCGGTAAGCGGCTCGGACAGCAGGGAACCCATTTTCGAAATGTGCTTCTTAAAATAATCAACCAAAGCCTAAAGATTCGAAATAATATACAGACCGGTAAGTTTACAGCTTATTAACTAGTATCCATGCTGCCGCTAATTTTTTTTGACGTTGACAGGTGACATTTGACGGCCTCCTCTAACGGGGTGGGAATGAAAATGGTACGTTCCGAAAATTCGAATTGTTAATTTCTTCTTTTTTAGTACTTCGACTATTTAGGTAATAATATGAATCTCAAAGTAGGTCTGGGATTTACTTTGATAGTTCATAAATATGCGGGATTGAAGAGAAATTCAAATTAAATAAAATTAGTTCAAGTTTATAACTAAAAAAATTGGAAAATACAGTACTTCAGCCATATAAACTATATAAAAACAAAAACCCGTTCCTTTCGTAAATTATACCGCTTATATTAGTTAACAAATAACATTTTTTTACTGGTATAACGATTAAAATGATTCTTTCAAAAACTCATAAGCATGAAACATAAACATGAAATCTGCATAATAAGACATTATTTAATAATTATACTAGTGACCTAAATTGTACAATTGCGTTAAAAATAAAACATTTATATAAAATATAGATATTTTTGTGAATCAATAGAAAAACACAACAAAGACAAATCACATAAATTTAAAAGTACAAATCGCCAACAAAATATATTAGTTTTATATTAATCTCATACCATTAGCACGTGTCTTTGGTATTTAATTTATCTAATTTTACTAAAAACCCAAAAATTCAAAATTATTTTCGAACGTTTCGACCGCTCCGTTCTTCAATCTCATTCAGTAATTTATAAGCGGGTAAATACCTAGTTTCCTGTTTTTCTGCATCATAATAAGTCAACGCTGGATTTCGAATAGTATTAGCAGAACTTCCCAATGAAGTGTATCCCAAATCGTAGAGCTTACAATAGGGGACTTTGTATAAGAGCAAATAATCCCAAATATCCGTATACCGCCAATCTAAAAGTGGGCTGATTCTCATGATCTGAGGCCAATCAGCATCGGTCATCTAAAAAAATACGAATTAGAACACTAAATTGTGCATTATGTAAATAATTTGAGTACCTGAAAGACGTTTAAATGCTGAGAATAAGGATCAGTCCTTCTGGTTCCCATAAGTACAGCTTTAAAATGCGGTTCCTTAGACAGGATTTCCTGAAGGGCCGACTTGATGCCTACAGTATATTCGAATATCTTCAAATTGTAATAAGTTTCACAAAGCGATATGAAATTGTCTTGTTCTTCGAACGCTTCGTTGCCCTTAACGTACAAACAAACTATCGGAGTCTTAAAATCGGGAAAATTTGTTTTCAAAACAGCATAAACTAAATGTAATAATACTGTACAATCTTTGCCGCCGTTGAAACTTAGAAATATGTTTTCAGGACCGTATAAATAGAAACTCTCCTTTATTACCTGAAAAAAAATCATAAAAATATTCATAATTTATAAAAATTCGTGACTTATGCTGTGTATTACATTGCCTTTTTAAAAGCAATTATACTGATAATATTCATAGCACTTATAAGTACAATTTAATTTAAATGAAGATAACTGCTTAACAATTTATCATTAGTATACATTAGTATTATTATCAATTTTTGATAGTAGAAAATATTCAAATGTACTTACCCTTATGCTGTTACGAATATTGTCATCATCCGATTCGTAGATTTCTTTCAGACTATCAGAGAAAATGCTGGATTCGAAAAAATTTTCACCCAGCTCGTTTTTCAGTAATTTTTCACAACCAACGACAGCTTCTAATTTTGCACTAGCTACTGTAAGAATCGAAGTGGAATCTTCGACATGTAGCTTCACGTTCGCCCCGTTTTGTAGATTGTCCAGAATTTTGGCGCTATTCCCATTTAAATGTACTCTAATCGTTTTTGTGAAAAGCATTTCGGATGTATATTTTTGAAGATGTGATTGTAAAGCGTGAGAAAACTGAATTTCCACTATACCCCTCTTTAATATAAATATTCTTTGTAAGTGTATCACAGGGAAAGATAAAGCAGGATGTGCAAGAAGCTTAGCATGACTTGGTAACATGAAATCTTTATCTGTAGTATATTTTTTTGTAATTTCTTCGTGTGATTTGGTCTCATTGTAGCACACGTCACTTAAACTTTTAAACAATATGTTATTTGGATTACCTACAAGGAGAATTATATCACATTCCTTTGAAAAATTAGTGAGTTTTTCAGTCAACTCTTTTTCTTCTTCGTTGGCCACTACTGTTTTTATTGTTTGGAAGTTTATTAAACTAAGCTGGGAACTTAAGTAAGTATTAATTCTATCATTTTCTTCGTTGGATCCATTTCGCACTAAAACAATAACTGCAGATTTGAACATACTACTTAAATTAAACTACTAATTTAAAAATTATAAACAGTCGCAATACAAAGTACGCATGTAAAATTTCCTATTATTGAATAGAAATCTCGAAACTGGAAACGCAAACCCTATGCAATACATTTCAAAAAAGTAGGTTATACAATTCTCTCACTCACAAATTATTTTTGATTATTATTAAAAAAGAAGATTTTAGTTATTTTCAAATTCTAATGTTTTCAACAGGAAGTCTCCAAATTGTCGGATGTCATGTCGGTTGTCTTAGACCTGTCAGTTGTCAACTTGTCACATCGAAAATGAAATTAACGTGAAAAAAACCCATGTTAACAAATTTTTTAGAAATAATGATAATGTTACTGCGTTCGCAATGAAAATGAGAATATAAGAGAATATTAAAAGCAGTTTTTGATACAATGGACTCTGACGAGTTGGTGAGTTGCCAAATATTTTGTAATTATGGTCGAAATATATTTTAACCAACATATCTCGCCGTATTACTCATATAATTATAGTAGAAATATACAGAGTTGGGCAAAAGTCCGGAATAAAATTATTATCTTTTGAACCAGTAATTTAAACAAAAAACGCCGAAACACTTAAATTGATTTTATATTGTACGGATTTGTTGCCAATAACATGATTTTTTTTTCTTCAACCCCTTAGTTGCAACCCTACCCAACTTTATTTTTTCAAATGCAAAGGTATGTCGTGTGTAGGGTCATTGAAAAGCCCGTGAAAAATGGAATCTAAAACATACCTTTTTTTTTATTTTCTCATGCTGTTATTTGGAAATGAGCAAAAATTTCTTTTAAAAACAAAAAAGTTACAAATACTTTTTTTGTGCTATCGACGTAGCAATGTTGAAAATGCCCTTCACCATCTATTTAACAGGCTCCCAGGCATTGGTAAAACGTAATATCGATAGCATATCTTTAATTCTGAAGGACTTTTTAATAAAAACAGGCGAACCTTTGGTAAAAAAAAACTTGTACAAAAATGCAACACCTATTTTCCTTTTTGAAGTTCACTGATCAACAATGGCTTAGATTTAAACCCATTTTATGTTTTTGTTTTTTCTTAAAACATAAATTTCAACGAATGTTGATGCTAAATTGCCTTATCAGTTTTAAACGGTAAATCAATAAAATTTGGTGTGCTGCCTGACCAGGCTCGCCTGCTTTTAATAAAAGTTCATTCAGAATTAAAGATAGGCTACCGATATTAGGTTTTACCATTGCCTTGGAGCCTGTTAAGTAGAGTAAGCCTTAATTCACACGTCGATACCACTAAAAAAGTATTTGTAACATATTTGTTTTTAAAAGAATTTTTTGCTCATTTCCAAATAACAGCATGAGAAAAATAAAAAAAAAGGTATGTTTTAGATTCCATTTTTCACGGGCTTTTCAATGACCCTACACACGACATACCTTTGCATTTGAAAAAATAAAGTTGGGTAGGGTTGCAACTAAGGGGTTAAAGAAAAAAAAATCATTTTATTGGCAACAAATCCGTCCAATATAAAATCAATTTACGTGTTTCAGCGTTTTTTGTTTAAATTACTGGTTTAACAGATAATAATTTTATTCCGGACTTTTGCCCAACCCTGTATACATTATTTTAAATTGTTTGTAGTGCAACATTGAGTTTATCGATCTAAATGGCGTAGACGAAAGCGAGCAACTTCGCATTAGAAATTCTCTACAGCAGTTAGATCCCAGCGTTCAGCTTCCATGGGTCAAAAACAAAAAAATACTTTTACGCGGTAAGAATCTTTTTTCATTTATAGATCTACAGGATTATTACTACTAAAACCTACTTGATTAACTAATTATAGTTTTTAACAAATCGAGTATTTAATACAAAATATGCTGCTTACTTGCCGGATCCCCATTTCGATATAGTATTTCTAATTATCTTATTATTCCAACAGACAAACAACAAAATAACAGAGAAAACGATGGACAAAACGTAATTGAATCGGTTCCAACTTCACAACATCATAATCCATACATTAATCATCCTATGATCACGCAACCGGTTTACTATAATCAACAACAATCCGTTGTGGTGCAACCCATTATAACCTATCCCCATCACACGAATATTCTATATTATCCGACTAATGTACTCTCACCCGTTTCTCCTCCGTATCCGCAGCAAGTGTTTATTCCCCAAACAAATTATTCAACAACTTACCCATGCACTATTCAAACTGGAGAGGCCGAAGATCTACAGAAAGAAGAAAACGAAGGAATCCTTTCGAAGGAAAACGGAATTGAAGATAACGGGTATGCAAATGTGGTTACTATTTAAATAACTTTCCACATGAATTGGAAATATATTTTGTATCAATATTGATGGAAGCTAATATAAAATAGCTTTTTTAGGGACGACAAAAATGAAACCACACCAAACAAAGTGCCTGAAATAATCCCATCCTCTCCGATAATCGAAAATGGTAATGAAAACGTAGAAACAGTCACTAGTCCGGCTCCCGTAAACAAATCGTGGGCGAGTCTTTTTAGTTCGAGCAAATCTAGTAATACATCTAGCACTAAACCACACCCGGAGTTAAACATTCAACAGACTGCAAACAAGAAATCCTACGAGAATGAGGCGTTTTGCCCGATCAAGCATCCGAGGAAATCGCAACAGTTTATCGATCCGGATTGCTACAGAATGGGCGGTAAGTTTTCGTTATAAATCTCGTGCTGTTTTTAAAATCGATTATTATCGTAGAATTCCTTATATCGTACGCTATCGATGGGAAAGCTCTCAGTTTGCAACCGAGAGGGTTACTGAACCAAAGCAACTATTGCTACATAAATTCGATTTTACAAGCGCTCGTCGCTTGCCCGCCGCTCTACAATCTTCTGACGGGTTTAGCGCAAAATATTTCATCGAACGGGAAACGAAAACCCACACCAGTCATTGATGGAATGTAAGCGAACTATTCAATAACTTATTAATCGTTATAATAAACACTGTTTATTTCACTTTTGATTTTATAAATGTTTATTTAGGTGCCGCTTCGTGAAGGAATTTAAATACTTGCCGCCGAACTTGAGAAACAAAGATAAAAAGGCTGAAAAGAATCCGAAAAAAGACGCGAACGTTTTAATTAATACCGATATTCCCTTCGAACCTACTTGGATATATAAAATGCTGAATGGAATTAGAACGGACCTGATTGAGGGTCGACAAGAGGACGCCGAAGAATTTTTAGGATTTTTATTAAACGGATTAAACGATGAAATGTTAGAGGTAAGTCAATGTGAAGTTTTTAACTAAGAATTGGGTAATTTAATTCGATTAACATTCTAGTTAATTAAATTGGTAAAGAACGACAAGGAGGAACCCAACGAGTCTGTATTGACTACTGATGATAACGGAGAAAAAGAATGGAAGGTAAGAATTATTTAATGGCTTTAAAAATAGCTCTCTATTTGTTTGTATTCCAGGTTATGGGACCAAAAAATAAAGGCAGCATTACAAGACGAACGGATTTCGATAGAACACCAATTAGCGACATATTTGGAGGATTGTTAAAATCCAAAATTCACAGAGCTGGAGATCTCAGCACCGAAAATATACAACCTTTTCTTACCCTTCAATTAAATATCGAAGTAAATTTTACTTACACAATGTACACAAACACTTTACTAATACTGTTTTTTTTTGTAGAAAGTGAAAACCGTTAGAGAAGCATTAGAGGCGCTAGTAAATAAGCATCAATTGGAAGGATTAACTTCATCTAAGACAAACGAGGAAGTCGAGGCCTGGCAACAGGTCCTGCTGGATGAGCTACCTGTAATTCTCATACTTCATTTGAAATGTTTCGATTACAAACAAGCCGGTTGCACAAAAATTATCAAGGCTTTGGAATTTCCAGTTGACTTGAAAATCGATCAGAGTGAGTATTGCTCTACTACATTTAGAGCTTTGTAACGAGCATTGTATTTTTTTAGAACTCCTATCTTCGAAACCTCAATCGCAGAAGGAGAAGCACTACAAATTATTCGCTGTTGTCTACCACGATGGCAAAGAAGCTAGCAAAGGTCATTATGTAACCGATGCCTTTCATATCGGATACAGCTGTTGGCTGAGATACGACGACGCCTCCGTGAAAACGGTGCAAGAAGAGCAAGTATTGAAACCTCAGGGAACGAGAGTTCCTTATCTGTTGTTCTATCGACGTAGTGATACCATTAGGGGAAAATAAGACACGATTGTAATGGCCTAAACTAATTTTTCGTCTCCGCAGTATCACCCCCGAAAAGGAGTAAGAATGGCAAATGTTGTTGTTGTTGGCGTTTCTTTTTATAAATCTATGCTATTAATATTTATTTTGTTTAGAGTACATATTTTATTATAAAGCAGGTTTATTACATATTGGGTGAACGGCTTGATTTGTTTAAGCTTTGTACATCCTATTTCTCGAAATGGCTCTGTGGGAGGTATTTTCAACATTCGATGCTATGTACCTAATAATAATTTTTCACGCATGTATCAATAGATTTAAATAAATGTTGATAAACTAAGGTACAAATAATATTAGTTATAAATATGCTAACTTTGGGCCACCTATAAAAGTAAACGAATTTATCAGCAGTATCGTCCTCGTTTCTGATATCATATAATCATTTAGTATTCGTTCTTACTAAATAGTTTAACGTTTATACTTTATATTTTTCATTGTTTACCAAATTAATAGCAAAATTATTAGTAAAAATGATGAATAAAGATGCCAATGAATCGACGCTTCCATGAGGTACTTTTCGAGAAGTAAATTATAATAAGAACTGTTGTAGCTTGCAGGTTGAGCTGGTAAAACAATTGTCATTTTCATGTTTTAACTCGAGCAGTCAGTTCATTCATTATAGTTCAACCTGTACTTAATTAGGTATTTTATTAAAATAAATGAACTTATTAAAGAGAATTTGTACTGTATATATGTATCCTAGAATGTTAAAAATAAATGTTAAGATAAATTTTGAAGAGACCAGTAAAGCTTTTATAAAAGTACGATTTTGTTTTAGATCAGCCGTTTCAAATTCTATTCTTTTTTTTCTATTCTTTCTTTTTTCAAATTCTATCTATCAAATTCTATCATCTATTTACATACAAATTCACTATTATCTACGCGCTTTTATTAAACTAATTTTATGATATACAGGTTTTATTAGTTTTAGTAAATACATATACAAAAAATCAACCAGTAACATTTCCAAACTAATTGAAATTACTAATGAAATTACTTTCTCCATCCAATGTAGGTATTTTCGACATTCGAAGGTTGCAATTCTAAATTCGTCTTGCTCCGTTTGCTCCTGCTTCTCCTTCGTTTGCTCTTATTGCTGTCGCTGCTTTGCAGCGTTTCCGAACTATTTTGCTTATTCACCAAACCGTAGGCCAAATCGCCATTTTCCTCGGTACCTTCTTTCGATTCCGCCTCGTTCGAACAAACATTCTTCGTCATTTCATTGAATCTAAAGCACGATAACTCGATCATTCGGTAAACGTTTTTAAATAACACAAATATCACCTGAAGTAAAATTTAGCTTCGTCCATAAACGCTTCCGAGAAAGGTATTTTAGTTCGTTTGGCCTTTCTCAAGGTGTACATTAAGCATTCTAGAAGCGCGCAAATTACTGCTATTATACTACCACCGATGGTCACCCAAAATACACCCTCTACAGCCGAGAGATTCATAGCTGCTGCATCTCCAGAAGCCCCATCGTCCTACAAATGTATAAAATCCTACAAAATGTAGTACATTTATTGACTAGCTTACGTAACATTGGCCACCTCCTTTACGCTCTTCCCACCATTTCCTCTTCAACTTGTCCAATACTCCGTCGTTTTGCAGCTTTAGAATAGCCGTACTTAGACTATTTCTGTACGAGGAATCTAAAAAGAGCATATAATCTGTTATCGAGCTACTGAAACTGTAGCATACGAACTTTTTCTCATTGCAATGCCGTATCCTTTCTCGTCCAATTTTTCTCCCACTTGAGTAAGGTCGCATTTTCTTTGAGTTTCGTACTCGATCGATTGGTCTTCCATGAAGAAGGCGTAGTGGCCCTTTTGTGCTTCGGCGACGCCGTCCTTATTATCGTTAATTTTAAGAGTCTCTTTAGTTTTCTCCATTAGTTTATAAGCTTTGCCAAAGTCGCTGGTTTCGTCCGCTTTGTATTTGTCCTATAAATAACACCGTATTCAGTCAGGAATTGGTAATAATTGTAGCATTTAGTACCATGAAAAATTGTTCAGTAGCGCCTCCCGATTTCGCGCCGACCTTGATTTCTTTAAACTCCGCATTTTCGACCAGTTCGTGCAGGTTGTTAAAGTGAGGATCGGGTTTTTCGCTGGTTAAAAACGCCGCCAAGTTTGCCGTGTAGGAAGAGACCATCAGCAGCGTGAAGAACCACCACATACCGGCTATCATTCTCGTAGATATCGATCTATTAAATTAACAAAATGAACAAATATTGTTACTATAAAATTGACTGAACCCACTTTAATTCAATCTCGGAACCTTGCTGCATAATGGATCCAGTGATAAACCAAACGCAATTTCTCAGGTCAAGTTGGTTTACCAAATACTCCGGTTCTTCGATGCAAGGGTACGGATTTTCCCATTCGGCGGGGGAAATCCTGCCGAGCATGAAAAGTATCAAAGACACGCCTATCCAAGATAACATCAGTAGTTTCCAGACTTCGAATGCGAACGGATCGGCGAAGGAGAAGAAACTCGGCGGAGCTTTCGTTGGCTTTTGATACAAAATACTAATTCCTGGAGTAAATATTCGTTAATCACACGGCGATTAATAGAAGCACAATGCTTACCTAACATCATGAAGGGTCCAGTGAAATCGACAGCTTGCGCCCTTTTCATTGTTATGGTCAAATCGCATATAGCTATATCGGCTACCTAAAATTGCGTAAAATTTAATCAAAAGCCGCTAAACGCAATCGACTTACTCCGTCTATGAGATCTCCGATAATTCCATTCCATTTTCCAGTGTTCTTATCTTGCTCGCCGTTGCTCGCATCGGCTCGCACTAGAAACGTGTAATTGAAACCTCTGAGCGCCGATAACTCTTTAATTATATCAATAGCAAAGCCCTCGTACTGGTCGTTACCAAACAGAAGATCCGTGGATTCCACTCTCATACCGTAGGGCTCGGTCTGGAATGAATTTATTGGTTTATTGATTTAATATACTCGATGAAATGATATACCTACCAATGTTATCATAACTTTGAACGATTTGTTTCTGATATCATCGCCTGGGTCTTCTTGTAGTAGGTTGATTCGGGATATATTCAGCGGTGGAATTTTCGATTCGTTCCAGTGTCCTACAACAGTCTGTCCTCCTTCCATGAGTTCGAAAACATCCAGCGCAAAGTTGGTTCTGAAGCCTTTTATGTCGAATTTAATGAACCCCGTCAAGCCTGGATATTCCAGCTAGAAACCAGCATTTTTATTTCGTTAAAAATCCCATTAAAAACGAACTATCTTACGCTCTTCATCATGTTAACGATGGTGGTTCCGGTTCTCAATTTATCGTTACCGTTGTAGCAACTTATAGACGTGGGTTCCACCAGAGGTTCCGAAGCCTTCAGCGCCTCCACGAACATTTTTACAGCATCGTACATCAAGGCTTCCGAGAGTTTCATCTTGTAACCCATGAAGATTTGAAGAGGGTCTTCGCTGTGGATGGTGGCCGATTTTTCCGTTAAATCTGGGTTTTCCGGGTCCACGAAACGCATCTTGAATAATTCAGATGATGTAAATAAGGTAGAAACTCTTGCAAATATTGTTTATTATGAATAGTAATCATTGATAAAGGCCAAGCCTATTAAAATCTTGATATTAACCTATTAAACTTCTTATTCAAATGGGTTTAATAAATATTATTTATAGAATGCTGGGCATGTATTGCATATAGATTACGAAATATTTAATCCTCTTCATTTGACTAACGACAATTTTATAAGTCTTATTTAATCAGAAGCGAATTTAGTAAAACAAACTGTTTTCTTTAAAAGATAGCTGTAAAAAATATACAAGAAACACTCCTACAGAAGATTTATATGCAGTGGGTATCATTAATAATAATAAGCAAGGAAACATTTGGCCTAAAAAGATAAAACTATTAGGAAACGAAAATATAGGCTTGCTTTCATGCAAGGCGTTTTTTACATTTTTTTTTATTATTTTTAGTCATTTTCATGAAATATTCAATAACGAGAGAAATCCCGTTCGTTACAAAACTTTTCCTGGGTCGTAATTTTCCTGATAAAATAAACGAGATGGTATATTGTGTTCTCTTACCCCGGTAATATTCGTCTCGCTGTACTGGTAAGGCATCAGTTCAATTGTGTGTAAATCGAGATTAGTGATAATAAAGTGATGTTTGTTAGTCATTAGGCCTACTTGTTGCGCTTGTCTTAACACTTCCTCCAGTATCTCGATGCTACAATCTAACAAGAAGTGCGTAGCGTCGGCTCGCCATACTTCCTTCAAAACGGATCTGAAATCGCCGATTAGCCTTTGGTAAATTTAGCGAAAAAACGCGACGAATTCACCTGTAATTTCCGCCGGATTTGGCGGAGTTCAGTTGCCTCACGACGATCCTGTGCACCTTCGGATCGAAGAGCTTCGTCAGCTCCCCGACTCTCTGCAAGCTCTCGTTGTTTTCGTACAAAATCACGAAGTTCTTCCATCCCCAAGCCGTTATTAGATCGTAATAAGTCTTGGTCAGCGTGTCGGGGAAAGGGTAAACGTTGACGAGGGTGCCGTTTTGCGGATAATCGTCCCATCTCGCCTGGAACACTGCCGATTAGACTGCTTCTATTTAAAAAAAACGTTAATGAAATCTTACCTCGATGTGCGGAATTTCCTTTAAATCGCATATCGATTGAACGGTATTCGAGTTGTCTTCCGAAAAAGGACCGAATATTCCAACGATGCCTTCTTCTAAAAGATCGCAAGTGGCTTTAATTGCTTCGTACGGATTGTCTCTTTCGATGTGCTCCACAATCACTCGCAGATTTATGTCATTATCGAATTCGTTTATTTCTCTTACCGCTTCCCTCAGAGCGGCTTCCTGCTTTGTGTTTGTCTCATCGAATATGGCACCTAAAATTGGGTCTCTTTATTACTCTGGAAGGAAGTTTATTTGAGAATAAATTTAGTATCTTCCTACAAATAAACAGATTTTGAAATTATATTACTCTGTAATAGTAACCTACATCGTTTTATTCCAAAAATAATTAAAAATGGAGATAGAATGCGGAAATTCCGAAATAGCATTTTTTTATCAGATTCTATTTTGCACACTTTTATTTCGACGAAATGTGAACGTATTAATAAATTTAACATCTAATAACGGTTGGTTTTTTTTATTCTCTATCGTAAAATGTACTGTTAGTTTTTATTATTATAATAAAGAAGTATTGGTTATATAAAAGCAAACGGAAAGAATCGCAAAAATGCGCAAAAGTTTTGTTATTTTATAATTAATTTTTATTATCGGTTAGACTGTTAAGAACCGCTGCTTTTGTAAGTAAACGCAACATTTGAGATATTAGGTTTTCGTTAATAAGCTCAGCGTTTATTTTCACACGTTACTGACCTATTTTGTACTCTCTATAATCCTGTGCCTGGTATTGACAACTAAAATTTGATAATATTATTAGTAACCTTATAAAATTGGATAAACGCAGTATTGAAAAAAACATCGCGCAAATAATGTAAGTTTAGTGTTTCATACATCACGTGCCACAAAAACTGTTTGTCTCCAGATTCCTGTTAACAATGTTGCCACAAATCCAAAATTCTGGCATGTTCCAGAGCATTTTTCAACAGAGCAAAGGAAACATGAATTCTGATGAGTTTTGCTTTCACAAGGCTTAGTTTTATCTTGTGCCTGACTCTTCCAAATTCTAAGGCTACAATGTAAGAAGCAAAGATTGTCCTATAAAAATATAGGTTCATATTTGAACAAACTATTAAATGAGAAGTATCCTTCCACTTGGTTGTACCTGATGATAAAATAATTTAGTTACTAATTTTCTACTTGTTTTATTTTAAAACGTAGATCTTACGAACTACTTCCTGGAACTAATTCTTCATTTTGCAAGAAAACCGAGCAGCATCTGGCAACAGCTATAATTCAATTTTATTTTTTCCGCTTGGAGAGGATCTATTTTCGGGACAAAAACGTCGCCTCTCTCCTTTATACTCCAGTAATATTTTAAGCGAAATGAAAACTTGTGTATTACCTATACCATCGCCTGACTTAGAATTAGCTTAAACCAAAATATCCACCAACTAAGCGGGTTAAAATTTGGCAGCATTTAATAGGTTGTCCATCCAATGTGATTTTGATCTAAACATTTGTATTAATTGCCAATCATCTGCACCTATTTATAACTTCTTGGTGGATTAGTACATTCACAAAAATCAATTAGGTAGGCCAACATCCCAGAGGAAATAATAATAATAGTATCTACCAATTTGTAGAGTTCTACAGAAATAGCAGAAAGTGACAATTTGATGGTCAATTATACAAATGGAATAATAATATTTGTAGTGTTAATTAAATGAACAATTCTGATGTAGGTAGGTAATATATTTGCTTGTGAAAATATACATAAATATTGTAATTTTCAGTGGAGAACTTGGGATTTGTTATTATTCTATAATGATTTGTTTTACTAACGTCACATTAAAGAGTTCTCAAATAAAATTAATGTAGTGATTCTATAAACTGCGCGAATCAATGGATTTTTTTAGCTGGTAATTTTTTAAGGAATAATAAACAACTCCTAACAAATCAATTCTACATTTTGAATATGTATATTTTTTTAATTAAACGTGCTCTTTGCAGTTATTAATGAGTAATATAATATTTTAGTAGGTACTAAATTTTATTTCCTACCCATAAATTTCGAATAGAACAAAAACTGTACACTGTTGGCGAAGAAATATAAAAGTATTAAAAAGTAGGTGATCGATGGTTAAGTGGAACATATAAAAATTAATCGTAAATGTAAAAATACTGCGATAATTAGTCTGAGCCGGTGAAGACGATTTCATTGGCGAAACATGCACCTCGTTGAATTATATTCCATAAGCGGTTCGCTGTCTTTTTACAGAAAGGCTAAATTCCAATTGTCGGTTTTGTTGAAAAATTTTTTATTCAATAAATTCTGCTTTGTACGTACCTCATTCTGTTTTAATCAGTTACCTCTAAATAGGCCGTAATAAACGTGAAATTCATCTTGCATTAGCAAATCGTGCGGTTTAATTATTTCACCAAGAAATTAAAAAAGATTAACTGTTTATAACAAACAACAAAACGGTTAATTAACAATAAGAAGCGAATCGGCTTAGATTCAAGTTTAATATTTCTACTTAATTATATTATTGCTATATCAATTCGCGAATTAGTCTTATAAGCATGTGCCAGTTTTATCATAGTTATAAAGGTTATTTCAATTAGTAATATTAATGGTTTTCCAGATTTATTTTGTGAATATGATTATAGATATCTAGATACAGATAGATTTAGAAAATCAGTGAAAAAGATATAATTAGATAAATAACGCCTATAAACCGGCGTAAATATTATAGATCTACTTTATTTAATTTACCTAATGGTGTATCATTTAGCTTAAGATACTTTTTCTACGCGATGCGGCACTAAAAATATTAAATTATTCCATTTATCGCTACTTTCGCTTATTTAGGTATGCTGAAATTTTGCTTAATTGTATACCATTTATTAATTTCACTGAGTTTTATTCTTATTAACAAACTGAACTTATACCTCGTCCAGGTATCGCTGCATTCGTGAAAGTTTTATAATTGTGCTATTGCAACTCAACTATAACTAATATTTGTTACCGAAACGATTAATTTTTAATGCTTTGCGGTGCATTCGGGGATTCCAAATTTATTCACTCGCAGGATTATAACAGAAACCTTGTAATCTAATTCGCAAGTACTCAATCCTGCAAGGAAATAGAGCGATTTTAATTTATTCAGAAAAGTATTTCAAAAAATACTCGAGCATTTTATGGCAGCTCATTTGTAAGAAAGAAATTGGTTCAAAACATTTTCTGAAGTATATTTAAAAAAGAAAAGTTATGCATACCTAATTGTAGGAAAAATTTACAACTTGAAAAGGCGCAAGAATGAATTACATTTCTATTTAAAAATACTAATACAGCGTTGTAATAGTTACATAAAATTAATATCCTTCTGAAATAATAATTTTAATCATTAATTTTATTTTATACATTTAATTACCGATTGAATTTGTTCGATTAATCGATGCGACCATTCGACCTTGTGTGTTGAAACGGAAGAAAAAGAAAAAAAAAGCATACCGCACGAGCTCTTCTTCTGGCAGTGTCATTGAAGAAGAGGGTGTCTGGAGGAGAGAGTTTCCATTGACCCAGTTTTCTTGTCGTTGTCTAGCTCGTCTTCAGCCGATTGTTGGATGCCGGTCTCAGTATCAGATGTGTACCGTTCTCTTCCACCATATAGGAGGCCGGTAAACACACTATACAGGGCGCTACCACCAGTCAGTAATCAGTAGCCGATTGTCAGTCGCGTTTTGAGAATATGAAGAAATAACGTGCATTGACAGTATCGTACGCGGTTTGGGCGATCGCGTGTTTGTTCCGGAACGGACGTTTTACAATGTGTTCTTCGGAGTATTTTATTTGAACTTGATTGATTTTTTTTTCGATTTTTTTGGTGTTTTTTTAGTGGTGAATTAAAGCCGGAAAAGGATATTGAAAAGTGAGTATTGCTCGAATAAATAAATTAGCGAAATTTCTAATTTCTATATCGACGTTTATAGTATATAACTATATATCATACTTTTTTTGTATTAAAAATTATGCTGGTATAATAACTCCTATATTTGCATTAATGCACTGATAAATAATGGCCGATACGAAAGGACATTGAAACTCGATTACCCTTTAAACGGTTTTGTTAATTATGTTTATTAACAAATATAAATTAAAAAATTATTTTGTAACTGAATTCCTCTTAGATGCAACAAACTTCCTTATCCTTTATTCATACTCTGCAATTCCTGTAGTAATATTTCCGCACCGCCTGGAGCTGTAGATCAGAAATGCTCGTGAGTTGCAATTGCTGGTGAATTTGCTACCGGAAATATCCTCCTGGTAATCGTTTCATAAATTACGGAATTTAATGGTGTTTATTATCGGTAAATTTATTTCAATCAGTAGTCCAGAAAGAACACTAATACTTGAGAAAATTAACTGCTTTTTTTATTAAGGTTTGTCAATATTTGTACACTCGTTAGCCATGGTAGTTGGATTTTGGATATTTTAATGTCTTTGAATAAATCAGTAAATAAAATGGTTAAGATACCTACTTAAATAGACGCTGGAGAGAAAAATATATATTTTTTATTTTTTGGGAGAAAATAGAGACAATATTATTGAAATTAATTATATTATCTTATCAATGCACTAGGATTAAATGGATATTATTCGGCTGGCTTGGGATGTTAAAAAATATCTACTAAAAAAATGTTACTGAAATTTCTTCTCTAAATTTCTTTGGTTCCTGCTTCATTACTACAATTATAACTAAAAACTTCTCTTACCTTTCTCATTTTTTTTAGAGTAGAGCGTAAAAATTAATTAGTTTCTTACTTATAGCGAATGAAGAAAGCATTTAGCAAAGTTTCCTTCAAAAATCGTAAACTTTAATCGCACCTTCGAGCCAGACTAGTATTAACAACGAATGATTTATTGGCGAACTAAGAAGTAATTAGCACTTGGCATGTAATAATAATCATCTGCAAATAATTAGTAATAATACTTTCAAACAATTACTCAGAATTTTACGATTCAGGGCGTGGTGCTGATGCCGTTCGTTCGGTTTTTATTTTGATTTCACTCTTTTCATTCCTTTCAATTTCTTGGCTTTTTTCCTTCCTCTTTGGACTAAAAGCATCTGTCAAATAGAATAGCGGTTTGTTATTAACTTTCACGTATTCGTTTAACAAACTCATCTCGTATGAAAAAAATAATATTAAATATAAATAGCCTTTTGTTAAGCACTGGCGTTGTGAGAGTGCGAATGAAAATGAAATTTTATTAATTCATTAGTGTTGTATAGTCAGTATGAGCCGGTAGCTGTTGCTAGTACAAAGGCGTAAGTGATTGCTGGTTTTTGTTCAATAAAATGTATTAATGGCAGGAATACTGCCTGTCATTGGATCAAATGAAACAATAAAATCCTGACTGATTACTAATACGTAACTAATTTGAGTCTTCTTCTCAGTAGAACGTAATTAATCTCAATTATTCCTTGCAAAAAAATTGTATTTTTTTGTTTTCTTATACAGTAATTTAAAAATTCCTCACCGATTTGCGCTAATTTACCTAATAATTCTCGGAAATATTAAATATTCCAGCTTGGTAAAAACTTAATGCATGTTAAAATGTTAATAAAAAGGAGCGGTTTTCTAAGTATATTCTGAAACTGTCAACTCAGTAAACGCACTTGAGCAATTATTTAAACTGCAGGCTTCGATTCTTCCGCCATTCCCAAAGAGCAAATACACCATAAATTTTTCATTTGCGCCGATTTTCAATCATCTTCCGCAAACCTTAAATATTGTTTTACACCTCAAGCAAACGAACTTCTCGACTTTGAAGTTCAACGTAACTAGAATAGCTTTAATTAGAAGAGAAAATCCAATGCAATATTTACAACTGTTACAATTATTGTTATAATAGCCGGCGATTTGTTTAATGCGATTAACTACAGTCAAAACTAGCTTCATATTTAAGTACAGTGGGCGTCGTATTAAATTGGACACATTTTATATGATTTTATCTTGCCGTTTATAGCTGTATACATATGCTGGATTAGAAATATCAAAGTGACTAGTTAATTAAGTTTTAAATTGAACGGGGCATAATCATTAAAATTTGACGCGATTATGATGAGATTCTCTGGTTTGCTCAAAAAAATTTAGATTTCTAAATATCTGCTTGACTACTCAATTAATAATAATCATTTATATTGATATAAATGCACATTTAGTTCTAAACCAAACAATTTTTTACTCTCGCAGCCTAACTTATTTATTATTTTTTTTCCATAAGTAATGGGAATCGCATTAGCCATATATGATAATGATAGAGCTAAACACGAAAATATAAATGGCCGTGTAATCGGGACCCGTCATTATTACTATAATAATGTCTTTTAAGAGCAGATATGAACTTACATTATTTATCTTAATCATAGTCAAGACTGGATTTAACAAGAATCTAGTTTAGGAAACAGGTAGCCATAAAATAGCTGTAACTAACAATTATTTATCAACGTTTTTTTAACGCACTCTTTCAAAATGATTTATTTATGGCGGTCCATCATTCGATCTGCTTGCAAATATTAATAGTGTATATTTTTTAGCTCGTCTTTAACTCATATGTAAAATGCATCTTTAGCATCAATTGTTCAGTTGTTAATTTTTGAAAAATAAATTATATCTGTATATACAGGGAGATGTCTAACTGAATGTCGATTATATGAGTCTTCGTTAATAAATGTAATAGTAAGAAATGAGTAGGATCACCCACTATTATATGGTGTGGGTTTTTATTGATCCAAAGAAACTTATTCGAAACAGCCTTAACCAATGGATTTAGAGTCCGTTTCACCAACGCAATAAAAAAAAACGAGACTTGGGAAATATTAACACGACAGACTATTATCTTAAAATTATAGGTTCTGTTTAAACTGTAAAAACGGTTTAAATGCTTGCCTTCGTATAACTGGAATTTCGTTAATTATAATGATTTCGCGAATTTGGTTATAACAGCTATTTATTGAGATTTTTTTGCTATTTAAAGGATGGGTTATAATAATATATCGGCGAAGTATTAGAATAAAACCCACAAAAATATCACAGTAAGGTATTAGAAAATTTAATAAATTCGATGGAAATTGTTCTTCTAATCTCCTTCAATTATTCCATAGGAAAATTCCCACGGGCAATTTATTAACAGGTGAATGAATTGTAAAGGATTATTACTTGATCATTACATAAAAAAGTAAAATTTCTAATCGAAAATATTTACTTACAGTAATTAAATAACTTCCAACAACTGTGACAAGCTTCATTTGATTTATAAATATTGATATTTTCTGACGAATCGATTTCTCTGAACTCCTAAATTACCCTTCGCCAGATTCTGTTAGCATCAGTTTTTACTCCATTATAAATAATGAAGTTTTCTCTGCAGTTAAACATACAGATATTAAATTGAACCCTTCAAAAGAAATCGTGTCGTTCGATAATTACCACTTTTAAATGTGATTAACTTTACTCGCCTCACATATTAACATCTAAATAAACGTTCATATATAAAATATATGTGTGTGTTGAGTTCATTAAAAAGCTTTCACCGAGAGAAGACAAGAACCGGTATTTTTACCAATTATCTTGTAATCTGTATCTGTAACAAATTTTTATTATATACTTGTGCTTTTACCAATGTTGTCGTGCTGTCGTTCGCGAAAAAACACTCCAATTCATCAGTCACTTTTGAAAAATTGCACTCATCATTAATGAATTTAACGAATGTTATCAATCTACAAAGAGAATATCGAGATTAAGTTATCCAAAACATTTGTTGATCGGTTGGAAATTTAATTATTAGCGTTAGTAAATTAGTTAATAAAAAATGAATTTTGATAGAGTATTTGATAGAGATTATTTACCTATGTTATGGATTTAATTGCAGAACTCGAAGAATTTAAAGGACATGGAGATCTCCTTGGATCTGGAATGCACCTAGCACCTGACCTGAATGACCTACGATATGGGGCGAAAACAATCAATTTGAGTTGAAATCCACACTAAGAAGACATGTGCTCTTCAAAAAGGCTAAACGAAAAGGGATTACTTGGCGCAATCTTAAATGGTACGTTTATTATTTTTTTTTTGTAAATTATTAGTTCATATGAAATTTATAGCTTCTTCACAAAAGCGAATAAAACCTACAAAACATTCGCATCGCAACAAATTCTTTAAATTCTGAAAGATCTCGGATTGGATTCGATTCCGCTATGCGTATTCGATTCCGCTCTTCCTTTTTCTTTCTTTGACAAATGTACCGAACAAAGCTCGGTATACCAGGTATTTATATTAAAATCCCGCCGATACTCGGCTGAAATCAGACATGAGATCCGAACGGATAATAAAATGAAATGAAATAATAAACTACAGTTAAATAATACTTGCATTTTACGAGCGCCATTTTTCGTTTATTATTTACTCCAAATAAGTGAATCTCTTTACGAGCCTCTTTAAATCGAAATAATGCGATCATAGCGTCTCTCTTATTACATTGTAATTTTCCGGTCTATAGTCAATCGTTATGTATAAGTGTATTGATGACCTGTAGAAACCAACGAAATGGAGCTTTTTTTATTTAACTGTATGGGTATTCGCCTATTCTAGCAATAGGTTGCTCTACAAATCCAGCTTAGCGTGATGCATAAGTGAGATAACGACAAAAAATTTAATGAAAACCGTATTTAATTCACACCGCAAATTCGGAATCTGTTCCGATGGATCGAATCTAGCTGTTTTAGGTTTCAAATTTTGCCTACATTTAGCAACATACATTAATCTAAGAGTACTAAATAGTTTCATTATTTAGTTGATAATAAGTCTAAGGTCCTTTTTCTTGCGTGAAGCACGATGCAGCATTTAATTACTTTCAAACTTACATGGTGCGTATAATTTAAAATCTGTCAATTTTGAAACTGAAAATCAATTTCGTGACTATATTATTATTATCGCGGAGTTGGTATATGTTCTGCACCGTTATATTTCGTACCATCTGCCACCTTACTTCTTTTAATTACTGTCAGATGGTCGCAGCCAAATATATAAATACGTACAACCTCATTTCAATGAAATAAATTCATATTTAAACAACGCGTCCATATTAAGGAGGCTCAACGTTCGATGGTAAAAAGCATTATAGAAAAGCCGGGCCATTTCGAAAGTACTTCCAAGCGCAATCTGAATTGCTAAAAGCTCCAAACGAGCTAAACAGTTTAATATTAAACGAACGGGAGTGGTTTATGAATACCGGTTCAGTATATAAACTAAATGGTTTAATAACTATTGAATTTTTTTTAACAAACTTATTTCCGGATTAATGCACTCTTTATAGCTCCTTTTGTTCGGCATGCATAATGCGATTTATGCAGATATAATAAATGCAACATGAGAATTTTTTTTAATATGTAAATTACGCAATTACCTACCCTTTAAGTTCGTATTTTATTGTGAGTTAGTCGAAAGCATTAATCAGTCTTTTGCATTAATGTAATCGAATCATTGCGTTTATCTGTGCAAGTTCGAAAGCCGATCCTGCGTATATCGTATTCAGGTGAAAGCGAAATTACATGGCTCATTAAAAGCGAATTTACCCAATAGAACGGAACAAGCATAGATGGCATTCTGTTCGGTCGAAATTTAAATTCTAAATTAACGTGTGATGGATGGGTGTGAGATCTAATTTGTAGTTTCGTTAATTCGTAGACAAAAGAAAGTTTGGGAACATTTTGCCAAAACCGCCGGATGCACTCTCGATTATTATTGAAACCAATCAAGCTGTCATGTCGCTTCGAATACGTCTTCATTTTTTCTTTCTCTCGAGTAAATTGAATGTAAAAATTTGATTGATATCTTCGAAAGATGTACGTATTAACCTAGTAGCTTAATTTAGTCGTTATTCACTGGAAGTAACGTAATTTTTTTTCGAGGAAAACGAGCTAGAGATCGGCTCCCTTTTGCGATTGTCGTGATGTAGAAAGTAAAATTCGTTGTGTAAGTTACGCAACAACCAAGTACGTATTAATAATAACTCCACGCCACTTGAATTTCCATTGTTTTTATTTAAAAAAGTGTAACCGGCCGGCAATAAAATTCCTGGTGGTTGTTTTGCCTCGTAATAAGCGCGAGTTCAAATACCGATCATAATAGTTCAAATGAAATTCTATTGTCTTCTTGTAAAACACGTAATGTTGAAATTCTTTCAAAATTGGCGACTCGCTGGCCGGGTGTGAGAAATAATGCGTTTTTAAATTATCAGTTTTGCGTAGACATAATCTAATAACGAAAGCGTTTACATTGAGGATGTATCCAATTTTTTTCGGTGTGTTTGTAATATTGCGAGAAATACATTGTTTCCACATGTATTGTTGACAAATACTTAATGCTACTAATTTTCGACTAATTTAATAAATATTGTACAAATAACGAGTTGCTTAATGTATTTTCCCGATACAAATTTAGTTGTTTTATCTGTTGAAATCTATTGTTTAAATGAATACCCTGTAACTTATAACTACGTAAGTTAAATTAATTACAATAATTTCATACTCCATTGGTCACGAAACACTTTATTTGCTGACGTGTAACTTGAAAACAAAATTATATATACCTACCTTTCTTTTTTTTTCCTAATTATTCGCATCTATTTTCTCGCAGAACCTCTTTTTCTTACTTCAGATGAATCTAACCGATCACTTCCTACAGACTCAGTATCTAGCACCGTTTAATATGGTAATAGGATTACAAGTATTATTATAATAACACGATAAAATGGCATGCTGTAGAGCAGATAGCATCTCCGATGATCAGTGAAATACCCTAGTCATTTAATATGTTTGGGTGTATATTATTTTGTACGTTGCCTAATTAAGGTGGATGTACAGTGTTAGAGACATTTTTATATTGCTCATTTATCGCAGAATCAAGTAATTAATACCGACTTTCTGAACAGTCTTTCAATTTTTGTTAATAATTAAGATCAATAGACTTGTCAAGATGATAATAGACTACTAGTTACTGGACATTTCGTACATATTTTTGGACACCCTTTATAACATTTTTTCCAATCGATTATCCTCCAGCTTATAGTTGCTTATAGTTATTCAAAAGGATACTTTCCGGTTTCGCATGATAACCACAATCAATCTTTAGATCACGATCGATCGTTAATTTTTTCTCCGATTTTCACATCTCGCCGGTCGAACGTGCCCCGATTTCCGACCTGTCCGAATTGATCGGATCAAACGTCTTCTGCACTGCTACAGATAACGAAAAACGATAGAGCGTTTTTTTTTCTCTACGCGTATTTCACCTGTTGGTCCGAGAGCGAGATCGCTTCTCCGAAACAATTATTAGTGAAGTCGAACGTCGACATGCTGTAGCAAGTTCACGGTTGCACTGGAAATCTGTCATGATCGGTTTCGTAGATAATAATGAATCAATACGGCTTGATCAGGACTGGCGTCGAGACGTTGCTTCCCGTTAATTAATACACTAAAAGCGCTGTGTGATAAGCGAGAAATTTTAGAGCAACTAATGCCCGATTTCAAAAACATGTTGTTAGGTTTTTCCTAACTAGGTAATTCCTAAGATAGGAATTACTTAAATCGAATACTTACCTAAATCGAATTTCACCAACATTAGAAATCCCTTACTAAGAAATACCTAGGTAAAAATTTGATTTCGACAATTTTTTGAATTTTATTGGTAGCATTGGCTAATTTTGACGTGTAAATCGAATAAGCGGAGATCGAAATTGAATATGTTGAAAGAAAAGAAGAGATGTTGACGATCCGGGCCATCTTTAAACTATGTTAGTTATTTTTAAATCTGCTGAAGATGTAGTCTGTACATTATTAGAAAAATAACCTTTCCGATTTGTAAAATATTTCTATATCTTCTTCTCCAGGACTATGGAACTTTACATGCATGTGTACGGTCAATAGTTCCAAAAACTTCCTGATGTGTATCAAATTAAAAATCATCTTTAATTCATTCTAATATTTGTAATGCCGTATTTTTATATATCGAAAAAGGCGAAAAAAAATCAGTTTCGTCCAGTTTCTAAAAACTCTCCTCCCATTTTAAATTTTCATCAAAAGAGTCTAAAGACAGTCAAGACTTAAGTCACATGAAATCACATGAAAAGTATGGTTAAGTATTTCCTAAATGTTTTAGGCAAGCCCAGTGAGCTGTCCTAACTTTAGGCATTTCCTATTACCTTTAGGTATTACTTAGAATTGTACTTAGGAATTCCTAAATCCGGTTTAGGTATTACCTAACTTTAGGAAGTGGTTGGTGAAATCGGGCATTAGTGATTAAGTAGATTGAATTTCGTGCATGAAGCTTTTCTCGTTTTTCTCTAGAATATCGCTGTAGAAAAGTAGAAATTTATATGGGAGAAGTCGGTTCTGCGTTTATTGGTTCTTATTTCTAAAGTCACCTTCTCATAAACTCACGTTTGCTCGTAAATGCTTCCACATCGATCGCTGATAAATGAATGAACGCAGGAATCTCCGAACCGTGTTTTTTCTTCGTACCTTCCTTTAAGATATGAGGAAGAACAGAGGAAAATGTAGATTAAAGGCTGATCCGCGTTCGATTCTTATTTAGTAGCGGTACTTTCTGGGATCTCGTACTAGTATCTATTCGAAGAAACTCTACCAATTGTTTGGTTATTAAGAATGCATTTCTTCAAATATTGCTCATGATATATTTTATTCAGTTAATCTTCATCTAGATGCAACTTATTGAACTTGCTGATTACCGATAAATGTGAGAGAAAGCCGATGAAATTTCATAGTTTACCCAACTTTTCCATCGACTAAGAAATTTCCTTTATTATAGGAGCATCTGCGTATTGTCTCAAGACTTATATTACGCGGAAGAAACAAGACGCCTTAACGGAATTGTTCGATAGAAGGAAAATAAAAAACACCAAGCAACAGGTCGGTCAGTACTAAGTACGACCTCGACAAATATGCCGCTTCTTCGTCTGATACCCGGAGTACCGGTGGAAGGAGAGCGGTTACTATAAATACGTTGCTCCTTGATTGGATTGATTTTTATTCT